CTATTCTCTGTTAGCAGATACGACGCAATGGAGTGTTTCAAGCCCATGTGTCGCACTATGCGTCGCGTCTATTGCGCCGATCGAATCATAGGCTGACTTATCAATACTAGACTACTGCCTCGACTGGTGTGCCTGGACAAGGTACCAGTGCTGGCACTCCCGGAGAACACACAACCGACGAGGCTGGCAACACTATCCCAGTGACGACTGACGGGGCCGGGAACACGATCCCCGTCCACACAGATGCTACTGGACGTCCCGTCACCACGGATGAAGCCGGAAACACTATTCCCGTCAATACCGATGCCACCGGAGTTCCTGTCACCACAGACGAGGCTGACAACACTGTACCAGTCACCGATGCTACTGGTCGACCCGTTACTACAGATGAGGCTGGTAACACGATTCCTGTTACTACTGACGACGCCGGCAACACGGTTCCTGCTGTGACCACCGATGAAGCTGGCAATACTATCCCCGTCACTGATGCCACTGGACACCCTGTTACTACTGATGAGGCTGGCAACACCATCCCGGTAACTACTGATGAAGCTGGTAACACTGTTCCCGCTGTCACGACGGATGAGGCTGGAAACACTATCCCTGTTACCGACGGTACTGGAGTGCCGGTTACTACGGATGAAGCGGGCAACACCATCCCGGTGACCACGGATGAGGCTGGAAATACCGTTCCAGTGACTACCGACGAGGCCGGGAACACCGTCCCGATCCCGACCGATGCCAACACCCGTCCTGTGACCACTGATGAAGCTGGAAACACTATCCCAGTTACAACAGACGAAGGGGGTAACACTGTTCCTGTCACAACTGATGAGGCCGGAAACACGGTCCCAGTGACGACCGATGAGGCAGGCAATACGATTCCGGTCCCGACCAATGGTAACACTCTTCCCGTCACCACGGACGAGACCGGAAACACAATCCCAGTTACCACGGATGGGGCGGGCAATACTGTTCCAGTTACCACTGATGAGGCTGGGAACACGGTGCCTATCACAACTGATGAAGCGGGCAATACGGTTACCGCCACTACGGACGAGGCAGGTAACACTATCCCTGTCACTACAGACGAAGCTGGAAACACTATTCCCGTGACAACAGACGAAGCTGGAAACACTATTCCTGTGACAACTGATGAAGCTGGAAACACTGTTCCTGTCACTACGGACGAGGCTGGAAACACGGTGCCCGTCACTACTGATGAGAACGGCAACACCATTCCCCTCACAACTAGTGGCTCTGCTGCTACAGAGAATACCGCGTCTGGGGAATCGTCCGAGTCCAGCGGCGCTTCTGAGCCTACTGGTGAGCCCACAACCAACACCCAAGGAGAGGCTACCACCGAACCTACTGGAGCGCCCACCACCGCCGTCCCAGGAGACCAGACCACTGAGGCTCCTGGTGCACCTTCTACCAACCCAAATGAAGGTCCTACCACCCAGCCTCCAGAGGGTACATCGACGGATATCCCAACGTTTACTACGCTTCCTCCCGGAGCCACCCTCTCTCCGGTCGATACCACATACACCACTCCTATTATGATCACAACTACTTCTCCTGGAAGTGACCACGAGACTGTTGTTCCAAGTAGGTGTCACCTCTCGTTTACTGATTCATGACTAACTGAGATAAACAGTCATCATCCCCACTGGGGGTCCTCCTGAGGTCTGCTGGGGCTGCCCTCCCAACGTCAAGATCGATACCCCTGAGTTCTGTGTGGAGATCTTTGGAGCCAAGATTGGAGACTGCTCTGATGATAACGACGACGACGACGACGACGACGACGACGATGATGATGACGACGATGACCCCAGCTCAACTGACGAGGTTTCATCTTGCACTACCTCGGTCGTCGCTACATATGAGAGTGTCTTTTGCTCTGTCACAGGTCAGTGTAGTTGATAAGAATGATCTTATATCCGAGAGGCAGTGATATTGACTCTCACTAGGAACCGGCACCGACCCTGCAACAGGATGCTCCACCACTGCTTGGACAACCATCACAGGCTGCAGTGTCACCAACTCAGCAACCACAACCACCACGACGGCTACTGAGGATGAGGACACGCAACCAACTTGTGGGCCCGAGATTTGCGGCGCAGCAGCGTGCGCCGCACTCCCTCAGAAGAGGTCCTTGGATGAAGAGTTCGTCTCTAACCTGACCAAGCGTGGAGACCCAAGCAAGGGAGAATGGATCGAGCCCAGCGACTTCGAGGGTAGCTTGCCCCAAAGGCAGAAGCAGCTTGTTACCACCATGGTCCGTGATGCGTACTGGAATCGCTTCAACCCTGGCGAATTCACGCCTGAACTCGTCTGGTTCCCCGTCGATCCAACCGACGCAACCACGTCCAACTACATCCTGTTCGGGAGCAGAACAGCCAGTCTTGCTGTCCAAGGTCTGTGGGGATGCACAGCCATCGTCGTGGTATCAGAACGTGGTGCATGGGCTAGTCATATCTGGGAGAACAAATTCGACAACCACGCGGCCTATCTCAACGGAGTGTTGCCCAGCCTCCATTTTGGCAACGGGAGAGGTGACCAGTTCCACCCATTCGCTCTCGCTGGAATGATAGCAGCTCCCCATAACGGTGCTGAGGGTGTCATGTTTGGAGACAGGGACGGAGGTGCAGTGGAGGTGGGCACTCATGTCTATATCATGGCCCCTTATTCCCGGCCATGGCCTCGATTCGACGTCACTTTCCACCCCTACTTTACGGATCTACAGTTGGAAAACAACAGGTTTAACCCCAGGCCAGACAAGGATCTTCATTACGCTGATCTTATCAATCTACTCAAGAATGACATCAGAACGATCTTGGGCCAGGATGTTCCGATCGAGACGGTCCCCTACGCGCCGCTGGTGCTTAATAATGCGCTAGAGGAACAACGTCAAAGGGGATTGTTGCCCTTGGAGGATCAGATCGACATACTTGGTGACATGGGCCAGACAACTGCTCGCGGAAAGGCCCTGATCCAATACCATCCGGCAAAGACGTGTAGAGGATGGGCCGAATGGCGAGCTTGGTTCGAAGGTGGCCCCATTGATGGCCGAAAGGACAAATGGGGGCCCGCGACTTCGCAGCTTTTCGTCCAAGCGGGGAACCAGAAGAGAGAGGAATGTCCTCTGGACAACCCTGACCGTGAGGACACGACTTCATCCGAGACATCAGCTTCTGAGACCTCTACTGAGACGTCGTCGGCCTCTGAGACGTCGTCGGCCTCTGAGACAGCCTCTGGAGACCTTACCCTGCCTCCTCTCCCTACCCTCACTGGCATCTTCAACTGCGTATCCAGCACCGAGATCCCCCAGTGTCTGGGAGGCTTGTGTGTGACGTCGACTTCCTGCATCAGCTTCGGACAGGCCACGGAGACGGCCACCACGACAACTGAGGAGTTGCCCGCGGCTACCACAGAGGGAGCCTCCTGCTTGGAGGACAGCGATTGCGACATCAAGTGTGAGAATGGCAACGACCCTGTTTGCCTGAAGCTGAATCCTATGACCGTTGCTGGAGTCTGCTCGTGCCTCGAAGTCACCAAGCCGACAAACACCGACCCTGCAGAGACGTGTGCCACAGTTGTGCCCACTCTGAAGGCCGGAGAAGGGGATGATGAAGACTGCCGCTGCTCCTACGAGGATGAAGGTGACGATTCCGATGAGGTCTCATTCCCTACCAATGTTCAAGACGATGCAATTGACCACTTCTGTAACGGAGACCGCATTGAAGGAGCTGAGAGAGCCGAGTTCCCCATCGAGGATGAAGGTATCACGGTCTACATGGAGGTGACACGCGCAAATGTCGACCAAGAGGGCTGCGACAATGGCCCTAATCCTTTCTACCTGGACGACTACTGCCGCGACGCTCTGAAGGTCCTTACGAGTTGCGACGTGCTCAGCAACAAGGACAGGAGCAGAGGCGGTCACTTCATCGACAACGGCGAGTACGGTTGCGTTGACTGGAAGCTCTGGGCTGAAAAGGGAACCGCTGGTAACCCCGACGACGACGACGACGACGGTGGCTCTTCGTCGCCCACTTGCCCCAACGACCCTCCCAAGCTCGAGGACGGGGAGGGAGATGACAAGGATTGCCGCTGTTACTACGACCCCGAAGATGCCGAAACTGAAATCGTCAAGTTCCCCAGAGAAGAACAAGACAAGGTCATTGAGGGCATGTGTCAGTACTGGCCCGTCGACCCCAACAACTCCGAGGCGCGCTTCTACAGTCTCCTCGACTACGACGTCGAGGTGACATACAGGGTCAGTCGTGTCAACATCAACCAAGATGGTTGCAAGGATGAGACAACCATGGACCCTTCCCAGTGGCACGAGTACTGCACAAAGGCCCTCGGCACCCTCGCCAGCTGCGACGTGGTTGGTGACGGCGAGACTTTGGGTGGCAAGTACATTGACAATAGCGAGTATGGCTGCATCGAGTGGGAGTTTTATGCGTACAAGTCTAGTTGAAAGGGCGGGATGTAAATTTCTGGAAACGGGACTCTGATATTTTATCTGTACATATTACTTGCATGACGGTTGAATCCGTTCTTCTTGACGCTCATTGGGCTGAGTTGCACGCCTGGTAGAGGCAGTGCTGGCTCATTGAATAGTATGCTATTGGATATAGTTACGAATGTTCATATTTGACTATTAAATCATTGCGAGTAGAAATATCCCGTGCCCATGGCTGCTCAGAAGAACAAAAGGTATTGTTCTATAGACGAGTTTTGATCCCGCGCTATAACAACATGTTCTTCGTCATTGTGGCGGATGTTCTCTTTGGAGTCGACATGATGCCCAGTAATGAACAAAAGATTGTGCTAAACCAACAAAGGGAATGATTTCTTGTTTCTCCTGTATTTACTACCATAAGAATCAAGACAGCCACCGTCAAGCTCTCCCTACGGAGGGTCAACTCTTCTCAAATTCACGGCCTGTCGAAAGAAACTGTCCAGTCAACAATTCTTCGGTGAAGAGCAAAACAATGGCCGACGCTATTTTTACAGGTCCGGATTACATCATTCGCCCCATTCCCGGCAAGGGTTATGGTATCGTCGCAGCCCGCAAGATCAAGACAGGGGAGAGAATTTTCTCTGAAGCGCCTCTTCTCAAGCTGCCCCGAAACGTCGGCTCCAAGGAGGGACTCAAGGTTAAGATTAAGGCCAAGCTCAACTCGTACCCCCGGATTTATCGAGACGCTTATCGCGATTTGTGGAACTCATATCGCGGAGATAGCCCTGAAGTTGGTATTGCTCTTACGAACGCTTATCCTCTGGGACCGAATGCATCTACAACCGGCATCTTCCTGCATGCAGCCCGTCTCAATCATAGCTGTCACCCGAACGCCCAGGATACGTGGAACGAGGCGCGCCTAGAGCTAACCCTCCACGCATGTTGCGACATTGAAGAAGGCGAAGAGATTACCATCACCTTATTGAGCACACGAGGATGTCGCAAGGCTCGGCAGCGCGTCCTCAAACTCAACTGTGGCTTTACCTGCTTATGCTGTCTCTGCTCCTTGCCCCCTACCAAGAGTAAGTTGAGCGATGAGAGACTGGAAGAGATTCAGAGGCTCAACAATCAAATCAAAAGTCCGATGGTTCATCTTCTAGAGCCCCTCACCACCCTCCACAATGTTGAGCGCAACTTGAGGCTCATGATCAAGGAGGGCATTGCCGATGTAAGCATTTCCAGGGCCTACTCTGACGCCTTTCAAGTCGCCATTTCCCATGGAGATCAAGCCAGGGCCAAGATCTTTGCGGATAGGGCACTGGATAGCCGAATAATTGTGGAAGGAGATGATAGCGAGATGGTTGAAAAGTTGAGGCGACTGTCACTCCATCCGTATACACACCCATCTCACAAAATCACATCAAAGTGGAAGACCAGCATTGAAGATGCCCCAATCGGGTTTCCGGATGCTGACCTTGAGCTTTGGCTGTGGCGACAAGACCAACCTCGCGAGTTGCAATTCGCTGACCTGCGGTGCACAACCAACTTTCCTTGCTTCAACGATCTTCCGGGAGAATTCGACACCAGCACTGACTTCTTTGAGGCTATAGATACATTCAGCTGCAAGCCAAAGAAGTTCTGGGCTTTCCTTGGCGACATTCTCAGCGTGAACGACTCCGACCCAACCAGGCTGCAACTTACTGCCCAGGACAAGAACTGGAAAAGTATAACAATTTTGCTCCGCACCTCGGAATTTGGCGAAACATTTGACCGCTCGACGGTAAAGCAAGGAAGTTCGATTGTGATCCTCTTCCCCGTGAAGGATGAAACCGTAGGGAAGGAACTTGGGATTGTCGTTGATAGGCTCAGTGACGTAAAGGTATTTGTGGATTACAACCCCTAGTGGAACTTTCTGATGATAATGCTAACGTTTATGTGAAACAGATACTCCCATTACAACTGGACGAATTGCTCGAGTTGAGTGACAAAGTGCGGTACTATACATCCCTTGTCGATAAGAAGAGACGTTGTCATGGCTGCAGAAAGGAATCAGAGTGCCGAAAGATGTGCAAAAAGTGTTTCTTCTTCCAGTACTGCAATGAGGTAAGATATACCGTATATGAGAAAATTGGGATTGAGATTTGCTAATAGTTTGATATAGCCTTGCCAAAGCAGAGAGCACGACGCTTGCAAATATCTCCGCCAGGATATTTTTCGTGAAGTGTTTCGCCGAAAGTGCAACCTGGAAGATTACTCGAGGTTAGTTCCTGGGCAGCCGAATAGGGAGTGCGTGGTTTCATGAGGGTATCCTGCGGGGAGGTGGTGGGAAGAATGAGGCGATGGAGACAGAGGTAGTCGATGAATGAAGACTCTGAAAAGGTTGAAACTCATATTCGTTCCTATTGTGCATGGTTTCTTTGAATAGTTTTTTGATTAAATGCATTTCCTATATCTTATATAATAGCCTCCCCTTGCTGTAAACCTGGCAAAATAGTTGCCCCCATGTTTTCCCTAACTTGTTTAAACGAGCTCAACAACGACATCTCCTCCTTCTGCTATGGCATTGCAGCGCTTGCAACCGGTGGAAAAGACCTCTTTCTCACCCTCGCTAAGAGGAAAGCCCTCTTCATACATACCGACTCTTTCAAACACATTCCTATTTCCAGTCGGCCTGAGGATCAGCCCCATTCGTTTCCGCTCCCGTCGTCCTGGGTGCTGGCCCTCCTGGACTTCAACTTGTAAAGTGAGTTCCAGGAGCCATAGCTTCAACTCCGATGCCATGCTTTCTTTCTTGCTATCATCGGTCCTAAGAACCAATTTATGTTCTGCTGACGATCCATGTGGGAATGTGAGCCTTGGGTAGCCTGGAAAATGCCGAGTGATCTGCGTCAGGTACCCTTTTAAAACAATCCTGCCACTCTCGACGGAGCCAAAGGGGAGTGACTCAGTTGTAAGTTGAACGTCGGTTGAGAGGACTCGGACTGTAGCATCAGACTCGCGAGCTGAACGGTCCCACCGGACCTGGCCCTGAACGGAGGCCCATGACCATGACGGTGCGACCCAAATGTCGTCCTCTTTCTGAGATTTATGGCCGGCGGTGTACCATAGCAGACCTGATATCAGTACTGGCCTCCATAGCCCAATGATGTACTCCATCGATAGTAGCCCACTGGCTTGAGCAAAGCGGCTTGCGACGCCTGCTATGGCGTTGAGCTTGTCGCGCTGGAAGGTCAAGCTTCTCGAAGAGTACTGACTCATTTGGTCCACCCACTGATCTGTCAGAAGATACTCCCGAGGCGAGCTTGAGTCTGGGCACAACCGAAATCGCTCTTCTTTTCTTGATCTTCTGCAAAGAAACTCGTGCTCTTGCGTTCCGTATTCCAGTACTCTTTCGGATAGAACTTGTTCTTGAAAGGTCCATGCTCTCGTATCAATGGGCTCTGCTTTGAACCCATCAATGCTGATAACCTGCGCCATACCATAATTGGCGTGGTATTTGAGTGGGAATGCGACACCCGGGAGGTATGGCGACCGGTCATGGAGGAAGCCTTCAGTACAGGCTGAAGAGGAAGATGCGGATATTGTCACGAGTGCTCCTTGATAGATCTCTGGCATCTTGGAAAGTTCCTGGACTTTGTCGTTCTGGTCGTCTTGGATGATGCAAAGCGAGTCTATCCAGATATGGGAAATGGCCAACTTGCGACAAACGAATATGGCGTCGCGGGTCGTAAGAGGAAGGTCAGAGAGGGGGAAACCATTTTGCCGAGCAACCACGTTCTGGATTGTGGTTTCCATCTTTTGAGGGCCTCCCCAGCAATAGGAGAGAGCTGCCCATGTCGGAGTAGCCATGTTTGTAGTCGAGACAAGCCGTATTGTTTGTGAGTCTTTCCCGACCTCAACCAGTCGCGAGGGGGGATTCATATGGGTTGGCTTTGGGCATTCGGTATGGGAAGTCAGACATTCTTGTAGTAAAACGCTGCTTTTATGGAAAGCCTCTTTAGACTTGACGATAGGGTGAAAGGGATGCTCTGCGAAGCTCATACTGGATATATCTGTCATGGTCAGACCGGAAGAGAGATTAGACTTGGAAACTTACTTCTACTAGGACTCAGGCTGAAGAACTCATCATGCATGCCAAAGTCGTCATCAAAGCCGTCTATCTCCCAACCGGCCATGAAATATAGTGTATCGACTTTGTCAGAACGCCGATGTCGTACCTTGACGGTTAGCGTCGCTGCATCAGCGATATCTTCGGTAATTAATTGGGTGGCTAGATTGTCTTTGTTTGGAATAGGAGCTTTGATTGTAGAGATACAGAACTTGAAGAATGCGCAGTTGTCAGCGGCAGCATTGAACGCTTGCTTTCCAGGGCTTCGATGTGTGCAAATGTCGGGGCCGCGAACGTCTGTGATGTCTATGACAAAGACTTGGCAGTATTTACATGTATGCAGGCGATATTCCTTGGCTTCTTGCATAAAGTGGTCGAAATCCATGGCTGTGATATCGTTGGGTGAGGAATCACAACTCTAGAGTGCCTGAGGAGGGGAATATCCCTCGACATGTGCTGCGCCACAGGCAAGAGGAGTTGCTACTGCGCCACCCTCAAAGCCGGGATGAGGAAGACAAAGAGAGTCTATGGACAGTAATGGAGACAGAAAGAAGTCTTTTAAGATTTTTTTTTTAACTCATTAACAATTCATCCTGAGGTTGGGCCTCGCATGATTTCTGGGGGAGCTCATCGTGTCAGAAAGGATGGGTGAAAACAGTGGTGGATAAATAATTATTAAATAATTCTCAGAAAAACACACCGGAGCCAATGCCGCGACATGGACCTAAACAAGACTTAAGATCAAGGCCAGGGTTGTTCGTATCCTTTCAGAAATCATCCTATGCGGCAATACACTCGAGGAGCTGGGCCTTGTCCCTCTGCAAAGCCTCCTCCAAGGTAGTGAATGTAATACCAAACTTGGCCTCCACTTCCTTCGCTTCCGCTGCAGCAGGGCTAAAGTCCTTGATGTTGGCCCAAAGATTGAACTTTTGAGCAGGGACTGCAGCCTTTGCCGCCTCGACCTCTTCCGGAGTGCGCCTCCTTGAAGTAACCTCCCTTCTGGTGATCTTGGTGAGGATCTTGCGCGTCTCTTCTAGAGTCAGGTTGCTCTTTCCGAGCTGAATCGATTGGCCGTTGAACTTTTCTGGGTTCTGAAAGACAGCCGTGGCGTATTTGCCAATGTCGTTGGCATCGGTGTAGATCATGGTCGCGTTGTCGTTGTAAGCGTGATCAAGTTCTCCCTTGGCTGGCAGCGCGGGAAAGTTGCCATAGACATTGGGTAGAAGGAAGTCAAAGTGGATGAAGCCCGGGCGAATAATCGTGTAGTACTTGAAGCCAGCGTTGCGGACGACTTCCTCAACTTCGTGCTTGGACTGATAGTAAGAGCGGATGCCAAGTTCTTCGGATTCCTTGTCGTCCCAAATATCCTTATCACCGGTCAAGAAAGAGGTTGATGCGACGACAGTCTCGATGCCTGCCTTTTTGCATGCTTCGGCGATGGTCTTGGCTTGTTGGGCCTCCAGGCCAGGGATTGGGAAGGTGTTTAGGAAAGCTCCCTTGCAACCCTGTGCAGCCTGAAAGACGGCATCAAAGTCATTGCTCTCTCCCTTGAAGATCTTGACCCCAGGGCGCTGAAGAACTGGGGGAAGTTTGTCGGGGTTTCGCACGACGGCGTGGATCTTGGCACCAGTTGTAAGAAGGTGCTCGGTGATGTACTGGCTCTGCTTGCCGGTGGCTTGAGTGATGAGATAGGTCGCCATGATGAAGTTTGAGGGGCTGAGTTGGTGGTTTGTGTTGGGATGTTCTTGTCTGTTGCTTGATGCTGAATGTAGTGATTAAATCTTGAAGAGCAATTCAAGGGACTCTATATATATGCATCTTGATATTGCCAAGCCCACGACACTCCATTGTGATGTTCAGTATGTGGACGGACTTAGGGCGACATCTCGGACGTTGCACCACTGCGCGGGATAAGCCACGCAGCTCGGCCGGTGGGAGTGGCTGACAAGTGCGTCAGCTTGCGCATAATGGGCCAATCGTGTTCAAGTCCGAGCAGCGTCTGCGCATTGCTTTGTCAAGGGCCCAAGTTATTCATCCGTCTCTTGTCGCCTAATGCCGATCGTGGATTACAAACGAATATCGCGCGCGCGTCGGACTTTGGAAGTGCGCGGACAACGGCTGACACTAGTGTGAGGCCGCGTTGCCAACAAACATCCCGACGAACAAGATGTGTACAGAGATTGAAACTTTCTCAGCATGTTTCTGTGATATGACGTTCGTCTCGATTTCTCGCAAGCGGACGCATTGCGTGGCAACTGTCGAAATTCATTTTGCTTGAGATGCCTTCAGTGAGGTGACTTAGGAGTAATGGTGAATGCAAAATTCCACGGCGATCATTGACGCCATTGGTCTGAAAATCAGCTGTTTAATACAAACAAAGAATATAGTGGTTAATTCACCACTCAGGCTTGTTGTGCACCTCACTGAACACAGCCAACGCCAAAGTGAGTTCGACCAATCCATGGCCTTGTTTTCGTGAACAATACCAGAAGCCCGATTAGCTACTTCTCGAGGATGAGTATAAAGACCCAGCACCGTGCGGATTGTGCCAGATTCTAAAGTTCCCACCAAAAGAACTCTCTTGCCTTAATCTACGCCTATTTGCACTCCTCGCTTGACTACTTTGTCAACCAACAACCACACTACGGACCCAACAGACAGAATGCTACCAACTATGGTTTCGGCGAGATTCTGGCATCAGCTCAGAGACATCATTTGGAAGGATCCCTCCGCACTCTATCGTCTCGCCGTTAGATGTGCCGCGTGCAAACAACACATGACTGTCGGAACCGACGATCGACCCATGCACGAATCTCATGGCATACATATTCTACCTTGCGGGCACATGGTAGGTTACTGTTGCCTCAAGGAACGCTTCCGCTATGGCCAATACAGCTGCCCATCATGCCAAGACCCTCTTTCGCATCCCCGATGCGGCGATCCCTGCTATGGTATGCCCATGCCCTTCAACCCTGACGAGTTCAACCAGATCCCACCGACAATTCCCGAATGTGGCGGCATTATTGCAGTGGAGTGTACTAACTGTGCGGTCAAGGCCTTTATCGATGGCCTCGCTGACATCTACAACTGCATGGACGTAGGCCCGAGGCCACTGCCCAACAACCAGTTCTATGCCTTTTCAGCCACTCTCAACGGCCATAGTTACTCATTCCTCCCTAAGGGAACTGTATGCACTAGGCAGCTTGAGATTCCGATCGATATGAGAGAAATCGTCAAGGAAACCAAGGAGCAGTTTCTTGACAAGTGGAAGGGCGTCTGGCGCACTTGGCAAGTCGGCGAGTTCGAGGTTCGGTTTGACCTCTACGAGAATACCAAGTATTATTCTCTCAAGTCAAAGATCAAGAGGTCGGCTAAGAAGTTGCAGAGGATTTTTACTCGCAAGCTCTGAATGAGCAGGCGCAGAGTTGGATCGACGGATGTTTTGATGAGACGCTAGGATGGCACCAGTCGTCAATAGCGTCTCTTCGTTCAACTTCTGGGGGGAATTAGTTGACAGTGCAGGACGCAGATGTCCCACAAAGAGCCTGGCAATTCTTGGCTGTTATTTGGGATCCTACTGATTTAACCTTTTTTTTCTCCTTTCTTTTATTAAATGAAACATTTTCTTCTGTTTCCTGTGCTAGAGGTAGTGGTCATTTGCCATTCGAACCGCCAGTCTGCCAGGGTGGCAAGAGCCAGTAGCCTGCTGTTGAAGTACAAACTGATGTCTCACAACTTTTTATTCTCTGAATGTGTCTTTGTGTCAAATGTTGTGTACTGCTCATGCAGACTCTAATAAATTCATCCTTCATTTATCCCTAGATCCATCTGATATCGTACATGCTCTCTCTCGCTCCCTGCTTTTAGTTCAGGTCAAAGCTCTTAGGGCCCTTGTAGGTCTGAACCATAGCATTGGGCTCCTTGGATGTGACGATCTGCTTGTTGGGAATAAAGTGCTCGCCAGTCTGGTTGCTGGAAGGAGTGACGGGCTGTGACACTGTGAGGGTGAGACCCCTTCGGCTGCGGACAATGTTGAACGTCCGTGAAGATTCCTTGCACGGGCCCTCCTTGACGTCAGGCAGGTTGCTGCCGCCGGTGGCACTGAGCATGATGTCGCACTGAACGGGTGTCTTTTCCATGGTGCCGGGCTGAATCACCCCGAAGGAGTAGCTGACGGTCATATTAGTATGTATGTTGCCTTGGAGTCGGAGCCGACTTACCTGCACTGAGTGCTGTGTGGGATGCAGCCGGCATAAAAGTCAGAGACGGTGAAGACGGGGCTTGCTGAAACAGCAGCGGCGGAGAGAACGGCGGCAGTGAAGAACTTCATTTTGTTGATGATTTAATAGTAAGGAATATGTTTCGGTGGTTTGTTTAATGATGTGTGCTTGAGGCTTGATGGGTTGGAGAATTGGAGCAGACGGAACTCGGACTTTATAAGAATTGAAAAAGGGAGCTCGTATTTCTGTCTTCATGCCTCATCTCGCCTGTATAAGTCGCCTCGTTTGTCGATCACCACCAAAGTGGACCCAATATGGGGATGATGCAACGTCACCATCCCCAGTTTCTCGTATTCCATATGCCGCGATGGGTCTGGCCTGAAACCTCGAGCTTCCGCCGGCAATGACATCACGCCCTTGCATTGGGGCGATCAGTTGGCATGCGCATGACGTCCATCAATGCCGTTTCAGCTGGCAGTGCTACTCTGCAAGTGGTTCGCTTACCGCTGAGGCGCCGATGTTCCGAAAATATCGTCCGAGAGGCTAATTTACGTGGTTGGTTCTCGGTCTGGGAGTTATTATTGAGCTGTGATCTACATGTAACGTTGTCCACATGCCACGGATGTTATGGAAGTTGCGGAACCATCCCATCTCGTGTTGCTCCTTGATGATATGTGTAGGCCTCCCTGAATGGCGATCATGAGGCGGAGCCGTATAGTATTCCGCAGCGCGGCTGTTCGTAAACGCCACGACATCATACAACGGCAATACTGCGGTGACAACACAGGTATTGAACTTGATGCTAGAGACGGCTGGCCCTTAGACACATTTATACCTTTATTACTCACTCCTAGGCCTAGAATGGAATTTGGGTTGCCCTCCGCGACAACGTCGCTCTTCCTTGACACTGGATGTAATACGCTCGAGTCTGAATTAGAGGGCATTCAAATATTCTGCCCAACTCCTAGCCCTATGCGATAGAAGATCCCTAGGTCAAAGTTTGAAGATACGTACAATTGGTTGAGGTACAGGTTCACTACCTATTTATGAACAGATCCACAAAACGCCCGGTTTGGATCGCTTTGCACCACATAGCCACCCCCGCCCGCGTCTCCATTGGAGCGTTCTGGAGCGTTTAATTATGACCTTATAGAATTGCGACAAATACCATTGTTCATTAAGGTCAGGATATTATGGTAGCGGTCAGACGTGGGGATGGCGTGCTCGATGGTGGGGGTCTGTCAACAAAACTCGTGACAGTCAAAGCCCGAGAATATTCTTATATCAGACAGATTTTTCTTACATATTCCAATTTGAATAGCGCTTTGTTCAGATGATGATCACTGAAAGGGAAATGGGGCATGTTTCGATGTTAGGTGTTCACTTCGAGGACTGGCATCCAGTCGAGGCGCTATCAGCTTTCAACAATTAGGAACAAAAAAGTCCAAAAGACGAGACAGAATTGTTTGCAAAGTCTATCAAACCTCTATATGAAAGCTGCCCAACCCCGGAATATTATTTCAACCGCTCCACCCCCTAATAATCATATTACGTCCTTCAAGCGTTGTTGATGCACCAGTAGATGCTGTACACGCTCCATCCATCAACTGTGTACAGGACACGAGCGGGAGATCCGGGGTTGGTGGACTTGTAGCAGTTGAAGTTGTGAAAGCCGTTGGTTCCCGTTCCGGTCCAAGCGTTGCCTCTCTTGCCAGCGGCGTCGGCAAAGATGTTGGACGTGAAGGTGACGCCAGTGCCGAAAGTTCCTTTTCGCAATCAGTCAGCCTTTAGTTCGAAGCGCGTATTATGAAGTGACTTACCCTTCACGGGCTGTCCCTCCCAGTGAATGTTTCCACCGTGGGTGACGTCGGTGTAGTCGTCAGGTCGAGCCTGGTTGGCAGCGGTGTGGCCTTCACCGTAGTAGGCCATGCCGCTGGAGTACTCGTTGCCTCGCTGAGAGTTCACCAGGTAGACATACTCAAGAGCGGTGGCGGACTGGGCACCGAAGAGGAGGGCGGCGATGGAAGTGAACTTCATTTTGGCTGAGGTGGATGGTTGGAGTAGATGAGAGAGGTCTTTGAGTGTTGGCTGAGTGCTTGGAGTTGTGAGTCTTGAGGAGGTCCACGACATCTAGTATTTATTTACTTCAGCCCTATCTACTACAATCAAGTACCGAGGGTCACTTACACATCGAGTCGGGCGGAATCTTGGCTCCCGTCTCGGCAAGCTTGTCTGACATAAGCCACCTCTCACGTCAGATTCTAGAAGTTGTATGCAGGAGAGAATGCGTTGAAATGCAAGTATCTGAGCTATTATTCGTCAGAGCTAGACCTCAAATTTCCACAAGGAAAGATACCTGAGGCAGGTGGCCTCGAAATCGAGACCCCCGCTTATGATATGCTCGGCCCGTTCGTCAGCTGTCCATACACGGCTCTTTAACCGGCGGCCGACTCCTCCACTCAGACCCATCTGGGGGAGAGCTGAATGCTGGGCAATCTATCAGCTGCCTATTCCGGCCTGTGAGAGGTCGAGGTGGATGTGTTAGATTGTATCCGCTATTTGTAGTTGACCCTTTGTCAACCAGTCATGCAACCTGATGCAACTTGGATACTGTTGCCCCTTGAAGAAATGAATGCGTGATTGGGGCACAGATAGATCACGCTCCCGACTGTTGACAGTGATTCATTTTACTCGACTCTGGCTTCACCGCTTCTTCAACCATCAACAATGACATTCTTGCGTTTCTGACATGCATCAAAGAACGCGCGCTTTATTGTAAAAATCACAGGCTAGACTCAAAGGAAAATCCTCAAGTAGACACAATATGACCACCCACGCAAAAAAAACGTCATCTGCTGGGGGTTGACCGTCGCCGGCTCAGCTAGTAGTCTACCATACTCCCTGGTCACATCTAGGAGAAATCGTTGGGCCAGCACTTCTCCTTGGGCCACAGCTTCTGGTCATGAGTCTCGGCATGCACCTCGAGCTGAAGCTTGTTGGTGTTGACGATCTCTTTCCGGCAGTTTTGGCACTAAGGGTCGAACACGTCAGTGTCATGACATGATAGAGCAGAGGGTCGACTCACGATTGATGTGGGCTTAGGGGCCTTGACAGGAAGTCCGTTTCGCTTGACGGGAGCTCGAGTTCCGGCAGCATCGGCCTTCTTGTGCTCCTTGTTTCTCTACGGCTAGAGTAAGCGGGCTATCACGAGCAAATAAAGATTACTAAACATACTCGGTCCTTCTTAGAGATAGGCATTTTGAGAATGTGTGGTGGAAAGGTGGAGAAACAAGTCTGATTGAAGTTGAAAGGTCTTGGTAGAAGTAATGTCACGACGCTAGGTATTTGAAAGAAGGGAAGAAAAAATTCTCCTTGTGGGGGGAAAACGTTTTCTTTTTTTAGTGGGCTTCAGCAAATGCTCTTAAGCCATCTAAGCTTGTAAGACTCTCGGCGCTGATGTCTGTATCGGATTTAACGCCAGTCTTATCGGTCTAGACTCAAAGCGCCTGATTAAAGCTCAGACCTGATTTGAAGCGCGAGATGGGAGGTAAAACAGGTGATAATTAGTATCACCATCAGTAACGATATTTTCAGGTGCAAGGACTCTATGAGACTGGTGACTAGAGGAGTTTGGCATTTATTGGGGGTTGAGTAAGTCGCGTCGGCTAGACTAGGAGCTCACTTGCGACCTCACAATGCAAGGCGTACTCTCTGTTCTAAATTCCAACTATCCGCCTACCATTTTGCTGGAAAGTGTAGTATTCTTGATTTGGCAGCTATGTCGAAGTACTCTTGGGCTTTGGGTGTGGTGTGTGAGGTCAGCCAGTCGCTCCTGTTTGAGCCGGTCGGAGCTCTTAAAAGACTCGCCGCCTCTCGCTGGCTAGGTTTGTAGTTGGCTCTCCCTATGTCAATCTGAACGCAGGAGCATTGTATTTAATCCACTTTTTGAACATAGATAGGGTTGTGACTGTGGTCTTTGGCACTTACAGGTTTCAACGACCTGTTGGCCACAACCCGCTATCAGTACGAATGGCGAATTGAGATAAGAACCCAACTGTCCAGGTCTACGAGGCGCTGGGTGATCAATATGGAACAGTGCAGCGCTAAAGTAACCAGGGTTGCTAGCAGCAATTCACCCCTCTGTTGGTTGTGGCATTGAACAACCCTAGCAACACTGGGGGCTTAGACAAGACGAAGGATCAACTTGAAACGCTTGGCGGATCATGTGATGCCTTCCCCGGACTCTCACTCTCAAACGTCGCGTCCTTCCCAAGGCAAGCTTTCAATCACTTCAATCGTCTTTGTCCAGGCCATTACCACGAGGAAATGTCTGTCCCTATGAACGCTTTCCGCGTCGCGACAGACGCTGTCCAAGCAACTGCCTTGACTTCTCGTATCATTTGCTTCCTTGCTTTCGCCACTGGCCTCTTCCATGGCCCCCGAGACACATATCAAATCGGCGGCTTGGTGGGCCATAAAACTGTCGGGGATATCATAGACGAGCTGTCAGATGCTCACATCAAGTTGAATGGCCTTAGCCGCTCGAATTCTGATAACGAAGATCTGCACAGACTTGTTAGGGAAATCACAGAACTGTCAAGTCGGCTGTCAAACATCATCGCCGAGTTCAAAGAAGCAGAGCTAAACAGCCAGGAAGCAATATGGCCAGGCTTCCTTGAGGCTAGGAAAGCCATTCATCGTGACGAACAAGTGTTACAGTTTGAGAACGATCTCCATGGTTACCAAGATCGCATTATCGCGATGCTGACTTCTTTCGTCAGGTATCTAGCCATCAGAAGTGGCCCAGTATCAAGAAACACGACTGACTTAATAACAGACCCAAAATCGACAGACTGTTTAACTTGATGTCTGACGCAAACGTCAAAACTGGGTATAGTGATATCCAAAATGTCGTCAAATCGTTGAACGAAGGCCTCTCGGCTTGTGCTAGGGTGTATGGGAACGTGCGGACCCAACAGCTTGTACGAGCGCAACAAGAAGAACTTTCCCGGATCCGGAAATTTCGCGTTTTGAACATTCTCGAATACGACAAGATGCGACATCGTCGGAATGAGGTCCAGGAGCAGATTGCCAGGATTCAAGAGGAGCTGACGCCCTATGGAGGGATATTTCCCTGGGCTTTTGGCGTCGATGAAGATGAGGTTGGTGAAGAGGAACAAATGTTGAAGTACAGAACTAGAGATGCTTTTGCGGACTGGCTTTCATCAGAGGGTGGTACATTTTACATTTGGGGGAAGCCGGGATCAGGGAAGACCATCCTGATGGAGTACTTGTTCAGTCATCCTACAACGATGAGGGAGCTCGAAGCGAGATCCGGTAAGTCCCCAGAGTCTCTTGAGCTGTGATTAGAAATGGTCGCTAACCTGAACTCACCAGAATCGAAGAAAGTCATCCGCCTTGCACACTTCTTCTCCACCCTGGTCGGAGGCGACCAGCAGACTCTCACTGGTCTCCGAAGAACACTGCTCCACGACTTGCTCGACCAGCACCCTGAGTTCCTTTCCGACTTAGGACTCTCTGAAGTCGAGTTGGACGACAAGTCGATTACTCACTGGGGAGGTGCAAACGCCAGAAACGCATTGAGCGCCGCACTCGATGGCATCATTGAAAAAGCCGTCAAGTCTGGGACTTGTGTTTGCCTTTTCATTGACGGCCTTGATGAGAACCAAAATCCCAACAAGCCAGGACAGGATGACTTGATCATTCAACTCAAAGCATGGCAAGACTTGGGCGTCAAGTTGTGCTTGGCTAGTCGAGAAGATCCTCCCTTTGAACATCTCCCAGCCCAGAAGGCTATGACCCTGCATCAACTCACGTATTCCGATATGAAGCGTTCGATCACTCAGTGGATTCATCAGTTGGATAGCATCAACCAAGAGACGGCTGAACTTCTTGAGAAGGAGATGCCTGTCAAGTCAGGTGGCAACTTTCTCTGGCTTACGCTCGCCATGAAGGATGTTTGTAGATGGTTATCCGACCAGACCGAAGTGGAGCTCGCTCAACTCATGTTGGGCGATATCTCACCAACATTGGATGGCGTTCTCTCAAAAGCACTTGACAACATCGGAGATGGCAAATACGGAAAGAGGAAAAAATCTTCCACTCTTTTGATACTGCATTTTCTGGAAAAGTATCACCTTGACCTTGACTTGATAGGGTACTCATTTCTCGACGCCTACTTCAGGGACCCTCATTTCACAGACAGACTTTACAAGTCGCGTCTAGAGAATTTCAACGAGGCTGTCCAGAGTGCTCGTGCCGCCTCAGCTCGTCGTCGACTCATGAGTCTTTGCGGAGGCTTTGTTGAAGCAAGTCGTGACTCTCGGCAGCTGAAGTACACACATCGCTTGACCAGAGACTTTCTGCAGCGCGCCGATGTTCATCAACGCCTCGTGGACTTTTCCGAGGGTTGCAACATTGGCGATATGGCATCCAATCTCATCCTTGCCAGCAAAATTCTCACTCTCACCGACGGTCATACAATTCCCCATACTATGGTACAGCAGCTGCTGCAGATCCGCATCGACAAAAGCTTGGATAAGGAGCCTTACATCTTCTTGAACATCTTTGAGAGCCTCCCACTCCCAATAGATCTCCTGAAACCCCCTCGAAGCGAGATCACCGAAGAAAACAGTGACGGGAGCCACTCGAAGGATGATTCGAAGGTAGCCAGTCTAGGACTCAAGTTGATGGAAGCGCTGTACTGCTCGCCCTCTTGCATCTTGACTCTCAGAGGCATGTACGAGTACCCATCCTGGAAGCTTCAAAACGACCCGACATGTCTCAACACCGAAGAAGAGATCTTTTATATGACTGATCTCTTGATCGCACGCGCCTTCTATCGAAAGTTAGAGGAGCCAGACCTGAGATTCATCCGACTCTTCCTGCAATCCAGACGACAATTCTTTGAAGCTGGGATTCGGTGCTGCGCCGCGCACTACAAACAGAAGCAAAGTATCATTCAACTCTACCTCAGCAAGGTTCTGGTGCGACAAACCCTCAATCCAAGATCTATACCTCCCCCACTTTCGAAAGCAAACCAAATAGCTAACATCGGGCTGATGATCGAGCTACTCTTGCGTTCCGGTCTGGTCAACAAGCCGTGGTTCAAAATCACAACCATCACCACGCAAGGAAGGAAACAAGAGATGACATTCAGAGCTTGGATCATCAAACTCAACCCGCCAAATAAGGATAGAATCTTGCAAGCAATGCCTTGGAACCCGATAGGTATGGTTGTGGGTGTGGCGATGGGCATTTTGGTAGGCATTTTGATACATCTCATTGGTGAGTCTGCTAACCATGTCTCTCTTGACGTCTTAGAGCTAAAAAATCGAAATAGCGAGGTATACGGGGCAGAATTGGATGAACGCTCTTATGATGCTTCCTGGCATCTGGAGGTTTTGTCGGGGACGGGAGATGATCCCCAAGATTCGTTGGAGGAGGTCACTTTGAGACAGTTTCGTTGCTTCAGTTCTTCGATCATGCATAGTACGGAATCGTTCGGGAACAGAATCAAGCCCAGACCCGGATTATTTACGTTTAAATAAACAGAAAAATCCACTTCAAAGCCTCCGAGAAGCGACATGAGATGTTAAATACAGGCGCGATATACAAACCGAAATGTTCTCCTACACCACCATCCATGGACTTCTTGCTCTTTTTATCCTTCCGTTACAACAGAACGGTGCTCGCTATAACAACAACAGCCATCGCAGCAAGCATGCTAGGAATGCATGAGACTCCGGCCGAAGACTCTTCTGTAGCTGTAGCACTTCCAGACGCCTTAGTCTCACTTGCAGAGCCCTTCGTAAGCGTTTCTTCGCTCGTGACGGCCCTAGTCGCATCATCCTCAGTGCGGACCGTAGCGGTGGCCTTGTTCGATGACGACTCTGCGGCGACAAGTAGATCTAGGCCCTGGGTTATGGCGACAGGGTATGGAGCAAATGTAAACTCCTCGTTGTCTTGGCCGGGTTCGTGGCTTAAGGTCTGTGTGACTCCACCCTCTGTCACTCCTTCGTTGGTAACTGTGCAAACCCGGGCAACAGTTCCGCTCATTTCGCAGTGCTCAGAGTATGTGTAGTTCTTTCCTTCGTCCTCGTAGACGTTGAACTGGTTAAACACGCCCATGATGGCAGCTTCAGAAGGCGAGTATGAGCGAGCCCAGGGCCCCAGGGTCATGGTTACAGTGGACCCATCGCATTCACTTATATCGGTGATTTCTGTGCGGCACCCATGAACGAGGTACGTAGTTGCTGTAGGTTCGGCCCCAAGGACTGCGACTGCAAGTCTGCCGTCTCGAGGGGGTAGAATGAGGGAGGTAGAGAAACTCGAGACCATGTTCGGGGAAAGGGGCTCGGTGAACAAACTAGGAGCGACGATGGTGTTTTGAGTACGGAAAAGGAAGTGAAGGAAACATGTAGGGGACAAGTTCGAGTAAAATAATGTGCATTGCAGTGGTCAAAGCGAGGTCACTGGGTCCGATGCTGTTGGTTGACAACCAACACAGCGTGATGAAACAGTAACCAACCAAATGTGTTTCATCTTTATGGGCTGATATGGGGATTTAATTGCATTGCTCATTGCAGGAAACGCCGAGCAGGGAAGAGTCTTGGAAAATTCTCACCGCAATTTGAGATGGTTCGATGAAGCGTTCAAAGACCAACCAACCGGGAATCTGCATATTGTGATACAACTTTACTTCTTCATACACTACATCAATTTCCTGAATATTGACGCCAATTTGGCCGCCAACGATCCAATCGCCAAGCTTTCCATTAAGCCTGCGTCAACATGACACTAGGTAAGTAAACTACCCACCTAGGCTCCTCGCAACTCCATTTTACCACCAGCAACATCCGACTTGGATTTTAGCTCTCAGCACCAAGAACTCGAGCGACTTCCTCGGCAACGTTGTACTCAATCACCGCCCGAGTCGGTTTTGTTGCAATACTAGGAAAGAAGCCTGCAATCATATAAGTACCATGCCAGAAGCACATCCCATGGCATAACTCACCGATGACCTTCATGAACGTGTACATTGCATACTCTTGAATAGCTCCCATTGTCCGCTTGGAGCTTTGCATCTTCTGTGCGGCTTTGAGAATCTGCCTAACTCGAGGTTGACGGAGGTCCATGTACTGCCTGGCCGCTTTGTTGATGGCTTGCTTGATCGATGCAAGGTTCGAGGAGTCATCCTGCTCACTTATGTCATCAAGGCTATGAGCCAAGAAAAGCGTAAACGCCTCGCAATCTTCGAGGGCTTGGGATGCGCCCTGGCCTGAAGTGGGTGGAAGTGTATGTGCAGCATCTCCCAGCAGAACAACTCCGTCGCGCTCCCATGTCGGAAGCTCCGGTGACGTCCAGGTTGGATACATGTTCTGGATATGAGCGGACTTGAGGACGCTTTGTACCACTGGATCCTTCCACTGGCCATGCCTTTCGCGCAGTTGGCGCATAACGTCATCCATATCCAGAGACTTGGGGTCGGGGCATTCCTTGATCTCATAGGTTGACCACCAGGCGAGGGAATCGCCCGGCTCGCATACATGAGAAGGGGAATCACGTTTAGAATCCGATGGAGAACTTTCCGAGAAGAAGTAGCCAAAGAAGCCACTACCGCTGAACACAAAGTTGATGGACCCCTTGTCGACGCTTTCCCTGACATCGTCGGCTGACACAAAACCCCCGATGCCAACAAGGCCCCTGGAAAAGAGTCAGCGATTTTTATGCGTCACTGGTCAGGCATGATTCACATACTCATATTTTGGGGGGTACGGATTGTCTTTAGCATCTGGGAAGAGAGCTTCTTTGGCAATGGACCGGACGCCGTCGGCTCCAATGACAAGGTCGGCTTCAACAGAGTCGCTGCCATCGACAAAGCGAACAATGTTCTTCCCCTGCAGATTGGCAGTCACATTCAACACGCGCTTGTTGACGATGTGATCATCCGGAATGCGATCACGAAGACACCTCCAAAGCGAATGGCGGCTGCATGCAACGGAAAACATATCCGACACGAGGCCGGGCCCCATGCGCATCAGAACGTTGCCGTTTTTGTCCTTCAAATTGGAGTGAGACGTAACGTAGCCATTTCGCGTGATGTCGCAGAGGAGGTCGTCGTCCAGACGTCGCAGGACACCGAGCCCGTTTGGCGCGATGGCGAGTCCACCACCAACAATGAGAGTTGAAGAATGGGTTGGGTCTTGCCCTCGCTTTTCAGCAGTGGTATCCCTGGCAGTATCGTACGCTTCGTAGATGGTGATGTCTGGGGCTCCCTTGAGGTGCTTCTTCAGCTCAAGATACACTGCGCATCCGCTGATGCCAGCCCCGATAATAACGATTCTCATGGCGACTGTACGAGAGCTATTAGAAGTCAAATTTCGGGCCAAAGATTGCGAAAACTAGGGCTTGACAGGAAGCAGAGGATGAAGGAGTTGTGGAAGTGGACGAACCAGGTGAAGAAACTGAATCCTTGAGCCAATCTTTTGTCTTAAGGTAAATATGAAAAGGAACATTGAAGATGAAATATTTCGCATTTGAGCAATGCTGAAAGAGGACCTCTTTGTATTGTCTGTTCGCTCTCGACTTGGACTCCAGCTGGGTGCGAAATGAGACTCCCCCTGTAGCCCGCCCCATGCGTGAGAAGTCGCTAACTCGCAAAGCTAACGGTATCGAGTCAAGCCTCTTCCCCTTGACTGGCTAGTGCCCGCCCTAGTCCGCCACGATCAACAACCATTGTTTGCCTCGAGCGAGTCTCGACTGTCACCATCGACTGTGATAACAACGAGCTTCGTAATAGCCATGCGCGGCAATCGGTCAGGAGGGGAGAAAATGGCTTGAAATTGAATCGCATCGGAGTAATTTCACCCATTAGGGTAGTGTTGAAGAATGTAAGCGGCCACGTCAGCAAAGTACTCGTGGGAGACCGCTGAGATATCCGAAAGTCCTCCTCCCTGATGCCTGTCCCTTTGGAGCAACGCAAGAGCCATATTTCTCTGCTCGGGTGATGGGCTCCATAGGCTAACAACCTTCAGCTGTAGCGTTATCATTATAGACCCACGATCTGGCGCAGGTCCAGACATCTCATCGATGAAATGACTCGCCGATAAGATGGACTGTGCATGCTGCCTTGCACATAGATCATTTAAGGGTGCTGAAGGGGACACGAGGTGTAACAGACGGAAAGTGATGAGGTTTGCCGCATCATAGAGAGAGCACAAGGCTGCGGCTGGGATCGATGTGTGCGTCAGCAGTGGCTGACCTTCGTCTGGGTCACATCCTTGTTTCGGTGATATTTGTCCAAAGGGGTTGTTCTCTATGCACCCTGACCACCACTGAGAGGCCTGGAGCATGGTATCTCGGATGAGAGCATCGAGGGTCGACCTCAGGTCACCGCTCGAGTCAGATTTGATGAGTTGGTCTGCAACCGAAAGGCACCCGAGAAGATTGAATAGAACATCAATGAGCTGGTCAAAAACGAGTTTCGTGCATACTTGAAAAGGGATTGTCATCCAGTCTTGCGTTGCAAAGACAGGCACTTCGTTTTCGGTCATGGCGGCGACAAACTGGTAGCGATTAGCCTCTCTGATGTCGTTATTTTAGGGAATACTCACCATCTGGAACCTTAGGTGACTGAATATTTGATGCATGAAACCATCACGACAACTCTCGGGCCCTGCCACCTGAAGTAACATTGCCGCGCCCTTGAGATGACGAAGCCAGGCTTTTTGGCTCGTGCCAGCCCAGGTTTCAAAGTGAATGAGCATCACGACGGCGCAAATGATACTCTCATCAACGGCGACGTTCCCCTTTGTCATTTGGAACTGAAGATGATGCAGTGCTTCTGCATACCACTTTCGAGCGGCCGTCTTGATGGACACATCACCTGCGAGAGTACCATAGCTAATCATCGATGCTGCACGAATGGCAGGCTTGGCTGAAGATGGCTCTGAAGAGGCTAGAAAGACGGGAAGCTCGTGCAGCCATATCTTTGGCGGTGTTCCTGGTGCTGGAGGTGGCTTCATGGTCCCGAAGAAGGACTCCACAAAATGTGAGACAAACAGCTGGTCAAATGCACTGGCTCGCGATGGTTGAGGGCCCGGTAGCCGTGGTATCGCACTGCATGCTCCGTGGCTCGAAGAAGAGCTTGGCACAGCGTGCACAAAGAATGTCCCGGTGCGCGCGCCCGGACACGGCAACCCCATGCGGACGCAAGCGAGGCATTCTGGCAGGGACTCGTCGCACTGTGGGATGTCAGTAGTTACCTAGGCACAGTAATTAGAGTCGCCGAACCTTGACTCTACGCTTTCGGCACGTCGCGCAGCCTCTGCTTCTGCCGGGGACGTTGACCATGGCGTTGGAGATTGTTGCTTCAGCCACAATTCCGTTGTGTTGCTCGTGAAGGCGCTGATTGACGACACACGTGACTCCCCTAACGTTAGCCAAAGGTCATCAACGCATTGCAGTAGCTACAGGGGAATGAGCACGCTCAACTCGCTTACCTAGGTGAGAAAATGGCAACTAGGCTATTTTTACCTTCCAACCCTCGACTTGAAACTATTCTCACGTTCTTTACCTTTGGAACGGCTACCCGTGCCGCCTGGGCTGCATTCATGGGTTACCCTACACCTTGCCGAATGGCTGTCTGCGAAATGAAGCCACCGCGAGTCAGGCTCTTATAATCAATAAGGGGGCCATTGGATACGTTGAGGAATGTATAGGCCTGAAGAGAAATGATGTAAGGGGGAAATTCTCTCTGCATTCTCGTTCTGTTTTGCCACATTGACCTATCTATGTTCTTGTGAACAACCCACCTCAAGGCAACAAAACTCTAGTATCCCTATTGATCAAGCCAAATACCAATCCACTTGTTGTTAACCCTATCAAAAGACTGCAGCTTTGAGCTCGCCTTTAATGACCGTCGAAGCTCTCACCTGGCTTCACTCCTAACTGGCCTCACTCCTAACTGGCCCTTGGTGTTCACCAACCCCATCGGGAACCTGGATGCTTTCGTAGAATTCCAACAGCTTCAACTTGCTTATGCCTTGAGACACGCTGTCCCTGCTCACAGGGCTCATGCTACTAGAAGTGTTACGTAACTTCCGAACCCAGCTGTTGAATGAGATGATATCCACTGGGGTGTTCTGGCGTTTTTGCAGCCGCTCTCGAATTACTGGAAGAATGGACTGCCAGCGAATAGTCTTTGGGTTCACCACGTGGAAGAATTGGGAGTCAGTTTCGATTGATGAGTCTGAGGTGAAGACCATTTCCGAGATGATTTGAGAGGCAACGTCGATGGGGACCCAGTCAATATTATCCAGGCTTCCGAGAGCCTCCGGCAATGCTCGCATTTCGGATGAAGTGCGAATCAACTAGCTGTGTATTAGCAAAATGAATCAACGGAAGCAGACTCTACTAACCGTGGGTAACCACTCTTTCGGATTCCATACACCATGATCAGAGCCCTTTAGTGCTGGACCAGACATCTGTCCCACACGGCAGACTCTCAAACACAGAATATCAGAGTTGGCGGCCTCGTGGAGAAGAGTCTCTGCCACCATCTTCGAAGCTCCATATCCAGTCCCAGGCGCAGCAGTGTCTTGAACCGGAGCTTCGGGGACAGGACCAACATGTGTGGTGGACCAGTTGGTAGCGACGCCGATGGAAGAGATGTAACAGTAACACACATGCACAGCGTTCCTAGCCTCAGAGCAGAATTGAATGAGGTTGCTGACACCTGCGATCTGACTCTCGAATGACCAAATTGAAAGATTCAAGTTGACCTGCCAAGCGTTGTCTGTAATCCTGTTAGCTTGTTGTTCCTAGTTTGGATGAAAGAGGAGGCCTCGTACGGATGACATGCGTAGTACTCTTCAGAAGCGCCCTATAATCTGTCGCTCCTAGTCCCTAGTCCGGAAGTCCCAGCTGCGCTGTAAGGAATCTGACTTTGGATCCCCAGTCATTTCGCAGGCCTTTGTCTTTGGCAGATTGGAGCTGCTTCTGGACAGCATCCTGGTTCCTGTTAAGGCACCATACTTCAGAAACCTGCGGATCTGCGACGGGGGTATCAAGCAGGTAGCTGCCCAAGAATCCCGTGGAGCCTGTAAGGATGACACGTGCACCCTTTGGTTTTGGTTCGAGACTGGGTGTGTACTTGGCAAGGAGAGTGCGAATGTCATCAACTGCACTCGGAGGATTGATGTCTTGAGGCTGAAGAGATTTCCAAAGCGCCTGACTCGTCTGTCCACCGAAGGATGATCGTAGATAGTTTTGAGTTGCAGAAGTTGACCGGACGCCTCGATGGAACGGTGAAAAAGCTGTATTGACAAAGAGTCGAATCCGGATTGGAAAAGATCATCATCGGCCGCCAAGGACATGTTTCCTATAGCCTGACGGGCGGATTTAAGAAGGCTAGCGTGAAGTTGATCAAAGTCAGAAAGGTTGACTTGCGAGCCTAAGCTTTGTTCCTGGTACAACGAATCGATTTCCTTGCTGAACTTGACATATGTGGCCTTCCTAGAGAGGGTTCCTTTTGGTGTCCAGACGAAAGGTTCGTCGACGATCTGTACAAACTGGCGGTGAATTTGGGCATATGACGACATTGAGGTGTTGCAGTCACCAATGGCCCTCCAAACCAGATCCAAGGTGGTCCCGTCAGCTTTGGAGAAACCATTGGCCAGCTGCACGAGTACAGCGACCTGGAACTTTCCTGAACCAACGAGACATGCCGCTTGTATTGCTGGCTGCTTCGACTACTGTGCTTCGGCCCCAAGCGGATTGATCTTCATGCCGTTGGACAGGATCAGTAGGTCATCTTTCCGGCCCTCAAACTTCCAGAGCCCGGGTGTCTCGGGGTGAGCTGAGTACAAGTCCTGGGTGTGCCACACGTTGAGCTTGGGAAAAGACACAAATATGGGCTCGGTCACTGACTTGGGTCCGGAATATTGGGTCAAGAATCTGGTCAACCCTGTCAACTCCTCCGGCGCCTTTTTAGGTTCAAACTGCTCTTGGTCACTCCGCAAAGAGGGTTCGCATCAGCCCTCGCCTTGAGATTAGCAGTCTTGTGGAACTTGGCCCCCATTCTGCCCTGCAGGGTCCATTGAGACAGATTCTTGAGCAAACTCCGGGACGTCATCAGAACATCCGATATGTCAGCGTCTTGAAGAGGAAGGGAGATGCTGTCAAAACGGCTGTTCAGGCATCAGGTACACTCGCCTGTGTTGGGTATCCCGTCGACTTCTCCGCCATCAACCAGTACCATGAGCTTTCCCTCAAGGAGCATACGCCCTTGGTAGATCTGCCTTCTTATTCCTGGAACAGAGATAGGGTCTTCTGGCAGGAATCAGCAGCTGTTGCTGCGTACAGAAACCGGAAGATCCCGCGTCTCGATCTCCTGGGAGTACTCGATGAAAATTCGACACTGAGTGAGCCCAGCTGGAAGAATTACCTGAGGATCTCTGAACAGCCTTGGATTGAGCACCACAAGTTTCAGGGCACCAACCTCTACCCAATGGCGGGCATGATCGTCATGGCAATCGAGGGTTTACGCCAGATACTCAGCCTTTCAGAGGTCAAGGGCTACCAGTTCCGTGATGTCACTGTGCATCAGGCTTTGGTTGTTCCGTCGGACCAGTCTGTACAGACGAAGCTTGATATCAGACCCTGGCGCCATGGTTCCAGAGCACGGACCGTGGTGTGGAGGGACTTTTCAGTGTCAAGTCGGAGTCAAGACGGAGCTTGGACTACCAACGCTACTGGGCTGGTCTGTGTGGAGATGAAGGCGTCCAAGCCAGACTCTTCCATCTTTGTTGACGAGGAAAAGGAAGCTGCCAAGGAGTTGAAGGATCGGCTAAGCCGGGTCGATGCCATGCCACTCGAGACCCAAGATACAGATGAGTTCTATTCAGATGTAAGTGCAGAATGCTTTGCTCGAAGTCCTGATAACTAATATAAACTCACAGGTTTGTGCCTCTGGCCTTGATCTCGGACCAAGCTTCCGTTGCGTCTCGCAGCTCAAGGCCCATGGTACCGATGCCACCTTTGTGTTGACGGTCCAAAACACCAAGAAATGGGCCCCTCTAGAGTTTGAGCATCCACACTTGCTGCACCCAGCCACCCTTGACGGCTTCGTGCACTTGCTCATCTCGAGCGCGGCGGGTACAAACGGCTTGTTCAGTGCAAGAGTCCCCGTCTTTGTGGAGTCACTGTTTGTTTCCGAAGGCTTCGACTCGACATTGAGCATGTTTGGACTACGCGAGCCGACAATTTCTCTGACCGGGAGTTCCGATTGCGCGATGGACAAGTTCAGGTCGAGCGTCCCCAACCTGATTCTTCTCTCACTGGTTTGTTGAGTGAGAATGAAGATGCCAACGGGCCGTCAGTTACGCGCCCATTCCAAGCTCAAGGTCAGGCTGACGTGCAACTTCGAATTCGTCATCCTGGAGCGCTCGACTCCCTTGACTTTGTCGAAACTGCTCCTCAAGAGGAACTCCTCGAAGACTACGAGATGGAGATGGAGATCAAGACTGTCGGCCTCAACTTCCGTGATGTCATGGTTGCTATGGGACAACTTCAAGATGATGTGCTCGGCATTGAATGCGGCGGAAGGGTTATTCGTCTGGGGCGGCAGGTCAAGAACTTTGCTCTGGGAGACCGCGTGTTTGGAATGCATCGAGGATGTTTCAAGAGTTCCATCAGGGTTGACGCTCGTACTTTCGAAAATATCCCTAGCGGAACCAGTTACGACGAAGCTGCGACCATACCCTGCACGTTTGGAACAGCGTACTACGCACTCCATGATGTCGCCCATCTCCAGCCTGGAGAGTCTGTCCTGATTCACTCGGCAGCTGGAGGCGTTGGTCAAGCTGCTATCCGTGTGGCACAGCACATCGGGGCTACCATCTACGCAACCGTGTCGACCTCTGAGAAACGAGACATTCTTATCAACACCTACGGGCTACTCCCTTCCAACATCTTGAACAGCAGAGACCTTTCGTTCAAACGCGGCGTCCTCCGTCTAACTGAGAATCGGGGCGTGGATGTGGTTCTCAACTCACTGGCCGGCGAAGCTCTTCGACAGAGCTGGCTTTGCGTAGCGCCATTTGGTCGCTTCATCGAGCTTGGCAAGCGAGACATGTATGACAATACTGATCTTGATATGCTCCCGTTCGCAACAAACATCACATTCTCCGGAGTCGACCTTTTGATGATCAACAATGACTATCCCTTGCGTTTCCAGCAGATCATGCGCAATGTGGTTTCGTTGATGAACAAGGGCGTTGCTCAGCCGCTGCCGTTGACGCGGTTTAGCCTTGAGAATATCACGGCAGCTTTCCGTACGATGCAGTCGGGCAAGCACATGGGCAAATTGGTGATCAACTGCGAAGAAGCCAATGCTCTTCCGGTAAGTGTATGGAATGATACTCTAGAACAAGCTTACTGACAGATTTTAGGTGGTGCCGGCAAGTCTCGACTCTTTCAGATTTCCCAAGCAGGCCACATACGTTCTTGTTGGTGGCTTGGGAGGCATTGGTCGCTCCATTGGTAAGACGATGGTCGACATCGGGGCCTCGAACCTTGTCTTCATCTCACGATCTGTGGACTCTGGACGTCAAGAATATGTCGACAAACTCCGGCAACTTGGTGTTGCTGTTGAGGTCTTGAAGTGTGACGTGTCAGATATAGTCGCCTTGAAGCCCTTATTGGAGGACGCTAAGCAGCGTTTACCTCCTATCAAGGGTGTCATCAACTGTGCCATGAACTTGAAGGTAATTTTCTCTGGCTTTCCTTATCCTTGTTCGAACACATGCTAACCCGTGCGCTCTAGGACGGAATCATCGAGAACATGGCCGTGGATCGATGGAATGACGCATTGAGGCCCAAGGTTCAAGCAACCCTCAACCTTGACCGACTCTTGAACATGCAGCTGGACTTTTTCATCTGCCTTTCCTCGGTTGCTGGCATTGTTGGATCCAGAGGACAGAGCAACTACAACGCTGGTAGGTTATCTCACATTACCTGACCTTGCAGAGTTTGTGATGCTAATGTCGCGGAATAGGAAACACATTCCAGGATGCTTTCGCTCACTCACTGTCCGAGTCCAACTTCCAAGCCACGAGTCTCAACCTGAGTCTCGTCACCGACGTCGGGGTTTCCACTACACGCAACGAAGTCTTCCAGCTCTTGAAGGGAGGCGGTCTCATTGGTATGGACGAGCAAGATGTTCTCAAGGTCGTCCGCGCAGCTGTGGCGGGGAGATGTCCTCCACAGGTGGTTATGGGCCTCGCCAGTGGGGGTCGACTATATCGTCAAGAATAGTCCGAGCCTTACTGGTTCACTGACTCGAGATTCTCGCCGGTCCGCGCACATGGAATGAGCATAGCAGCAGACAACGCTGTGGGAGAATCGGACTTGAAGAGTCGCCTATTGAGTATGAAGGCTCTTTCCGAGGTTACGGAAGCCATCCTCTTCGACCTTGTGGGCAAGGTGTGTCAGATCGTCAACATCTCCAGAGAGGACATTGACTCGTCAAGAGCCGTCAACTCGTACAGAATCGACAGTCTTTCTGCGGTCGAAACCCGGACATGGATCTCCAAGGAACTTGGGGCGTCAGTTTCTGTGTTCGACATCGTCAGCAACAGCACCATGACGGACCTTGTGGAGAAGATTGGCCGGGCATCATCTTTGGTTTCGCAGAGTGTCAAAATGTAAGAGCAAGTCAAATCAATGATGATTGGAAGGGTCCTTTTTTTTTGGAATCAATACTATAGCATGAGCTAGACAGATGATACGATCGAGCTCAAGTCTTACTCAACCAGTCTCACCATGCCAGATCCACATGCATGCTTCGTTCATGGCCTCTACACACCTCTCAAGACGTCCATTCAGCTCACTATCTCAAGTTTGACTGACCTCACATCCAAATGTCTTCTTTAGGAACGTGACACATTCATCCATACTTCGTGACAAAGGCACTGCCTTGACCGGCGCAGCGGGATTCTTGGGGTCTCGCACGATCCCCATGGGCCATCGTCCACAAAACATCCATTCCAATTCTGGTAGAACTGCTGCATATCTTTCGGCATGGCTCAGCATGCGGTTTCGATGAGCCCTAGTCCAGTCTCGCATGTCATCATCATCAGAACCTTCGTCGTCAAGTCCAGTCCCCTCAAGGTCCTCTTCAATGTCAAGCTCTGGTCGGAGCTTAGCATCCCGAATCTCTGCGTCGGTGACAGCGCATGCCTCGTAATAGTCATCAGAATAACGGTCATCTTCGTCCAGGGGGATTGGATAGGTGTCACGGGACAGGGCTAGCTTTTTGAGCTTCTGTAGCTTGCCCAAGGAAGCAAGTAGTTTGTCGTGCTTTACAGCCCATTGAGCTTCCTCTCCCGTCTGGTTGCCGACGGCGAGACTCAGTTGCTCAAGAGAAGTCAGGGCTTCGAGTGCTAAGAGCGACTTTTTGGGAATGCGAAGATTGTGCGGAATGTGGTCGTCATCTTCGTCACTGCCTCCACCCCAAGCCAACGAAAGAGAGCGAAGTTGACTGAAGTTATGACCAGTAAGGGCCGGAATGATGACGCGATCCAGATGCGCATCTCTGCCTTTTACCCAGTCTGCCTCATGAATATAGAGTTTCTTAACATGCTGGTGCCGTAGGATGAAATCCGTAATCAGTTTGCAAAACTGAGGGTGAAGTGGCAATCTAGGAATGGCAAAGGCTTCAAGATGTGGGAAATTCCGGTTGCAAAGGTCCTCAGCCGCATCCTCTATCGTAATTTCGCCAGATAACTGGATAGCCCGAAGATGGGGAGGGAATAGTGATGAAAACTCGACGTCACTGAGTTGGACAAACTCGAGCTGTAACTCTAGCAGACGGGGAAACGATATGGGATCTTTGCCGAATGAGATGCAGTGACTTTCGCCGGAGTAGATTGAGCCCTTGTAACTCCACCTCAGGGACTCGAGGGTTGGCGAGCAAAGTCGGAAAAGCGATGAAAAAACCTGGACATTTGGCCCACCACATCGGCTTGCGGCGGATAGGTCCGAGCCAAACTCGAATATTCCTCACTCATAACGAGCTCGAGGTCCAGAGATCGAACCGGCCACGTCGAAGGCAGTAGCGGCGGCTCCAATGAACCGGGTGGTCCATTCACCATGATTCTGCTCAGCTTGACGTGCTGGGCCTTCGATTGGGTTATCAGTTGGAAGAAGGCCGTGTCCAGAGCAAGGGGATAAACCCAGATGAGGGCCTCAAGGTTGGGCATTGCCGAGAGGCCATGGGCCAATGCGTTTCGAAGCTTGATGTACGTTTGAATGTCCTCCTCAGACAATGATGAACTCTTGACAGCCCAGAGCACGTCGTCGACATCCCTGGATGGATGGGCCGCAAAGGTGGCCCTTCGTACGCAAGCAGCAATCGAGGGCTTGGTGGTTTGACTCCCAGCTTCCTTCGCCAAGTGGGCAAAGAGCCCCTTGGACCGGGCACTGTAGTCAAAGGTGACCTCGGCGAATTGAGAGGTGCGGGCAAGCTGCCGGCAGTCACTATTGACGAGGGCAAGATTTGCCAGAGCCGACTTGCTGTCGCCTAACAAGTTGACGATTTCGGCCAGAATCTCGGCGGGCATCTGAAGTAGCCTGCTGCTGCTACGAGAGGCGCGTTCCTGACTCCCCATGACCGCATCGAGCAGAAGGGGCCGTTTCTTGTCTCGGTCCTTGCCGTATTGATCCACTGTTCGTTGGCTGCTGCCGCTGCCGCTGCCGCGGCCGCTCGGGCCCGACGTGAAAAACGAGAAGCCGCTGTACATTGTGCTGAGATTGACGTTGGTGGAAGAGCAGAAGATAGTTGGGTAGGAATCTCAACTTCACGGCTTCACGCAAAAGAACACATGAGAGAATGACGTAAAGGGCGTGTTGCGTGCGGGGTGAGACCATTTTGATGCCCGAGATGCCAGCAAAGCAGGCAGTTTGCTGAATAACAACATTCCTCTTGGAAAGACGTAGGCCCATGTTAATGCATTCGCAGAGCACCAAGGCATCAGAGCCGAGTTGTCCTAGAATTACTCTACTGCTTGGAACTAGCATGAACAATAGCAATTAACTAATAATGGGAATTGAAGTTTTTAGCCTAATTAATTTATTCCTCGCAACCCCCCCGGGCGCTCTAATAGCGTACTTTTTGGGCTGCTTGAAACCATGCACTGGGCACTAGACAAAATTTTATGGCGACTAGCGAATGTTAACAGCTACTTTTACTTTGGTGGAAACTCCACACAAACACAGGTAGTGTTGATCGTGGCATAACAGCTCCAAGGGAAAATGAGAACGACAGGACACTACTGTCGGCAACAGGTGGGAGTCGGCATCAGATGGAGGGAAAGGTTATCTTGGTCACTTTTGACGAAATAGGACAGGTATTTAACTTGACCAGATAATTTCTCACAATTAATCGTCGCGTGGTTCGTCAACGAGGTATGTAAGTGTTACACAGCTGACTACTCCACAGATCGCCCAGAAACGGTATCAAGGCAAGTCATTATGCTCGACTAATTTCGCATCCACTGTCAGCTGTTGACCAGCTTTATAGGTCTTATTAGGCACGGAACAGACATCAATATGCAGAGTATTCACTATTGTAGCCGTCAAGAATAGGGTAGAGTGAAAGCCGCCAGCAACATCCTGAACGGTAACCAGAGCAGAAATCGGGCCAAACCGTTCTGACACCTTGTCAAGGGCTCAATAATGATTTGACATACGTGGGAGGACTACTCTTAGGCAAAGACATCAAGCTCAGGACCATGTCCAAAGGTCACCCACAGAGACGCCTTGCATTGATCCATATGAACAGTCAATGGCACCGCCTTTGGTGACACTAACTAAAGTGCCTTTGAGTCGTGATGCAGATAATGAGGGCTGAATCCAGAAATGAGAGGATGTAAAGGCGATAAAGACGCCGACATTCCCTCCCACCTACACTAGTTATGAAACTCTTGGCGATTCGCGTGACGGAGCAGTCTTTATTATGCTTTGTAGCATTGTGTGGACTGTCTCACAGCGACTCCTGTATAGTCGCACATGAAAGGACTGGTTGACGTTGTTCACAGGAAAATCCTTTGTTGCGGCTCCAGTCGATGTTCATCATGCAGGTCTGGCTTTGTTCGCAGAAAGAAAATGTAAGAAAAAACCAAGTCAATAAGAGAATCCATGCCAAAGGCTTCGAGAGAAATCACACTTCAGGCATCACAACGGGAAGTCTATCAGCTAGAAACTTACGGAGGCATCACAGGGTTTTTGCCTCAATAAAACTTTCTTGGATTAGAAAATCTGTCTTGATGAGAAACCAAGTTTCGGTGGCAGAATGAAATGATAGATGTTGTCCCCTTTCTCTTTGTCTTCTTTGTCCCCGATCCCATTGTTCTAACCCTTCTACCCTCGCACTTCTTACTTATACCTTGTCACCCATCCATTCTTGTCTTGCTTGTTCAAGTACCATCAGACAACCAAGACCAACATCACCATGACCACACGTACTGGGTTTTCTACAAAACAGTACCTGCCTCATGATGCAGCGGGTGCATCTCAGCCACAGCCTCCGCTGGCCACCTCTTCACAGCACATCGCAGAGGCAACGGAGCAACGTGAGGAGCGTGCAAGCATCGACTCGGCATCCAGCTCGAGGAGAAACTCCATTCAGGGTCATTTAGAGCGTCTCAGGCGCCGTACGGCCTTCATGATTTCGGGCGAGTCAGTAATTGACCCCATCGAATGGAATTACCAGCGGGCATCACCAAAAGAGCCTGTGTGGGATTGGTTTGCGATGGACAATGTCTTTCACCGACCAGCACCAAGCGCCCGTGGAGATTGCAAACACCTGATTCGCCCGCTGTCTCCAAAGTCCCAGCCGACTCGGGATCAAGTGGAACTAGAGCGAGCCGTGAGGGCATATGAGGACCGACTTCGTCCTGTTGAGGATAAAGACGCAAAGCCAACAGACGCAACCGCCAACCCTCCACAAGTTCATTTACCTGTCCCCCTCCTGGACTACCAACCCGCAAAGCAGGAACTGGACAAAAACGGGATTCCTAAATTTTGCCCTCCGCTTCAGCCTCAATCTCTCAAACGGAAACCCTCGGGTAACGCCGACGGAACTAATGAGGATGGCGGACGCAAGAGAGTCAAAACGGCGAGCCTCGCCTAGCTTCGTGAGGCCAAGGCGAAGACCGGAGCAACAATTTGAATGGCCATAGTTCTTGACTAGGGAGTTTCTTCGTAGAAAAACGTGGGTTTGGAATAGACTATATATATACGTATGCGAATAAAATACACTCACACATAGCCGGAGGAGACTCCAATTTCTTCCTACAGGCAGAAAAATATCCTAGTGAGACCCCAGACCTATAGTCTAGCTCTTTATCTTCACTGCTACGATCTTGGCCGGTTCCGTAACCGTGCCGTTAACTGGCGTGGGTGTTCCACCATTTGTGGTAACGTACAGTACCAGTCTATCGTTCCTCGATGAACCAAATCGCGCAGAGGTACCACCTGCAACATCCAAACTACCAACAGCACCAGTAAGTGTAGAAATACGGCCATCGGGATCAACTCGAACGACTTGATTGAGACATATAGTCACAATATAAGCGGTGCTATGGGGCATAAGAGCACAGTCATCCATGGGAACTCCTGCAGCGATGGCTTCAGCTGCACCTGTAGCGGTGGCATTGTCGTCAATTAGAACGCGGAAGAATGTCTCGTTCGATGTGCTCGCGTAGAATAAGAAGCTGTTTTGCACATGAATGCCGTTGATACCCGCAAAGTCCGGGCCTGAGAGAACGATTTTAGACGCACCCGTGGCAGCATTGACTTTGTAAACCACCCCTAGGTTGATATCGGACACCAGAACCTCTGTCTGGCTGAATGGAGTAATGCCATTGACGAGTGACGCTTCCGTAATGGCCGTGATGAGCTAGTGGATGGACGTTTCTGGTGAAAGTCACGCTGAAAGGGCTTCATTGAGCCAGACTTGATGCCCAAAGGATTGACGGCCAAGTTGCCAGCGCCAAACACGAAGACTCCAGGTCTGTGTTCCGTGATGCCGATTATACTGAGAACGCCAGGGACTGTGACAACTGAACGGCCATGCCGGGTGGAAGGATTGATGAGCCAAAGCTCTGGCGAGTCTAGCCTCGTTGCCAAAAATTTCTCCATTGGACCGTGGAAGGGTGGCAAATATCTTGAGGATTGCAGCATTGCAGAGGCTTGGGATCCTTCTACTCCACAGTCGCACCCTGGTTATGCGGCTCATGCTTATGATGTTGAGAAAGCTATCAAGTGCTGGGAGAAATCAGTAGAGCTAGTTGGGATTTAAGACCATCGTCGATGCCGATTAGATTTGCTGTCCTCAATCCAACAGCACTACCAGCAGCGGATAAGAGCACCCACAGAAACATGGATTGGAAACGAACTGTTTGATTGGGTTACTCATTTTGTTTTTTCTCAACAAGTTCAGTAATGTCTCTAACTACTCCTGATGAACCCGACCCAGGGTGACAACACCCAACAGTAGCACGCAAAGTCCTCCTATAAACCACCCAGGTGTCATCGCCAAGCTCGTTCCTCCTGATTGGAGATCCTGGCCATGTCGGTTCCTGCTTTCAAGTAAGCTACTTGAGATCGCTAAAGTTAATGTCGTTGTCAGCCAACCGGTCCTCAAGCTTGTTGATCTTCCTGTCAGCCTTGACCAATAAATCCCTGAGCCTCTCGAGGTCCCCTTCCCTGTCCTGGAGCTTGGTGTCGCTTCTCTTGAGCTTCTTGTTGGCGCTTTCGAGGTCAAGTTGAGTCTTCTTGACGATTTCCTGAGTATCGGCGAGCTCAGGTTGGGTTTTGGCGAGCTGGGCCTGAAGGGCGGTCTTCTCGTCCGTCAGAGTCTTGTTCTCCTTGGTGAGATCGGCATTTGTCTTTTCCAAGGCGTCGTTGAGGTCCTTTTGAACCTTCAGGGAGTTCTCAAGCCCCACCTTCTGGGCCTCCAGGACCACAACACTCTCTTGCAGGGTGGTGATCTGAGAGAGCAGAGTCTTCTTCTCAACCAAAAGAGCAGCCAAGTCGTTCTCCAGCTGGGCAATCTTGGCCAACAAAGCAGCGAGCTCCTTGCGGAGATCATCGAGAAGCTTGTCGTCCTTGATGTTCTCATTCTCAAGCTCATGGATTCTCTTCCTGAGCTCCTCTTCCTTCTTCTTGGCGTCAGTCTTGGCCGCATCGATCTGTCTCTGGAGCTCGTCTGCCTTGGCGTTGGCAAGTCGGAGGGCATCGGTAAGCTTCTTGATTTGCTCCTTGAGGTTGATGTTCTCCTTCTGGAGAGCCTCGACCAGGTGGACTTGAACATGGTAGTCGGCATCAAGAGCAGCGAAGTGCTAAAGACTGTTAGCGAATGCTCTGGAAATAGAGTGTAGTCCAACTACCTACATCCTGTGCATATCTGGCAAGGTAGCCAGCTTGGTCGAGGAAGGCGGCTGTATGCTCCAAAGTGTCGAGCAGCTTGCCGGGGAAGGGAAGGGGCGTCAGGAGGCGGCGAAGCGAAGGCTGGACCTGGGGAAGGTGAGTCTCAACCTCCACCTTCTTTCCAGGGGTTGAAGGGGGATCGAGGGAGCTTTAAAAAAAGGTCATAGCATTGTAGACGAAGCGTCTTAGGTGTAACTTACTGGCTGTCGCGGGTCTCTCGCTCAATCTTTGCGGAAAGGTTGAGAGTAGCCACATCGTATTCTTGGCCACTTCCATATCTCAGGCGAGCAGCAAGTGACTCGTTCTTATCGTTCCAGGTGCATGTGAGGGTGTAGTAGTCGGTGAAGCTGAACTGGTAGTTTCCACCGCCAGGCTTGCTCAGGGCCTTCTGAACACAGCTGCGGAAGGACGGGGCCTTGGGTTCTCCATTGGCATTCTGTGTTCACTGCCAGAGGGACAGAATGGGCTTGCCGTCACCGAAGCCGTCGGGGGCGATAAAGATGGCGGGCTCATTGCTCGCATACTGGATGTAGTTGAACTTGCCTGTCCAGATGCGGGCATCACCAGTGTCCTGCTCGCCCTTGGACTCCCAGACGCGGTCGGCAGTCATTGTGCTCTTGTCTTTCTGGGGGTTGGACATGGTGATACTGATCTTGCTGTAGGTCTGCTGGGTGGTGATCTTCCATGTGTAGTAGGCGCCCTTGAGGACAAAAGAGTCATCGCCGGAAGAAGTCTTGGTCAGGTTGGAGACAACAAGGGTTTGGAACCAGTTGTACTTCTTCCTTCCCTGGGCGTCCACGGTCCATTGAGAAAAGATGTAGGCAGTGTCACCATCACGGGCAAAACCGTTGGGCAGAACGACGGCCAAGGTCTCATCCTTGCCGTAGTTGTACCACTGAAGCTTTCCCTGGTAGACGAACATGGTGATTAAGAATTGAGTGTTATTGTAAGAGTAGAAGAAGTGCTTGAAGAGAAGAGGAAGTTGTTGCTGGTGTTGTTCGGGTTGAGGGTCTTGAGCACGGCATGTTGAGACCTCTTATATAGGACAGAGCTCGGCTGTTGCTTCTCGTAGGATGCGTCGCCTGAAGACTGGTTTGAAGATAAGATGTACATCGGCAATCAGCGAAACTAGTCGAAATGGCAGCTCTCTGCTGGTTTTCTGCGTGTCTTTCCTATGCATGAGCCTAACTGAGTGATGATAGTCAAAAGAGGGATGGAGAGACGATAGCGTCGTACGATTACTAGACTCGACTCTGAGGCGAAGGCCAAGAAGGTCCATTTCGGCAATTGAGAGGCATTTCACGTAGCTGAGATGGAGCTTTGGCGGTTTTAGCGGGAGCTGAATCTCACAAGCGACCATCAGCAGAAGGATGCCCGCCCAGTTGAGCTATTCAAGCCAAATATTGGCAACCGATTCGTCTAAACTATGCAGCTCGCTACGGCCCGAAGCGCCCGCTTACCTGAACAGTTAACGCTCCGGTGCCTGCGGGCAGCTGACGGGGGCTGTGAGGCTGGCTGGGGACGCGACCTGAGACATGCAGCAGCGTTCCCCGCTTTCTCATTTGGGAGTGGAATATGAAAGATATGTAGGGCATAAGTCTGGAATGTTCATTGAACTATCGATTATCCCGGGAAACCATACAGTGAAATGGGCTAGCTGCAGATCTAGGGGGCTCTAGGTATGCACAACAATGCACTTCTTTTGTGCAAACGTCGATGTCCTCCACAGCTAAACAAAGCCTTTCAGAATAGCTGCCTCCGCATTCAGAATGGACGACCCGGCAGCACCCAGAACAGCTATTACATGTCAGAATTCTCAACTCTCAGTCTTCGTTTTGCGGTCAACGTACTATTATGGCTCAGGGCCACAAATTTGAGATCAAATATGCCAGCATCATCGGCTCGAATCCGCCCAATGCTGATAGTGTACCCTCCCTGTAGATTGCGATCAAGTCGTGGTTGTGGCCGGTCCTGCTCCTCAAAGATCTGGAAAGGCGGCTTTGGGGCAGACCAACATCCCAACTTCTGTGCATCCGAGACTGAAGATCTCAGTACTTCTTTGACCTCGGCAACGCTGGGCGGTGGGCGTTTGCTGAAGCTGAGGCTCACGCACACCATGTGGCCGTCGATCACTGGAACTCGATTGCAGCTTGCCGAGACTGCCAAGTTTTGTTCAATAAAGCCCGTCTTATCGGCATTCATGGACCCTAGAATTTTTCTGGCCTCGGATTGCAGCTTGTCCTCTTCCCCTTCGATATATGGGATGATGTTGTCAATGGCATCGATGGACGGTACGCCAGGATAACCCGCCCCGGAAATGGCCTGCATCGTGACAACCGAAACTGTAGAAATTGGGCCAAATGCTTCTTGAAGAACTGATAGTGGACAAACAAGTCCTATGACGGCACAATTCGAGTTGCAGACGATGAAGCCCTTGGACAAGTTGAATGCAGATTGTTGGTGGGGGATCAGGTCCAGATGTGAAAGGTTGACTGTCGGAACAACCAGAGGCACAAGAGGGTTGCTGCGGTGGTTCTTGGCATTTGAGAAGACGGGGAATCCAGCCTTGAGGAAATTCATTTCTGGCAATATTCAGCAGCCATGAGACCAGGGGTAAGGACTTGCTAGCTCACCAATACCACCAGCCACATCAGAGTCCAGGCCACTAAAAATGATGTCGCAATCGTTGAACTGATGAGACTCACACTCGGTTACCAGTATTTCCGCTGCTTCGGGAGACAGCGGAGAGGCCTGCTTCCACCGAACCGCATCCCGATACTTCTTGCCAGCTGAACGGGACGAGGCACCTATGGCTTGAAGCTTCAAGTAAGGATGTTTTTCAAGAAGGAGGATAAATCGTTGGCCAACGGAGCCTGTTCCGCCAAGAACCCCTAAGAACACTATATCAGTACCGACTTCCTGTCGCATACCCTGTCAGCCAAAAGGGCGTTTCATACCACATTTCCTTCTGGATATTTCATCCACCATGTTATAGTGTTAAGATACCTAGATGGAGGACTAGTAATAGCTCATGACACTCAAAATATGGTACAATAGACTTCTAATTACTTTAGGATCCATTTATAGTATCTTTCCGAGGCAATATTCCTGAACTGAGCCCATGCATCCCATGCCTGGATCAAACACCGTGGAAACTCGGACTTACCCTATAGACACCATGAAAATCAGGGACTTGGATACAGACCTGTAATCTATGATAAGCGATAAGCCGGGGTCTGTTCGGGGTGATGTCCCTTATCAATCTCTTATCGGTGCCTTATCAAAATTGCTGGCGTTATCTCGGTGTTTGAATTCGCAGGGGGTGATGAAACACTTTCTACTTTTGCTTGGCAGTCACCGAACCTAAGAATCTGACGCGACTCAGGGGTCTCCAAAATGGCAATCTTTGTTTTCTTTCTTCTGCAGGACCTAAATGAGACCTTGTTTCTGGGCGAATGAACAAGATGTTTAGAGAAAATAAAGCAAACCGGGCTGGAGAGACGCAGTAATCCTCGATCAAACTTCACTTTTAATTATTAATGCAGTAATATGCCCGGAGAAACAGGGATATTATACGTAGTGATTGTCCACTGATAGCTTCCCTAGACATTTTATGGTACGCCAGTGATAGAAATGTTTATTTCTTGATGAAAAATAACGAGCTTCTAGGCTCCTAGTTCAGTAGCAGAAAGAGTATTTAACGATCTAATTCCACAGCCTTAGTCCCGCCCCGTGCTATAAGGATACATCAGTAAAGCCAAGGACCTATGTGTATTAGAATAAAAACTTCAAGAGGTCATGGAGACGTTCATACCTTTGATAAAGTCATGCTCTTGCTCGTGATGCGAAGGGATCTTCAACACTTGATCGTGGATGGTGTTCAACGCAAGATTTGCATCATCAGATCGCACCACCAATCTGCAGAAGAATATCAGTTGAGTAATGAACGTCATAACTGACATGGCTATGCACATACGACACATTGATCTCGCTCGCACCCTGGCTGACGAGGTAGATGTTGATCTTTGCGGCAGCCAGGGTCGACAAGATCTCGCTGGCAACACCGACTTTATTTCGCATCTTGTGCCCAATGACAGAAACAATGGCCGTGTCTTTTGTGACGATAACCTGGTAGAGGTTAGCTTCGTAGACACCATAAAAGTTCCGTTTGACTTGCCTTGCCGCATTTCTCCAACTCTGTCCTCAAGCGATAAGAGATGTTCTCACTCTCATTAGTCGCCTGAAATGCCACGCTCACATTCCTCTCGCTCGTCGAGACAAGGTCGACATTGACGCCCAGCTCCTCAAGTCGCCCAAATACCCCAGACAACAGCCCATAGGACTTGGTGTTTCTATTGCAGGCAATGTTGACTAGGATTATAGAATCCTTGACAGTGACGGCAGTGGGTCGGCGGCGTACTTGTTGTGCTCCATGATATCCATTCTGGAGCATGAAGCTTGCGGTGGGGCAAGAGACACTGCTGCCGGCTTCATTGTCTGATGGAGGGGGAGTCACTGGTGCAAGAATTGGTGAGACTCCTTGCGAGGGATAGATGACTGTTCCCGACCCTGAAGGATTGAACACGTTCTTGAGTCTCAAGGGGATACTGGCATGCCGTATCTGGTCCATCGTGAGCGGGTGGATGACCTCACTTCCGTAGTACGTCAGTTCAGTGGCCTCGTCTGGAGTGACAGTCGAGAGCAACCTCGCAGAAGACACCTTTCGTGGATCTGCTGTGAAGATTCCATCCACCTCTTTCCAAATCTGTAGCTCAATCGCGTTTACGCCAACAGCGCACATGGCGGCACAAAGGTCTGAGTAACCTCTGCCCACAGCTTTGAGAAGAGACTCGGGCATGATGCCGAAGAAACCACTTAGAACGGGTACCTTGGTGCCGCATGCGTGGATTCTCTTTGCCATCTCGCCGGAAAGGGCGCGGTAAAAGTCACCGCCAAGGTCGTTGAGGGCTGACTTTTGATCCAGCAGGCTTCTCCCGAACACAGCCTCCACGACATTGTCCAATATCACCGCCTCAGCAGGTATACCTCTTCCGGTAAGTGCAGCAGCCAGGACAATGCATGAAAGCTTCTCTCCCAGGGCAATGATGCGGTCTCGCGTCTGGGGCGACAGGTCCCTGACTGTCTGTGCAGCGAGGAGAAACGTGCGTAGATTCTCACAAAGCCCCTGGACAGTGGCCAGAGCGGCTTGGTAGGTACCAGGAGCTGAATCGACGCAATCCGGGCTTTCGGAAAGGGTTTGAAGAATATCGTTGTGATTTTTGAGAATAACATCGACGCATTCGTGCAATTGTCCGCAAGCAGCAGGCCCAGCCTCGGCATGTGAGATGCACTGGATCAACAGACTCGTGGTACCGCTTGCTTTGGAAGAACCGGAGATAGCAGAGCAAACGACAGCAAGGTTGTAGTCATGGCAGTAAGAGGGGATAATATGGTTGGTGATAGAATCAAGGAGCTTGCCCAAGCTTGTTCCTCCATACTTTTGCACCAGCCAGTGCTTTCCAGTGTCTGGAGTCTCCATGGTGTGTACGAGGGCCAAGCAAGTTTGAGAAAAGGTTGAAGAAACGAAACAAGGATAAAGATATGAAAGGGCAAGAGTATAGTGAATATTGTCACAACCGAGCTGCCTTTTCCTTGACGCCATGGCTGTAAGGTGCAGCGACGACAATGAGGTTTGGAGCCGAGATCGGGATCCGCGTGTATTGCAGAGGCCGAATGGAGATGGCTATCGGTGTTTGATACAAGATCCGGGTTCGGGATTGGTTTACTTCTTCGGAGGTCCGCATCCGTGAAATGAGTCCCAATTCCGACCATCGCATATCGGTAGACCGCTTGCGGTGGTACACTCACTCTTATCATCAATGTCGTATTCACAAGAGACAGCCGGCCACGGCAGCAAAAAAACAAGCAATGGCGGCATATTCACGCTCCCACAACATATGACCGTAGATACATGCCTGGCCCTCGGTATGACGTGCTGGTCTCATGCACACTCCACGGCGGTGGGGGGCAGAAAAACATGTAATTCGATCACTCGTACGGCTGTAAACTTAGGTAAGAGTTTTCTAAAAGAGGTATTTGAACGGAGAAAGACCTCTCCAATGTGTAGTCTTGCTCATGAGGAGTCAGACAAGATGATTGGATTCATATGACTACGCTAAGAACCAAGACACAAACTATCCTCTCCGCTACCACCATCCATCCGTTTCCCCCACCAGACTTTTCTCCGTTGCAGTAGTGTTCTGAGTAGCTTTTGGCGCTGAGACCAAGTTTGACGGCACGACGTAGGAGTAAAGATGAGGCAAGGCGGTTTTCAACTTCGCCTGGATGAGGCGGTCAAGCTGCTCAAACTCTAACAGAAATCCATCGTGGCCATCTGATGATTCTAGAATCTCAAGTGACGCCTCTGGAAGGCAGGCAGCGAGCTTCTCTTGCTGTTCTGGTACGAAGAGTGCGTCTGACTCTACGCTGACAACCAGTGCCCCAGTTGGTATGTTCCCGAGCACCCCCTGCAAAGCACCGGTGCCTGGTTGCGTTGTTCGGTTCCGGGTGACATCGTGAGAATCCATCTTATTCGACAGATGCAAGAAACAGTTGGCGTCGAATCTTTTGATGAACTTTTCACCTTGATAGTGGAGGTAACCCTGTGCTGAGAAGGCTATCTTTTCCTTTCTTCCCTTGACCGCAACATGTTCTTTGTTCTGATAATCGCCAAAGGGCTTTTTGGAATTGTCAATGTCCAGTTGGCTCGAGGTTGCTAACTTGGTATGTCTCTGAGGCTTGCGTCCAAAACGACTGTCGAAGCTGGTACAGGACCGATACGTCAGCATAGCAATCATCCGAGCGGCGGCCAATCCTGCGGATGGTTGACCCTCTGGGACAGGCTCATAGTGTCCATCTTTGAACTTGGGGTCCGCGTAGATGCATTGCCGCTGGGTCTCTGCCCAAGATATCCCCCAAGCAGAGTGATCAGCTGCCGTTGCGATAGGTATGATGTTCCGGACGTATCCCTGTGGTGTACATAGTGGCCACTCTAGAGTTGCCATGCCTCCCATCGAGCCTCCAATGACGGCTGCGATCTGACGGACACCCAGAGCATCCAGGACAAGCTTGTGGGCATGTACGTCATCCCGTATCGTTGTCGATGGAAAATCGGTACCATAGCATCGACCTGTGGCAGGGTTGGCGGTGACGGGTGACGCGCTTCCATAGGGCGATCCGAGGACATTGCCGCAGAATATGAAGTAGTAACGTGGATCAAGAGCCTTTCTAGGCCCAATCAGTGGATTCCACCAGTCTGCGACATCACTGCTGCCAGTCAAGGCGTGACAGACCACCAAGGCGTTGTCGCCCTCCTTGTTGAGCGACCCCCAGGTTTGGTATGCGATCGGGCAATTGTTCAGACTTTGACCAGTTTCGAGTTCGAGGCGCGGAATGAGGGCATATCTTTGATCGTTGACGAGGTTGGCATAGTAGTTCTTCGTGTCTGGGTTGCTGCCGAGCACTTGTGATGGTCAGAACTGTACTGGAAGATGTGTTATTCTGCCGACCGTTGCTTACAGATAGCTTTCGAAGCCATGGAAAATACTCAAAGGGATGAAGATCGAGAGGTGGAATTGTTGGAGCAACAACATGCAAGCTGGCAACGAGACCTCGAGATCCCATCAACACGGTTGAGAGAAATGGAGACACTAATGTTCAGTTTTGGGCTATTAACAACTGTACATCTGCCCGTATATCTTGGCCTACTCTCGATCTCGTGCTATCTCGGCGTTTGCTGCGAATTGGTGCTTCCATTCGGTGTTTGAACTTGTGGGGGCCATAGCAACTAGGGCATGTTATCAGAGGCCGAAGCTGACGTGCTCGTTTTCTTTCTTCTCCTCGCTACCCCCCACCATCTTCTGTGCTGTTCTTTCTAGTCACAACGCTTGCTCTCTTTTTGGGCTCTCGCTGGACAATCATCATGTCATTGACCACCCCCATCAAAGTCGCCGCAGTCCAAGCGGCTCCCGTATCCTTCGACTTGGATGCAAGCTTGGAGAAACTCCAGAGATTGACGGCGCAAGCTGCTGAGGAAGGCGCTGATCTTGTCGCCTTTCCGTGAGTCTTTCTCCAGCAATCTGCTGCGTGAAGCAGCACTGAAACAACGGGGATCTAGCGAAGCCTTTCTTTCCGCATACCCTTGGCGCTATTCTTTCGACGCGACTATCGGCGCCCGCGAGCCTCGAGGTAAGGAACCCCAAAACACGCAAGAGAAAGTAGTTGCGTCTGCTAATCAAATGAAAGGCCGGAAATGGTACGCTCGATACGCGGGGTCGGCTGTTGCGATTCCGTCGCCGGCTTTCGACGCACTGAAGGAGGCAGCCAGGACAAACAACGTGTTCCTCCATGTTGGAATCATCGAGAAGGATGGCGGAACTCTTTACTGTACGGCTGTATTGTTTGACCGCAATGGAGAATTGCTTTACAAGCATCGTAAGGTGAGATACCTCGCTGCCCTCTCACTCGATGCGACACTGAATTTAATTTTAGTTGATACCGACCGCCGCCGAGCGGTTGGTCTGGGGTCGTGGTGCCGGTGACGGTTTAAAAGTAGTACAAACACCGCTCGGCAAGGTCGGGACTCTGATATGGTAGTCTTCAGTGTCATGAAGCCTGTGGTATATGTACTGACTCTTGGTCAAACAGCTGGGAGAACTACATGCCTGCAGCACGCATGGCACTGTATCAACAAGGCATCGAGTAGGTGGTCCATACAACTCCCGTACTGGACTTTACTGATCACAAGCCACCTACCGTAGGATATACGTCGCACCCAACGCTGATGACTTGCCGGAATGGACCGCAAGCATGCAGCACATTGCGAAAGAAGGTCGCTGTTTCGTTATATCCGTCAACTCGGTCTGCAAAGTGTCAGATTTCCCATCCGACTACCCGCCGTTCACATCGGAGCAAAGCGATCGCAAACCTGATGGGTCACGGTGGGAAGCCGAAGACATAGTAAACAGAGGGGGGTCATGCGTCGTTGGGCCACTGGGCACGTTTTTGGCCGAACCCGTTTGGGACAAAGAAGATATTGTCTACGCGAGTTTGGATGCATCAGAGATCTCAGAGTCCAGAGTAAGTTCAGGTCATGACGCTGTTACAAAACCACCCAGCTCAAATTATGTTCAAGCTTGATTTCGACCCCGTCGGAAGCTATTCCCGACCCGATGTCTTGTGAGTTGTCCCGGTGTGGATTCGAGACAATGATGATAGCAGAACTGACTAATTTGGGAAGTACTCTGACTGTCAACACCAAGCCAGGGAGGAACGTGAGGTTTGAGTAGTGACATGAGTCGTAAAGGTGATGATCAAGCGAGGGTGCAGCCATGAGCGTCGTCGGATGTGGCATGAGTGAGAAGGTATGCCGATAGGCAAATCTTGATATGCTCACAGTACGCAGCAACGTCCAAGATAGCTGCTTAGAGTGGACGGGTCACCCATTAAATAAATCTTGCCTTGTCATCATGTTGACCCATGTTAGTGTGAACTTATAAGGTGTGGCCGTGGTAGTAAAAGACGGCCCAGCAGCGATATTTGGGTTAGCAGCGCCCCGAGCCCTTGTATAAAAACAGGGGGATTCACCACATGAGCATTTGCTGCCTCTCTTCGATCCGAGACTGGTCGGGATGCCGCATGATAAGGGGGCAAAACGCCGCCTGCGGTCCGTGACGGCCCGCGGATGCCGCAAATGCCGCAAGCACCGCGCCGCAGACCTTGGGAATAGATGCTGGATCCCAAGTTTACATTACCCTTTATAGCAGCTAACAAGCTCTCAAATGATGTGAATCATATTCGAATTACATTCAAGCCCAAAAAATTGTTTTATTATCATCAAAGAGCCTCCCATACAACGAAATACATACCCCATTCATGGGCTGAACTGCTGTGATGCCTGGACCCATTAAGCTAGCCTGCCTGTCATGGTACGTCATTACTCCCTATCTTACAGCACATTAGAAAGCTGCCGTTGACTTCCCGAGTTGTCATATTTCCATCAGAGTAGAGGCTGACATTGATGCAGTCGAGCTTCACGCACTCGGTGCGATGGCTTGCAACCTTGTGTCAGCGTGAGTCAGGGTCCCATTGACAATTGTTGGCATCTCTATCTGACTTATTTTCGAGCAGTGTAGTAATCGAGGGCGCGACTGTGTCTACCAGCCCAGCAGAAGAGGTGGTGCTCGCGTGAGAAAGAAGAATCGTGCCTGGGAACAAACCCTGGAGCATAAACAGACTACCCGCGATAGCCCACAACATGGTGAGTTGTCGAACTCAAGTCGGAGGTAGTTGACAAGATAGTGATCTGACAAAATTAGTAACTGATGTTTGTGGTTTTTCCGAAGATGCCGACGTCATCTTCGACGCCCTGTTCTCGCAGTCTATTCTTGGTGGCGGAGAAATCCCTTTTGAGAGTCCACCAGACTTACCTCCACAGATCGATCCATTAGTTAGGACATATCCAGACGGCGGAGCTATGTATGTCATGTTCTTGAAATACCCATTCCACCATTACTCACCGCATCTAGTCTCGACGCTTATTACATTTTTATACACCCATACTTTCCTATTCTACCTCCACCCAAGATGACCCCTCGAGATCAGCCTATTCCACGATATCAGAACAACATGGATGGCTCAGGAGGCGATTCAGAGCCGTCGACGTCCGTCAGTCTGGCCATATCAGCCATGCTGGCCTTGATTCCCTGCATCGAAGACCCCCATCCCTCGTCCCAAGAATCGGTGTTGTTCAGGAGGGACTATGCACAATATCTTGCACAGTGCGCGCTGGAGTGCATTGAGATCGAATCGGAGATACCCGAGTCGTCGGTCGATCCAGCCAAGGCTCTTCTACAAACACCACGCTGTGATTCCAGGGAGCCTTTCCACCCCGAGGTGCCCTTGGAATTAGAGAGTATAATAGCTCTCGACATTTTGAGCGCTTATGAGTATGCGCAACGTGGTAATTTGAAGAAGATGGAGAGTCGAGCCGGTCAGGCCTTGATGGCCGCCATGAGTCTATCTCTCCATCTCCGCGACGATGATAGAGAACCCAATGAAGCCAAACGAAGGGTCTGGTGGATGACGGTATGTCTTAGGGATGAATCTCAACGTGCAGAACAAAAGGCTAATAATGTGATAGTACATTTGTGTCTCCCAAGCTGCGATTGTTGGGAACATTGTAAGCCACTCCACACTCAGTCAACTGACAAATCGCTCATCAACATGAAAGGAACCATCTATACTCGCCGTTTTCATCCCAACATTTGCGACCGAATATCCAGTTCTCAAATCCGACGCCGAGGTATTTTCATTTGTGCGCGACTGATGAACTCCAAGCTGACCAAGGCAGGCTTTCAGTTTCCTCATTCAAGCACAGCAGGCAATGCTTGCAACCACTCAATTCTCGACCGAGCTGAGCAAGGCAGTAAAGTTCAACGGTGACATGGACCGAATACACGAACGGATGAGGGAGCTTGACTGCCATTTGGAGTCTTTAATCAAGGTTGCCGGCTCTTGGGTCCTACAGCCGACCATGACGGCGACTGTTGATCTCACGGAAGGAGTTGTCTCTAGATCCCTACGGTGCATGACTAGAATCAAGCTGAACAGGTACGTGTGATAGTGAATTGGTATATGCCGCCTCTAATGTCTATTAAAAGCGCCAGGATAAAGCTTCATCGATACTCAGCGTTTGAGAGCAAGCTTTTTGATGAGGCAGAAGACGCGCTTTCAGCTTCGGAATCCTCATCAGCGACGGCTGCAGAGTCACCGAGTCCTGGGGACACATCCTCGTTGACATCTTTGACTTCATTGACCAAGGTGGCAACCTATTCATCAGAGAGCGACCCATCAGGCAGCGACGGTTTCAGCAGTCATCAGTCTGCCAAGATCTGCTTGAGAGCTGCCCTCAACATGGCGCAAGCCTTTGAAGACTTGCCTTATCCGAATCTGCCCGGTCAACAAGCGTCACCCACTGCCTGGCCGCGGATGATGCCGTCTCTGGCATGCTGCGCAGTGCAGTGTGCCTTTGTACTTACAACGATAGGGAATCTGACACGGTCCAAATATTCCGGTGATGCACAGACGGCCTCGATAGCAGGTCGATTGCTCGGGCGTCTACAAGTGAGCCTGCTATCGATATCAACGGTGTTGGAAAACTACGCTACGGCGTTTGAGGCTCTTGGGGGCATGAGTGGTAAGTGAAAAGGGCCTCTGTTCACCGGCTCTACGATTAGATGGCATGATTGCTTATCGACGTGCGGCAGATCAAGTTCACCAGGTACTTCGGCCAACCGGAGATGTCTAAGCCCGGGGATTGAGGAGTGGGATATGGTGGGCGGCTTATCAGCAAAGGCCGCTAGTCAAACCCCGACGTACTCTTTCTGGGGGAGCAGGTGTACATTTGATTAAGATATGATAGGATCACAATGATACTGATATAATGTTGACAAGATCAACAATCAACAATGTACGTTAGTCCATAAATACAACGAGCTTGCAACCAAAGGACCTCTTGCAACACTCGAGAATTGTCTCCATACTAAGATACCAGCAACCTGCAAAATCCCCACAGCCTCCCACAAAGTGATTGACAATGCCCATCTCCGGATCGCTCAGTAACGTGGACTGGTGAGTATTTGTCAGATCGACTTCCCACTGCTGCTAAATGGTCCACACAGGGAGCCCAAGTTCACCACACTCGCCATTCACGGCGGCCAGGAGCCTGATCCCGTCAATGGATCCCGAGCTGTGCCACTATACCAGACTGCAGCTTACAACTTTTCGGACGCCGCTGGTGAGTTTCTCGTTCGACATTGACCCGGCTGTATCAAGACTCACCATGGATACAGACGGCGCAAGCAAGTTTGCCTGGAGCAAGGATGGCTATGTCTACACCCGAATGGGCAACCCGACCAACAGCGTTTTTGAGACACGTATGGCCATGCTTGAGGGAGGTGTCGGTGCTGTTGCCACAGCATCTGGTCATGCGGCCCAGTTCATGGCCATCACCCAATGTTGCGAGCCAGGACAGAACTTTGTCAGCACCAGCTGGCTCTACGGTGGCACCTATAACCAGTTCCGAGTTTACATGAAGAAGTTCAGGATCGATGTCAAATGGGTCGTGGGGAACGAACCCGCAGACATTGACGCAGCCATCGACAAGGACACACGATGCATCTATATCGAGACCATCAGCAACCCGAAGCACAGCGTCCCAGATATCAAGGCCATTGCCGAGGTTGCCCACAAACACGGCATTCCGCTCATCGTCGACAACACCTTCGGCATGGGTGGCTATCTCTGCCAACCCATCAGGCAGGGGGCAGACATCGTCACACACTCTTGCACCAAGTGGATTGGTGGCCATGGCACGTCAATGGGCGGTATTGTGATTGACGGAGGCCACTTTGACTGGAGCGCATCTGGTAAATTTCCAGGCTTCACTGAGCCAGCTGACGGTTACCATGGGATGCGGTTCTGGGAAACCTATGGCCACAAGGCGCTGTCTGCAAAACTCCGTATGGACAGCATGCGAGATCTTGGCCCTTGCATGAGCCCCTTCAACGCCTGGCTATTCCTGCAGGGTCTTGAGACACTGCCACTCCGCGCCCAGAGGCACGCTGAAAACACGCAAAAGTTGGCCGAGTGGCTTGAAGCACACCCGAATGTGAACTGGGTGCTCTACCCAGGTCTCAAATCCCACCCTGACTACGAGTATACCTCCAATATCTTTACTCGTGGCGCAGGTGGTGTCTTGACCTTTGGTGTTGTAAGTCCTAGACTAGCAACGAGCTAGATGACAGGCACTGACTACTAAACAGGCTGGAACCATCGATGAAGTACGAGCTGTTGTCGACAACTTGAAGCTCTGTTCGCATCTAGCCAACGTCGGAGATGCCAAGACGCTCATCATCCACCCTTGGGTCACGACGCATCAACAGCTCCCTGACGAGGAGAAGATCAAGGGAGGAGTCACTCCGGACCTCATCCGTGTGTCTGTAGGGATTGAGGACTTTGAAGACATCAGAAAGGACTTTGAGCAGGCATTTGAGGCAGCTGGGTTGACGGCGGCATCCAAGACCAAGGAGGATCCATTTTCGAGTGCACTGAAGTTGGTTGCTGGTGGCTTCATGGGTAAGAAGGCAACTGGTGCACCACGTCCTGGAACTGATGGCACTATTTCTGTCAATGGCCAGTAACTAGGGCTAGTATTTCAAGTATTTACAATCGTAGAGCAAGAATTTCTTAGACAGTCTTCTGCCAGATAACGGCCTCGTTGTCCAAGCTTGAGGTCTGTGGTTGATGCCCCTTTGACTGGAGAGAAAGGCCATATCATGATTAGCAACAAAGCCTTTTTCTGTATTCATCTACGACAGTCTTAAAACGGGCGAGACTTCTTTCATGGAAAATGTGTTGTTCATTGTACGATAGCTGATCACGTACCCGCAGGAATTTTGCGCGCATTCCTAGCTGGATCTTCATGTTAAGCAACGCATCCATCTTGAGCCCCAAGTTTTAGATAGCTTCTAGAACAACCGAAGAACTCATCTTTATCTACCCTGTCTTTCATTATATGAAACTGGTAGAGAATGAGGGAGGTAATGGAAAAAATAAAAGAGCGAAGAAAGATTGGCGCCCAGAATAACGTCAGATCGAAAAAGCTGCTTTTGACGTCAAATCATATGGAATGTTTGCTTGATATATATAATGTTCGTTCGAACGGTTCATCTCACTTTCTACCGGCACATCTACTTGGCCACACAAATATTTCGCAGACTACTCCAGGAAGAAATCACGCCATCGAAAAGACAGTCTAGCATACAACACCTCGAGCAAGGCACTTTCTCGCTAGCTTGGCTATATCGCTATCCAAGATGCCGATGCATCCTTGGTACGGAGAAACCGAGCGATTTCCTTGCCCTCATGATTCGGATCCCCACTCCGGTTTTGCACAGAAGTCTTCTCTTCCTACCATCCACGAGACTGCCACCCAAGGCTATCCGATAGAAAACATGGGTCATATCGATCAATTCATCACCCCCTGTGGTCGACTCGTAGCCCAAAGTGCTCTATTAAAAACTCCACTGCAGTCAATCTGTTGTGATAGCCCACCGATGAGTGAACAAGAGTCCAGCACACCATCCCCAGGAATGACTCCCCACGATGGAAAATCGGGTCCTACCGATTTGGGGTGCGCTCACTTTCACCGGGACACTTTCTCCGTTAGTGCCCCATCATTATCGGAGAACAGGCCGTTTCCCTCAGTGTCGGCACAAGAGGAAAGCTTCTTTGGAAATCAGCCCGGCCAAGCCGACAACATCTTTCCACTGGGAGGCCACTTTAGGAACCCGTTGTTGAGTCACAATCCCTTCGAACCCAACCACGACGAACTTTTAATCTCTACCACTATCTACGGCACCTTTTGGTTGCCGCACCATACGGCGGGCCCAGTCCACATGGAACCTTGGGTGTCTAAACTCGGTACCACAGAACATACCAGTGATGAGTTTGGCTCAGGCTTGCCTTCCATCCAGTTCCCGCAAACATTCGAGGGTGGGAGAGGCAGCAACTTGGGCGCTTCTGAGCAGATGGATCAAGAGTTGATAGAAATACGCCAAAAACTGAGAGCATTAGAGGAGAGCAGAGCCCAGAGGAGGTTGAATAGGTAGGGGAAGTCAAGTACTTGAAGGATTAGAGGGGGCCTTGGCATGATACCATACGGGATGACAACAAAATGAAGGGGGTCAAACAAGGTCATGGGGGGGATAGGTAGGACTAAAAGCCGCATGGTTGACAAGAATATTGGCATAACAGACAAGATCACGTTAATCCAAGGACTTTTTATTGCTTGCAGTCGCATCTACTTCACGAAACATATGAACGAAGGCCAACATACATATAAATCGACCGCCAAGTAAGACAAGAGAACCCTTACCGACTCATTGCAACTGCTCAAGCGCTATCATGCGGTTCTGGGCCAGCTGGAACAGCCGCTCCGCCTTCAAACACCCCCGTTCTTCAAACTCAGCAGGTGCGCGCTCTTGATGAGATTCTTGATCTCACGTCCGTTGAGAGAGATCTTGGAAAGCTCATCCAAATTCTCACTAGAGATGTCGCTCCGATCACAACCGGTGCGGTTGATAAAGTTTTCCCACACCTTCCTACGGGCCGCCACGGTCAGATCCTTGTATGGTAGGAAGAGATGGACTCGAGACTCGAAGGCCGGGTCTATGCTTGTGATCCGATTAGTCGTCAGGAAGCAAATACCCGTGTAGTACTCAAGCTTGGTCAGAAAGACTGGGAAGAGTTAGCTCTTATGACAGATTTTGTTTCAAACAATTTACGCACCTGCAACCAACTCGTTTCTTGTCAGATCACTATCAGTGCGAGCACTGAGAAAGACATCGGCTTCATCCAGAAGAAGCATCGCGTTCCACAGACCACACAGTGTGAGGGCTCGACTTAGAGCGGTCTCGACGTCCGACGGCACCGTTCCGAGCTCTCCAGCACTCATCGCGTAGAGTGGTACATGTGCTTGCTCGGCAACTTCACCTCATGTTAGCATACTCTAATGCCTCCGTTGACCATGGCATTACTAACCTGCTTCCGCTGTGTAGGTCTTGCCCACACCAGGGGGGCCGAACATGAGGATGATGAGACCACGGCCTAGAAGAGTTAATTAATGCCTGAACTATATGCAAGACCACAGCTTCCTTACCCTTGTCCTGGATGAAGTCATCAAAGTTGTTGGCGAGTGCCTTGTTCTCCACAAACTCCCACGCAAGCTGCTTCACACTTCCTGGAAGAACAAGGTTGGTAAACGCCTCGTCGTTCCATGCGATAGGAGACAGATCATCCACAAAGAACTGAGCTGTTGATATTTGTCAGTAAGTCAATAGCACAAGGATAACATATTCAACTCACCCCACTCCTTGGTCTTCAGGTCAAGTCCTTTCACCCAAGGGTTTGCAAGAAGGCACTGATAATCGCTGAGCGCTTCAAGATTATCGGGACGTTTGAGGGAGAAGTCTGATGTTTTTGCAGTCATCTCTGCATTGCCTTCCGCTGGGGCGTCCTTCTTGGATGTATCCTTGGTTTTGTTGGCCTTTGGTGGCGGGCTCCAGTCATCTTCTTCATGATAATCATCTTGCTCGCAATAATCTTGCTTACAATAATCATCATAGCCTTCCTCTTCATCTTTCTCACCCTCCTTTTCTGTTACCTTGGAGTCAATTTTGGTCTTGGTCTCGGTCTCGACAGGACCCAGCGGTGTGAGACCAGGCTTAACGATGTCGTTGGTCAGATAGTAGGCGAAAGCATCAATTATGACCCCCCCACCAACCTATTGGTAATATCTGTTAGCACAAGAAGTCGCAGGATAGAGAATGACGGCAATATTACCGGTCGGGCTTCAGGCCTCTCAAGAAGGACCTTCGTCCCTGAGCATGCTCGGAAGTGATAGCCACGCAACGACTCAAACACCCGCCCCCTCTCTAGGATTCGCTTGCGCATGCCAGTGGCATCACTGTGGAATGACAGGGGGTATACAGGAAGAGACACGACCCGTTGGCTACCAGCGAAGTGGGAGATGACCACCTTTGTTGTGGCATAACCACATCGGTGGCCATTCCAGTCGAGATACTCCAGAGTGACTGTCCAGTACGGAGGATCCAAAGGTGGTTCAGTGAGCTCATACTTGGCCACACGGCAGACAGCTTCAACATCGTAGAAGCTAGTCACGACAAACTCATGAGGGGCAAATATCTGCCAGAGATCCTCAAACCTGACGTTGCCCGTCTTCCTGGTGTTGGCGAGGGAGTCAACCTGGGGCGCAAGGATCGGACGGAGGAAATCCATCAGTTGAGTGGCCGGTTCAGTAGCAGGTTCCTCACCGCTTCCCTCACATAGAGAGCGCAGGGTGTCCCATCGATGCACAATAGGCATGAAGGGGGGACTAAAGGTCCAGTTCTCAAGTTCCAGGTCGAGGTCCTGGTAGCCTGCCAGGGCGGTCTTGAGCAAGGCCCTCATGGCTGGGCTCTGGACGGTAAACGAAACAGTTTGCCATTTGTGGTCCCTGAATTTGTGTCTATGGATGATGGGATCAGTTGAAGTTGCGGCGTCTAGGTCAGCTTGATCTTCATTGTGACTGGGGAACTTGGACCATCTGTCCGGACAGGGGGGGCCATAGCTGCCATTGCACACGTGCTTATACAGCTTAGTAGTGATAGACATGATGAATAGGCCGGCCTGCTCTCAAATGAGATAGCTTCGATGTGTGTGCTTGCTGTGAATCAAGGTGAAGTGAAGGGTTGGAGAAATTGTGATGTCTGGAGGAGTCCGGCTCCTGCTGAATCAAGTGAGAGAATAGATGGATATATCTGGGGGGGGAGGTGGTATTTATCATTCTCAAGCAACTCTAACCTGTCTCTGCCTACCCGTTATCTCATGCCTGAGAGCACAATGTTCGGCCTGAGTCACAAGAAATCTGGACAATGTTGGTGCAAACATGACGTCCCCACCTGGTTGGATGCATGCATGCGTTGACTGACCGAAAGAGACACGCCGAGCCAAGTAGGACGCCTTTTTGAGTAGTTTCAAATATGCTAGAATATTCTTCTTGTTGGGCTCTGCATTCGCTACCTAGGTTTAATCCATTGCTGCTGGTTCATATTGACTTCACTGTCGCCCGGGTTCGGCCCCTTAAACTTTATTGACCATCGGCCTGAGTCAACCGGGCAAGTTTTAGAAAGCTTGATGTTTTTAACATCGCTATTTTTTAGGGAAACATCTGAAAAGACATTGTTGTTGATGATGACACGATACTTCCATGTTGGGAGACAATCAAGGAGTGCCAAACATAAGAGCAACAAACAATTATCTCCACGACGATGCCGTAAAAGCCCTGTAATCAAATACCATGAACGAGATGAATACTTCACAGATTAAATATTATCATTACAGATGTATAGATCACTACACGCTTTCCCCACAACTCGTTGTCAAACTCGTCACCTTGCGGCCCCTCTCTGCTGTTCCAACAATGCAGCACATCCCTCAAAGCCACGTATGAGGGCAATATCAAGTGGTGTTCTTCCCATGTAATCCTCTGTATCAAGGTTTGCATTTCCTGTAGCAAGCAGCAACTTGACACATTCCTCCTTTCCTTGACCGACCGCGAGAGATAATGGAGTCTCACCTCTCTCGTCTCGCCCATTGACGTCAGTTTTACCTGTCGACAGTAGTAATCCCACACAAATATCCTGGCCTTGCTCTGCCGCGTAACACAATGGTGTACGATTGACTTGATCTTCGCAGTCCACGTCAACCTTGCCCGTGGCCAGTAACTGCTCCAAGACTTCATCTTCACCAGCTCGCGCAGCGTATGTTACTGCTGTCCGCCCCGCCACATCTCTCGCGTCGATGTCAAAGCCTCCGAGTGAGAGCAGATACTTGGTTACTCCCGTGTGGCCGTACTCTGATGCGTGGGATAAGAGTGTTCGCTTGAAAAGGTCTCTTGCGTCGACTCTTACCTGACCTGTCCCAAGCAAAGCTTCCATGATACCCAAGTATCCTCCCCTTGCCGCATCAAAGAGCATCTTCTCATTGATTGTGACTTGGTTGGTCGCAATGAGCTGATTAACGACGGTCTCATGTCCGAACCGCACAGCCCATCCTAGTGGAGTGCATGGTCGGTGACTGACACTCAGAGTGCGAGGCGGCTTGCTCTTCGAATCCACTTGGATGACGCCGGTACCCAAGAGACGCTTCAGCCAACTTCTCCTCTTGGCGGCTCTTTGTGTGTCGATAAAGGCTTCAATGACAGCTTCAAAGCCACCTCCTGCCGCCCAAGACAAGGCAGACCGGCCAAAGATGCCATCTCTCACGTTGGGCTCCGTCGTATCCAATCGCAGTAGATGTTGAGTTACCGAGGAAAGTCCCAGGTAAGATGCTACGATGAGTCTCGTCACGTCCTCCGAATCCAGCTTTGGATGACACCACTTCCGCCTCAACCAAATCAGAGTTGACAATCTGCGCGGTGAGCAAAGCTGCAGCATTTCTTGTATCTGAGAATCAGCATCTCCATCGTCGCCCAATGGTATTCTCGAGTGGACCGCCCAGTTCTCCCACGCATAGCCAAGGAAAGGGTAGTTCTCAGAGAGGCCTTCCAGTGGCTTGGTGCGCAGCTTTTCGATGTTTCCAAGGGGGTTCTGAAAGTAATCCTCAACGTCGGTGAAGAGGAGATACCGAGCACAAATGCGGCCCAACATGTTGTTCGAGCTTTTCAGGGAGATTGAGGACGACCACCTGTGACCATCAGTCGCTTGACTGCAAAGCGAAGTCTCAGAAGAGGAGCCTGTGGCATCTTCTTGGATCAGAAATGTTTTCAAAGTCGGGTGAAACAGGTATATCCTGCCGTCGATGACAGAAACCAGAGGACCGCAAAGCCGTTTCAGTGTTTGACGGAAGTGATGATCGGGTTCAATATCCAGCTCACTCTGTGATGTGTGGCCCTCTTCGACTGCCAGGGCCACCGCCATCTCAGTTAGAGTCAGAGGTCGCACTCCCGCCATGATGATTTGTAGTAATTTTCTCGTTTTCGTCGGCCTTGAGCTTGCGGAGAGAATGTTCTCGTAGACTTCATCAACGGTTGTGGGGAGGTTTACGCAAGATTCCTTGACCTGACTGGGGGAGTTGGCGAGGTATTCGGAGAGGAGAAAGACCCAGAGATGAGTGCGTTCGGGGACCTGTTTAATCTCTGTAGCCAACTTCCTCTGCCCCGACTCTGTCAAGTTCAGTTTTGCCCTTGAACCTGCCAGTTGGTGGGAAATTGCCAAGTCGATCTCGGCCCCAAGTCTCCCAAAGTCTGACTGAGGATCCCGTCCTAGATGGATAGTTGATGTCGGTTTGTACAATCGTCGCTCGGAATGTGAAAGTGTTCGGCTCGTTATCAAAAATTTTAACCTCGGTGTCGTACGGGCTTCGACGAAGAAGCCGTTGACGGTTTCCACAAGTAGTCTTCTACTTCCCTCTTGGCATTCGTCGAGGCCATCTAAAATGCACACAATTTGACTGGCCGTGTTTTTCGACGCGGCCAAGATCAAGATGCGCCACAATGTTCGGATAGAGCCCCGTACCCTATCTCCATCGTCTTCAAGAAGCTGAAAGATACGGTCTGACAGAAGCTGTGGTCTTTGTTCCAATAGCTGTCGCAAGATACAACAAAGAGCATCCTCTGCCGTATTTTGTCCCTCAGTGTCCGCCTTGAAGAAAAAGTAGCACAAAGAGAGATTTCGCAGCACCTCATCGGCTAGGTATCTTGAAAGGACCGACTTTCCGCAGCCTGGTTCTCCGGTGACCCAGAGAAGGCTGGAATGTTCGCTGTCTCTCCAAAGATGGAACCGAGGGTGGCTAGTGAACCATTCACATGTGCCGTCGATACGCTGAGGATGACTGTTCTTGAAGTGGTAGTGGGAGGAGCTGTAGAGCTTCTGGAGCAGCTCTTGGTGTGTGCTGCCGTCTCTGCTTCGTGGATTTGAGCCATACACAGTATTGATGCTGTAGGAGATCAGTCCATCATCCATCAAGGCAAAATCTCACAAACTCACTCTGTTTCTTTCTCGTTTTCTGCTGCCCTTTCTAAGTTCGATTCCAGTTCCGACGCCTTGAGAATGCTGTTAGTGTCCTGAGTTGGGGGAAAAGCGTGCTAAGCCATTTTAGGCTGCCAAGCAATTTCTTGTACGTAGAAAAAGGAGGCAGAGGTCACAGAGCCTTACCTTCATCATCACTTTCGCGGGCCTCGACAAGAGGACTTTTGGGCTTCTTCGCGGGTCATATCTTTGTTGCTATGAATTGATCGATTGCTCTTACTATTTTATATTGTATTTGCCTCACGGGAAAGTGCGTGAGATCTCTCTTTTGAAAAGACCTTGAAAAGAATACGTGGAAATTCGACTCTTTTGGCTGTGTGGTTTGGTGTGTTCTGTTCCTCCAACAAAGTCCCAGGTCGTATTGACGATTCTCTAAAAGCATCAGTTCCTTACCATTGAGAATGTGAAGCAAACACAGCAAAGCAAGGAGATAAATCGGTTCAACGCAGCACAATGCTCAAGACAAATGCATATTTAAGGTAGCCAGATTGTCCTATATATGGAAATTGACGGTACAAATGAAAGGAACCTCTCAATCGCTCATCAAGAGCTGCCTATTCATGGTGACCAATCATCTTGTTCAATCTAGTGATGTCGTGGCATGCGGTCAGCTCGTATTTTATTAATAGCTTCAAACCCCTGCTCGTAGGGCTGAAGCTGCTCACTGTGGCCGAGGCAACCGGTGATGTCATCCCCAATCCGGCTCAATTGAGGCTGTGCAAGAATTCGACTCGGACTCATTGCGCACTGTTGAAGCCTGCTGTGGACAGATTTAGCCCAAACCACTTCTCTGTTGCCTCTTGACGTACCTACTTTGTCACGGTGTCACACGCGCAAACTGCCCGTGACCAAAGGCGAAGAGTCGCCTCTTCTCGCTTGTGGTTTTTCCAGGGCATTGTTCACGCGCCCACAGGCCCCTCGCGGTAGGCTATCAGGGCCTAAAAAAGTGAAAGACCAGTGACTCCAGCATTCGTGCGAGACTGTCACTTATTATACTACCAGCCCTAGAACTAGTGATAATATGGAGAAGAGGCAGTAAGCTAATAAACTTCATGAGAATGCAAGTCAGGTTGAGCGCTGGATGGCTTGAAAAGTCAATCTGATATGGTAGTCGCGGAGTGAAAACACCTTGACCATCATTTAAGCTGCAAAACCAGAGTTTAGGCTTCCTAGACAGTAACAAAATGGTGGTGATTATTCATTAAACCCCCGCGAAGCCCTCTGAATGCGGCAGATCTTCTGCACAGCCAGTCACATCTTGGCCATGGACAGAACATCCTCCGTCGCCATGCAGAAGATGACGAAATCGACCAATCCAGATCAACCGAGTGCTCAGGAGTCGGCTTCCAGCCCCTCCAACGCACCCAAAACAGCACTCAAGTTAATATCCAAGATACCTGGAACAACTGCCGAAGACATTGAGAACAAGGCGATTTTCAGCGATTACCTTGGGCTATCGATTGCCCCATTCGATCAACCAACCCACGAAGGCACCAAGGGAGTTTACCTGCGCAGAAGAGATAATGGAGCCATACTACTGTTGACATGCCGGCGCGTTGTGTTTAGTGACGAGGTGCCCAACAAAGAGTACTGACACGACGGTAATAAGGGAAGCTGGTCCATCATTCAGCCTGGCGACGACACGCTCTGCAAACTCAAGAGCAACTTGCAGTCCAACATTGATTATGAGATTCACTTGATGGCGAGGCTGGAGAAAGAGTCTAATACCCCCGAGCAATTGGTGAATCTCGATGCCAAACGGCAGCGTCTCAAGCCAAGGATGGCGCTCTGGGAGCAGGAGCTGCGTAAGCTTCAAGAACTGGATGATCCTGTGTCGCGCATCATCGGACATGTCGTTTTTTCACCTCCGTACGGCGTCGGGGCAACGAAAATTGGCACCCGGCATCTTCGGGACTGGGCATTGATCGAACTGCAGCAGGGCAAGCACGAGACTGAATTGACATCTCTAAGAAACAAGATCTTTACCGGAGAAAAGGGTTTTCATGCCTGTTTCCATGCAATGCCACGATCTGGTATCGGAGTTAAGAGGTCACTGGTTTCCTTCGACCGGCTAAACCACGCCGCCGAAGTCCAGGATACAATGCCAGAAGAGGAGCTGAGAGACCCCAGGTCCGCCACACCCCCGTGGAACTCAGCTATCATGGTAATTAAGCACGGCGCAGCCACTGGCTTGACAATCGGATCAGTCGCCGAGGCAGCGTCCGTTGTCCGCCGAACCCACGGAAATGTCACATTGGAGTATGAAGAGTGGTGCGTTCTAAGAGAAAAGGGGCGCATGGGCGAAGGCAGACGGGAGATGTTCTCAGCCGCTGGTGACTCTGGGTCTTGCGTATTTGATTCGTTCGGCCGCGTTGTCGGAATCTCGAGCGGTGGGGGACGAGAGGTGCCCGAGAGTGATGGGGGTTATTTCGCCCCAATGGAATGGGTGCTAGATGATATCAGGGCTCATGGGTACGACGTCGAGCTTCTTCCACTGGGTTTGGATTGGCCTTGAGGAGTTAGAATGGAATTGCAGAACTTGAGCAGACAACTCAATATGACGCTCTTGAGTGACTTGCGACAATCAGTCTTGGCACTCTCGCCTGTGGGGGAAGAAACCCGCCATTGTCAAGCAGCACGGGTCCTTAAGCCTTGAAGTTTTGGACATTCCCACCGGAGCTTCCCTCCTTGAGGTTTGACTAAAGATAACACTTCCTTAGTCACATGCATTGAAAGGACGGTGGGTGAACAGGCCATGCAATGCTCATCGACTGCCTCGATAACTGAGCCAGAAGATAGATAGACGGTCCCCGATGCATGGGTATCCAACAATACATACAGGGAGATATAAGATCTGCTAAACCTTAATGCGAATTAAATTACAGGATAAGCCCTACAGCTAATAATGGACATGATCTTAGGTCCCTGAAATGTGAAGCCAAAAATATGCTCGGCGATCACTTGGATCAGATTCCTCCAGTCGTCCAACGCCCCCGAGGCGGTAAACACCCAGCACTTTCCTCTTCAGAGTATGAATTAGCGAGCTGGCTGGCGCTATTGATTAAGGTATGCATCTAGTCCAGTGCTTAGCTGCAGATAGGCTAAAGAGGCGTTTAGCTGTCAGGGGGTCTCGGGCCCTCGGGTCATCTTGAACCAGCCCTATCAGTGAAAGGGCTGCATCAAGTCTGATCTTTTGACTCCCTTGCATAGGATCTCTTGGCCAGTGAAGATCGGTCTTAGCCTAATCACTGATCAAAAAATCTCTTTAATGGCCTCGAGGCTGTTTCACCATCTGCTACTGGGACAATTTGATGCGGTGAGCTGACCCACGTCATGTCCGCAGTCCGACGGAGTGGCGTTTGCGGCTGAGAAACAATAATGCTCGACTCGCGATGGCATCCAACCGATCAGTTCCAAACCCCTTAACCGTAGAGTCTAGATCTTACAAGGCAGACTTGTGGCTGAAGCCCCTGACTACCAGCTGAGCTTGCTTTAAGCTTATATACCTCTGGGGCATCAACACCAGCATACCTCTTCACCACCAAGCAAACTCTAAACTTCAAGTCAACGACATCACACACTCCAAAAAGATGAAGATCAGCTTTCTCCCTCTTGCCCTCGTGGCCAGCCTCGCTACCTTTGGCGAGGCCAGAAACTGCACTCCTAACCTTGATCACTGCGGTCACTACCTGATGGACATTGGTACGTCGACTTCTTGACACAATCAACCATGACAACTGTTAACGGTGACCCTCCCAGGCCGATACTACTCCACCATTGCGGACGAACTCACCCGAGCCACCAAGACTACCTGCTTCAAGAAAGAGCACTTCACCAACGCTCTCTTCGCCTGCGGCACCAACGGAAGCATCAAGTACAAGAAGTTCTGTAAGAAGGGATGCGTGGTGAACTCGGCTGGCAAGCACGATTACTGCCTGTAGGCTTGAGGAGGTTGGTTCAGCTTTGTATGCTAGCGAGTTGTGGAGTTTGTTAGTGTAGCACTAGTAGCACTTTTGATGTATTGTTCAACGCCACGCCACGTCGTCCATGATCTGTCTCGCTATAAAAGTTCTCGAGCATACTTTGTACGCTTCAAGAAGTGCTTGTCCATGATTCCGTTTGTGGCGCTAGTTGGTGCTGGGAACATTGTAGAAGGGGTATCTGGATGGGCTGCAAATCGTATACAGATGGGGAAGAATGTTGAGGCTCGAAATTTGGCAACTGGGATGAACTAAGAAACATCATCCCGAGCGGCTCGGCAAACGCCAGCAGTGACACTCACGTAGTTTAGGAAAGACAGGTCTCAAGTCAGAGAGCATGTGGCTGCCTCTATTGACTCAATCTTGATCCCATGAATCATAGCGCCTGACCGACAGGACGGGAGCGGGAGTACTGAGAACAGGGAGCAGGCAGGCTTATCCGCCTTTATGTTAAGCTCCCGCCGAACGAACAGAAGGGCAATATGCTAACTACAACTTGTCATTCACAGGGTAGGTGGGCTTTCTAGATCACGCACATCTAATGGCAGATTTTTCTTCATTTTCTCCAGCATCCTCAAGAACACAACCCAGCATGCCTCGAAAGGGTCGTCTAGGGCGTCCCACGCACCTAAGACGAGAAGGGGATCACATGTTCCTGATCATCTTCATATATATGATTGAGTGCAACTGCGAAAGCTACCGAAACCCATACACCCTATCTAGGTAGGCCTCGAGAACATCTCTAGCTATCACCTTGATAAGTGCCTCCAACTCCCACGAGCACTGCCGCTCGGTGGCAGGATATCCTACCCACTGACACTTGAACTGCCGCTTGGCGCCCTCTCCACGGCTAGCAAGAACCCGGAAGACATGGTATAAGGCGTCGGGGCCGAGGTTTAGAGCACAACAGCGTCCACCCTCGGCCCTCCAGTAGGCGTAAAGCGTGCGAGCCGCATCCTCCTGGAGACGCCACTCGTCCTGCCAGGTCTGTACCTCGACGCCCACCCATCTGACTCGGATCTCGACCCTTGTTGGGTCAGAGGGATCGATTCGATGGTCAACCAAGTCTTGGATGGTGTAATAGTCTTCGGGGGCCTTTGTCGGGGAAGGGTCATCGGTCGAATGCGGGAGGGGACTGGTATGGCTTGGAGTTGACTCGTTGGCAAGCGTGGAGAGGGCTGCAATAGCGATTTCGCGTTCAGAAGACGCTATGGCTCCGTCGGTCCTTCGGTATTCCTCTTCGAAGGCAGTGCCCTCGGCCGTGTCAATGGCGCCGGGGCTCCTATCTGTGTCGGGCTCGGATGCAATGTCGCGGAAGTCGAACTTGAAATCATCGTCGAATGCTTCTGGGGAACGCTCTTGGTCGGATACTGGCTGGGGGCCGTCGATTTCAGGCTCAGATTGAGCTAAAGACAGCAGGAGTTAGCAGGTTGTCTGGAAGTCAACAGAGGAAGCTCTTGGTTCCCAAGATAGGCCACGTCAGAAGAATAGGAGAACTCACAGTGACTGGCCGAGACGATCCGGGACATGGGCTCTGGTGGCGACTTGGCCCCAAGCATGTTGATGCGGGCTGTTCAACGCAAGAGAGGGTGATGAGCAGAGTTTTCCATCGCTCATCACCTGTACAGGCTACAGCCCATCTCTCGCACGCATTTGCCCATCAGGGGCGTCTCGTTGTTTGCTCACGGGAAGCTGCTTCAAAGCGTGGACCAATGATAGTATCACGGTCATATGAGGGACTATCCCGTCCCCAGGTGAACAGAGGAGCGGGAGAACGCGGAAGCGATTGCATTGGACATGTTGAAGATATCACAAAGGATCAGAACAAGGGCGAGTCGAGTCAACTATGGAGTTGCGATAGCCTGTGCAAGCGATGGACCTCCATCATTGTGGGGTGGAACCCGACTTGTTATGAGTGCCTGAGGCACCCAGACCCACAGCAGCCTGTGCCCACCACCCCAGCGTCTGTCCCCGCTGCTGTTAAGGGGCTTCTAGTTAGGTAGGTTGTTGACGTGGGCCAAGTTTAAAGTCTCTGTCCACCTTCGTGTGTAGATGGTGACAATAGGCAGGCATGACATGTTCGAATATTATGGTGCTCAGACCTGGCGTGGTTCTGTTCATTGTTCAAAGCACCAAAAGTGGCCATGACCAGGCTTCTAATTCACAGTGCCTTCACAATGCTATTCAATGCTTCATAGTGCTTAAGTCTCGCACGAAACTTTGCTGAGGCGGCGACAGCGCAAGTGGCAGGGCTCAATTCAAACTCTGTCAGGTGTCTCCTCAACAAACAAGTATGACTCTATCGTCAAGCATCTGAAACTCCCCGTTGCGGTTGTAGCAGGTATATAGGTTAGGCCGAGTACCCGACCTGGCTTTAATCCTCCATCACCCGACATTAACTCATCAACATTCTCTCCATATTCAAGCCAAGCCGACTCTAAAGTGCCTCGCCGTATTAGGCAGTATGGAACGCAGCTTGAATGCCGCATCGACTGCAACTAGTACGTCTATCTTGAGCAAATGCTGTCATAGATAGATCTGTTGACCACATACCTTCATTAGTGCCGCCTCGAGACTTACGGCCTCTGATTCTATGCGGCCCTTCAGTACTAGAAAAGGATGCCCTCATGCGCAAGCTCTGGGACCTCTTGCCTGCCTCTTTTATAATCCTCACACATCATACCACCAATAGACCGATCGATGGACAACTCACCTTGGATAGTCACTATTACATATCCTCGGATAAGTTCCTCAACATGACCTCCAGCGGCGAATTCGCCACATATGGTACGTACGGTGACCACTCCCGGGGGGTATCGAGGCAAACCATTGCGACGGCGTCAGCAACGGGGCGCATAGTGGTCATGGACGTTGATATGCGAAGCGTTGAGCAGCTTAAGGCCATCCCCGGGTTCGATGCTCGATACGTCTTCATCACACCGCCAAGTCTCGACGTCTTTGAGGCCCGTCTAAACACGGAATCTACAGGAATCTACGAGCCCCTGAGGCGACTCATGGTGGAGTGTGGTAATTCTCACTTTCCTGAAGTGGAGGAAGCTGAGCTAGCATATTCTCGCGTTCCGGGAGTATATGACTTGATTCTCCCAAGTGAAAACCTCGATGAGGCTTTCCAAATGCTTGTTAATTATATTTATAGCTTTGACTACTAAAGCGATAGAAATCATAGCCTCTGTAACAGAGTTGAATCAAGGCAACCATAGCCGGGGCTCAAAACAGAGCGTTTTGGCATGCCCTTTAATCCATATTACAATCTTTTACAGAAGTATGGCAGCGCCCCCAATAAGAGCAACAAGGCCAGCCACAAGAGCGCTTTGGGCCAATCCCAGGCCAATAGCATCACTGACCTCGACGGGAGTTCTTGGACTAGTGCCAGGCGCTGAGGTGGACGTAGCCTTGGCGGTGTCATTACCCTGGGCCTTGGAGGGCGTGGTGGCTTGAGTCGGCACAACAGGCTCAGATGGAATGTGAAGCTCAGAGGAAGTCTCGACTGCAACCTCGGACGACATCTCAGATGCGGTTGTTTCGACACTGGTGCTTTGAGGTTGGGCGGTCGTGGTAGGGACCGTGGTTGTCTCATCGTCATATTTGCCATTCAGCTTCTCGAGGCCCGCAGTGATAGCGACAGGGTGAAAGTAATCGCCGGGCCCGGAAGTTTGTTCAATCGTCACATCGGTAGTTCTCTTGCCATCGATCACGGAAATGTCGGTCGAAGTGCAGGTCGCTGTGTTTTGCTCGGGGTAGATGTCGCACCGGATATCCTGAGACCTGGGGGGAGGCTATTAATTGACTTGCCAACGCCTGTGTCTGGCATAACTTACCGGGTGTACAAGACGTCATCATACAGATGAGCACTCCGGTCGACCCAGTTGATGGACAAGGTGGAGGGTCCTCCGACAATTGTCTTGGGATTGGAATCGCACATCTTCCAGTCCAGGGTGATGCCCTTGCAGCCAACAGCAAGAGTTGTCGCAGCACCTTCAACGCCGACGACAGATGCAGAGAGATACTCTCCATCCCAATCGGGCATCATGAAGCTGACATAGGCCGTTGTCTCGGCGGTCGCGGCGGCAGCAAACGCCCCAACGAGGAGAGGAAGCGAGCGGGTCATTGTGGACAGTTTCTGGTGATGGAGACGGCACAAGACACGATTAGGCGGCAATAGCAATGGATATTGAATGTGTGATTCTTTCGAAGAGGCGGAAGCGACTGCACCTTAAGGGGAAGCGGGCTGTTTATTAACGCCAACCCATCCCAATTACTTGTCACATTTCGACTCTTGAGCTGAAACAGGGACCCCATGTCTAGAGTGAGTGGGACTGGCATGTTCTTATTGATTCAGCCCCCTGGTCAACAGGGCCTCATTGGTTTAAGCTTAATTGCTTGCGCCCAAGCTCGGCGATCATACTCCAGAAGTACGTCGTGACATGAAACATCACAGGCTTGTCAAATTAGAGGGGCATTGTTGGTCTGGATTATCGCTGTCCTTCGTCTCCGTCTGATTGACATCTGATTGCAGCACATCCGCTCATTTCAGCTTTTGCCTCATCTGGATCAGTGGAGCACCACCCTATTCTCACCTTGGAGAACCTGAGGAGATAGACCAGTTGGTACGGATAGATAGTTGCAGGTAGAAGAGCATGATTCCTAATGACTCTGGAATGATAGGCAAATTGTTAGTTGATCTAAATATCTACACGTATATTGTCCTCCCTCCTTCGCCATCTGCGCAGTAGGCACCATGCTGACTTGCTATGCAGTAGCTAAATAGCTTCATGTTAGAAATCTCTGGGCGAAAGCGTTTCCAGTGGCGTAAAACTAGATGGATAGTTGAAACAATGAGCCCAGTCGCTGATCACTCTCCTTAGTGCCACGAGGGCATACTCACAAACAAAGGCCCAGCCTCAATTTGCGACGTCAAGAAGAACGGTGGCAGCGTTCGCGTCATTGATCTTTGTCCTTTTCTTTGAGGTGGGTTCACAGAAATTGTTCAGGGGGCATACCCGCGGTGCGGGTAGCTATTGACAAAGCACCCCGGGGGAAGAACAGGGTAGCCCACGTCTTTGAGGATCAAGTAATCAAGGCACTTGTGAAAGACAGCCTGACAGGCGAATAAAGATATGAAGAGACAATTTCCGCTCCACGATTCCGTGACTGCGGATCAGCAGAAGACACAAATCCAAGCCAATCACGTCAACATCAAGATCACCAACTAAAAGGCATCACAGCCAAATAAATCATCCTTGATCCAAATCATGGTTTCGACTAAGGTAATTGATATTCCGGACCAGGAACCCCCGCCCCGAGACAGGCTCTCTATCTTGCCCGACGAGCTTCTCCTCCAAATCTTTTCGCACTTCGTCGAGTTTGCCCACTGCCTGAACCTCATCAAGAGGTCCAAGAGGTTTTATAATTCCTTATTGCCTGAGCTGTACAAACAAACTGACAGAATCCATGGATGGTATCCCTTGTACGCCGCGGCTCGAACGGGCAACGTCGCGGCTCTCGAAAGGTGCTATGAATTTAGCGCACCGCTGGACAGCGATGTGATCTTCAACAAATGCGAACATTTTCCATTCAGCTTCCGGCCGCTCATTCTTTGCCATTCGTGACTTTAAGCCTGATGCAGTTGAATGGCTGCTTGCTCATGGTGCTGACCCTAGCGATACTGAAATCATCCAGATAGATCACGAGATCTTGAGGGTGTATTCCCCTCTTCGAATAGCTCGTGAACTGCCTGAGAAAATCTTCACTCCAGAAGAGCGGCAGAAAGAATATGAATTTGAAAAGAGGTTCGGGGGAAGACCTCCGTGGCTCAGGTTATTCAAGGAGGTCTGGGAGTATGATGAAGAAGACAGGGTGGCTTGGAAGAGCGAGATAATCGACGCCTTGGAGCGAGGTGGTTCTCGAGAATATCCTTTCCACTTGATGAGGCCTGCCTAGGCGGTTAACCACTCCGCCATCGGGCTCACAATCCTACAGGAGAGCGAGGTATGCTTGTCGATCTGTTAGTGTTTGGAATAATAAAATTATGCATGCAAATTATTGGAGAAGTACTATTTCTTAACTACATGGCTAATTTAAAAGGGAATGAGCAGGGTTAAGGCTAGCCACAAACAAACAAGGTCCCTGACCGTAACGTCGGTTCAGAGATGCCACGAGGCCCAAGGCCCTGGTCGCCATGCCAAGGTCCAATAACGTGTGCGATAGTTGACGTGAACCTATAATTGATTGCTGCCATTAACTTATGTCAAGACAGGTGGTGGGTTACTGATAGAGGCATACCGCCATGAGAGGCCGCCCAGCGCTCATACCATTTCCAGATGTTGCCCTTTCGGTGGATGATAAGTCGGTTGTGGCGGCAGCGGCGGGGCTCAACGAACAGCCGTGTCTCATACCATCTGTCGCATCTTCAACAGCAGAGGCTTCAAGCACAAAGAAACTGGCCATGACCCGGAACATCAGCGTCTCATATCCAGATAAACTACGAGGACGAATTCAATCACACCTCTCAGGGCGAGCCGCCCTCCATCAAGATAAATGAAAGCCTCTACTCCTGTTCCTCTGGGACCCCTTCCGCAACCACCACCCTTCTCCTCTACTCCCGAGTTCGTCTTGTTCCCTGGAGGAATCCGTAGCACTTCCTTTTCTAGGCTTGCCGTTCATTTCTTCTCTTCTGCTCCTCAGTCCGCACTCTTTCCCCAAATGAACCACCTCTTACGTTTCCTTCCTGACTCCTCCTTTGTCCACGAACTCTTTACGCTTTCCAAAGTACCAACAAAAGACCAACGGGTTGGACAACACAATGGTCGAACTCACACCTGAGGAGTGTTTCATGGTGTCGATCTACGACATCCTTCAACACCGGCGTACCTGCCCAGATGAGGGCTGCAAATTCCACAAGGCAGCCTGGCGACAAGATTGTGAAGTATGCAGGAAACCACTCCCATATTCTGACACGGATGGCAAGGTAGTATCGCCTCTCTTTGTACCCAGGCTCCAGCTAACCACCCATACTGAAGAAAGAGTTGGTATTTCGCATCATTCAGAAGATCATACAAGCTGAGGAAGCGCTCGCACGGGAGGGCACCATGTATGAAGATTCAATCAAAGTTGCTACCGCTTTGAGGGCATTCAAACTGCTTTGCTTGGAGCAATTTTGGAGCTTCATGGACCCCGACGTCGCAGTTGACAACATGCTCAAATTGCTGTTCGCCAATCCAGACACTCAACAAGCTGGCGAGGCTACGAACAACACGACAGCAAGACTTCGCAAGAAGTGACACTCTACAAGAGGACACCACGTCCAAAAGCTTTGAAAACGAGGTGCAGAGTACTTGAGCTGGTCTCGGTATGGCTTCAACAGTGTCACAGGGAACATGGACTGAGTAACTGAGTTCATGCGTTTGAGACTATGGAATAGTGTTGTTTGTTGAGGCGGTTTAGATAGAACAAGATATTTCTTGGGAGTGGGGTTTTCAAATTGTCATTATGCCTTGGTTAATGCTTCACAGCCTATGCTTGTTTAATATTTGTTCTTAAGAACTCCATGGGTCTAATAAATTAATCTCCTATTAACCTGTCCTGCTGGTTCTTAACCTACCCAAGACTTCTGTTCCCCACTCTGTCCATAGTTACGGACTTTACCTTTTTTGGTGTGCAGTAGCGACGACAAGGTCAGGTGACAACCTTCATCATTCTGCGTCTCAGGTTAGTCAACGAATCCGCCAGACTCGCTGAATACCGCATGACGTCAAAGTTCTTGCTGGGATTTTGATTTGGCGGGAGCGAGGCCTGTGGCATATAAATACTAGTTTTCTTATTCAAGCCCACCAACTTTGGCTCTGCAAGAAGACATCCAAACCTCACCCTATTCATCCTATCATGACACTATCCGACCCCAAGTGGCAGCCTCGCGCCATCATTTTCGATCTCCTTACCGGTCTTCTCGACTCTTGGACACTGTGGGACGCGTCGACGCCCTCCAAGAGTGAAGATGAAGGCAGACGCTGGCGTGGTCGTTATCTCGAAATTACTTTCGGCGCAGGCGCTTACGTCCCCTATGAAACACTCGTCAGGCAAGCTGCTTCTGACGTCGGGCTGCCGACCTCAGCTCCAGATGCTCTGCTGCAGAACTGGGAGAACCTGAAGCCCTGGCCCGAAGCTGCCTCCGTACTCCAGGCGCTCAGATCTCAAGGCTTCCAGCTCGGTGTGGTGACCAACTGCTCGAAAGATCTGGGGCATTTGGCTACCCAGCAAGTTGAGAAGCATGCCAGCTTGGAAGTCGACAACCCGTTCAAATTCGATATCACCATTACGGCTGAGGAGAGTGGGTTTTATAAACCGGTCGATAAGGCATATCAGGCCATTCTAACAGCCATGGGCCTTGAGGCGAGTGAGGTGTTGTTTGTCGCAGGCAGCGCTGGAGACGTTGAGGGCGCGACAAACGCGGGAATGAAAGTCGTCTGGCACAACAAAGTTGGCCTGACTACAAAGGGCAAGGCGGTGCCGCTTCGGGAAGGGAGCGCTTTGACTGAAGCTCTGAAGGATTACTTGAGGGTGGACGAATGAAAGATTTCAATCTCTAGAAAGCGAGATGGATCATCGAATAGATAGAATTGTTATTATCCGTTTGTAGAAAACAGGTACGCAATGAAAAAGCGTGAAATGACTTCAAAAGGTGAAAACGAAAGACCAGCTGCGCCCTGAACTATGGCCGTACCTCACAAAATCACTTAAAGCACCTTGTTGCCTTGCCCTTCCCAGGTATTCAAACCGACTAGATCATTCCATTCAAAAACTCAAAGATGATCCTCATCGCCGAGTCAAAGTCCATTGCTGATACAAGGTATCCTGTCACGGACATGGACATTTGCACCAGGGTGTTCAGGCTGACCTTGGCGAGGAGCGCTTTGACAACGCTAAACATCATCTCGAGAATTGCATCGACAGGCGACATCCCCTTCTGAGATTGTCATGTTAGCCACTGACTTGGTTTGTTCTCACCCGGGAAGACTCACCGCGAAATAGCGGACATAGTTGGCTATCTGTCGAAGCATGTCCTCCACCATGGTATTCAAATCGATGGAGCTCATTATCTGGCCAGAGACCTTGACAGCGTCTTGAGCCAAAAGGTTCCAGTTAAGTTCACCCTGATCTGTTAGCCAAGTCATGTACTGGGTGGTGTCCTGGCTTACAGAGTTCATCTCGTCGAGCGTGTTTTGAACAAAACGTTTCAAGTAGCCGTCACCTCTTGCAGGCGGCTCCTTTGTCGTGGTTTTCTTAATCACCATTCAGCTACGTATCAATCAACTGGTGGAGGACTTACATCAGATCCTGGGATCTTGACAGTGGTGGTGGGTTCATCACCGGGAGCTCTAGCGACCAGATTCGGGGAGTCGACAATGGGAGAGAGCCCTGGGTGTTGTAAGAACAGTAATCATGATCATGGAGATGGGCTACCTGGGTTTGCGCTGGGCATTGCTAGTGACGGCCTAGCCATTGCGACAAGCAGGACAGAGACGGCGCTGAAGAACTTCATATCGAAGTAAGAGAAACGAACGACAGATACAGACAAACTTCTGCGATGAGAGATGAAGCGAATGTACGGTGTTGTAGACAACGAGTGACAAAAACTTGCAGATTTCCTGAGATGAGAGAGCGTCGAGGTCGAGTATTTATGAAAAAGTCGTTGCTCAGACGGTCTCTATATTGATCTCCCTCTATTTCACAAGCTCAGCTGGCGCAACGAACTACTGATGCATGGTGATGCATACAATACAGCGTTTTCCCTAGCCATAGAGCCTGCTGATCGGCTCATGAACCATCCGGTATTGATCGACCCTGTTTCAATAGTAAGAATCACATGAAATATAGGCAATGCCCGAGTAATTAACTTCAATTCCATGCGCCTGCGCTGAGTAGTTACTAGGGGACAGGACCTGCATCTTCATGTCGGCGCCACCGCCTCGGACCGAATGAAGCTGAGATTACCGATCCCACGGCGATGGTAAGTTTGACCATGAGATAAATGTGCATTAGGGCAAGGGGTTAGAATCTGACATTGGTCCTGCTCATGGTGCCAAGGTTCAGATTATTTGAGCTTAATTCTCTAGTTGTTGGATAAAAGAGTTTGGGCTTTGGGGAACACGAGAAGTCTAAGAATGCAGCATCAGCCTTTTATGATCAGTATTTTCATCATCGCAGAGGAAACGCATTCTCATGAGCGAGTAGAATGAGCCGGGATGAATGCGATTGATCCGCATCCCTCGATTCGTTCATGAAATGGGCCTTTTTTGAGTATTGACCTGAATTAGGTGCGCGCCTGAACGGCTGGGTAATGTTTCACCCTTTCAGTGGAACCATGCAGCAATGCACATGCTATCGTCTGTATTTGCCAGGTCTTTGCACTCCACGATGATGCCAGTCGAAGTGAATGCAAGTCAGGAGAAGCAGATAATGTAGTGGTTCTCTGTTTCTTCCTTTTGGGAGATTTCTTTTCCCAACTTGACCACGTCTTCGGGATTAGCCTATTCAGACATGGAGTTAGCGTGGTTGCGAAATTCAAGGTCACTGACCCCTCCACACCAAAGCACCAATGGGGTGATTAGCTGGCTCTCTTGCTCAGTGCCAAACATGGCCTGAATACCATGGTATCTGTTGCATCTACGCTTGTCAGCCACCGTTGCTTCCAACTGAATGCATAAAGATAAGTGGGTTTAACACAGACGGCACATGTTGGATCAAGACACAGAGCAGTTGGTTTAACAGTTTAACTCATTTGAATTCATCACGCTACGCTAAAAAGCAGCTTGGCCAACTGAGAGCCTCACTAGGTCTCGGTTAAAAGAGGGCCTTGTTCCTGGTTCCAATGCCAGTAGATGGACCAGTGGTTTCCCAATCCCAGCAATCCTAATAATGCAATATACATGGGTATTTCTGAAAGACAGAATAGATCATGTTGACTTGGACTCACTCGGCCGCATTCAAGGGCCAAGGTGTCTTTGTGTCCTGGTCAACCTGTGTTGTGTTGGTGGTGTTGGCGGGAGTCTCCCAACCACCATTGTCGAACGTGGGTTGATATAATGGGGTAGATGGGGTATCAGTCGGATGAAGTCGCGGGGTACTATCCCCATTCTCTTCTTCGTTCAAGGCGTTCTGGGTGGGATAGGAATCGCCTAATGTTGGGTGGTTGGGTGCTTGGCTCAGCCATGCCCAGTGGGCGAAGCATCATCCTCTGTGGAATAGCTGCCCAAAGGAGACTGACACCATTTACTCAGACCAGCGAGGGGCAATGGATGGCTCGAAAACAGATGTACCCAGAGGAGGGTCGCGAGAAGTGAAGGTCGATGTGGAAGGACTGGCAGCCGGGGCGGAGGTCTTCACGGTGGGGGCCGCGGGGGAGACAGTCTCCGCACGCCAGAACTTGTCCATGATGGGGTCGTGGACCGCACCCTCACGGCCATGGGCGGCATCGGGAGTAGTGTTGCTAAGGCGTCTGGTCTGGTTGACGCTGAGACGGAGAGCCCGAGGGGCAGCGACGGCAGTGCGGCAAAGAGTCTTGACGGTGGAGTTCATGATGAATGATGTGGTGACTGTGGTCTGTGTGTGTAGGTAGTGTAGTGTGATCAAGTGTCGATATGGTCTGAGATAAGAACAACTCAACTGATCGATAACAACCATGGGCATGGACATGGTTAATATACCTGTGCCAATAATTGAACCTCTCGGCCTTGTTATCGGCTAATGGCGCTTTCGGATCAATGGAGAGCAACCCTTCTTGGAAACGTCCCCCGCATTATTCCCCGCACCCCAACCATGTCATGCCATTGCCATGCCTGTACCCATGCTTCCCCATCTCCGTCCGACTCCGGGGTTTCCGAAGTCGCTTTAGCCGACCGACCCGGAAGAGGCGGCTCAAATCAGCCCATTACCACGTGACGTCTCCGTGAACGGCGCGGAGGGAGCAAGGCATTCGGCAACGGGATTGTGCGGGAGAGATGAGACGAGAGTCGAGAATAACAGGAGATTATTACGTCAGGGCTGAAACAACAAGACTCCTTCTATCTATTCATGAATGGGGAAGGAAAAGACCTGTCCAATCGTCAACAAAGTGACACTGCCTCTCACCTTCAACCTGCAATACCACTATCCCCTGCATCAACAACGGGTGAGATGGCCGAGTTGGTTATGGCGTCAGGTTAAGGTCACCTTAACAACCTAAGATTCCTGATGGAGCAATCCTCCTGGGTTCGAGTCCCAGTCTCATCAAGTTATTCTTTTTGCCTTTCGTGAAGAAAATGCCTCATCTGCGATCGAACAGACAGGGCAAATTGGCTCCACTGGCTGTGCCACAACTTGGTGGATCAGAGAAAACCTCGAATTTAGCGGAGACGTCTTGAGGGATTCCTAACACTTGTTTTTGCCTATGTAGATACAAACAAGTCACATACAATGCCGGTGTAGGAGCTTTACCTCTCTCTTTTGGCATTTCTTTTTCTTCAGGCCGCATATGTCGTCTAGTCCTTGGTGGGTGAGCAGCCAATACCTGCAATGTCATCCATAACCTACCCTAGATCAAGGGCACGAGATGACGGGGCCGGGGCGGAGCCTCATGTCCAACCACAAAGGCCCTAGTAAAGCTAAAGCTTCTCTAGGGACACTCAAGGTATAGAATGCAATCTATCTGGCAGAACCTTCAAAAAGGTACCTTGTTGTGTTGTTGTCTCGTGATGGCAAGACTCGGTTGATCATGCCCCGTCCGCCTCTCAACAGAGCACCCAAGTGGGTATTCACAAAGAGGCTCCAGTCCACAGATCCCGACTCGAGAGGCCCTTTTTCGGTATTCGGGAAGGGCTATTGCCACAAATCTTGCCGAGTAAAAATCAACTTTGCTCCTTGTGGGACTGACACCTCAACTTACCCCTGCAGCTGGGCCTGTCTAAGATGAACGACAAAAAGAAGACAAAACAGGTCAAACCGCAAAAAGACATACAACAGCGGGGATTCGCTGGTCGTCACCGACCCAACTACTGATCCGCCCCTCACCGGCTTGACTATGGGAGAGCGGACGGGATCCCGTATTTTCCGGTGGGTATGGTCGTATGTGCTGGGCTGAGTCTCTGAATCGCCTCATCCCGAGGATGGCCGCAGTTGGGGAAGAGGAATCAGACTGGGCAAAACCCTACGCTAAACCTCTATGATCATGATCTGGAATGAGGTGATAACCTGCTTTCAACATGATGAGCTCAATTGATTCGAAGGGTAGGTATTAATACAGATCTTGGTCCTTTTCAGGGTGCCATGTCGCACTTCGTTCCCGGGGTATAGAAAGTGAATTACAACCGTGCCAAGACAACAAGCAAGCCGTCATCGTATAGGGGTTAGTACATCAGTTTGTGGTCTCTTGAAGCACTGAAAACGCAAGTTCGAGTCTTGCTGACGGCAAATCATTTCTTTTTGCCATTTGGCATGGGTGGCTTTAGCTTTTGCCATGCAGGATCTTGGTGTCATTGACCTTCAGCCCGGAGAGTGGAGGGGAGTTTTTGTGCGCCCCGAATAGGAATGTTTGTTGTAGAGCCCTTGTATTAAGCGCAGGGTGGCTATGGGCAAGCTCACGTAGATTTAGTGGCTAGTTGGAAACTGATATCGTGGTGTGTTTGCCATCGTATACTGATATTAGGAAGAGGCCGCTTAACCAGCCAGACAATTATCATCTTGTTGGCATAGGGTGAGTTATTTCGCATAAAAACGTGATGACTGGCTCGAGTTAGTGCCAGCGGACCGAGTGCTATTCATGATACGATGTTGCTGGTGATCAAATATGACAGTCCCCGTAACTCAGGTCTGACATGTCGACTACAGATCTCATTAGTCTATGAGAGCGATCTTTCACCCGAGAACGAATTACGTGAGTGATAGTTGAAGAGATTATGCGCTTCTATATGATTGGGTTGGAGGCCTGGTTCTCGGATAGCTAGCCGCCTGCAAGGAACAAACCTGACGCAGCCCTGTGAATGCACCAACACTTGTCGCCCCTGAGAAGAGGAGGCATGTTTTCACAGCACTGCAACCGAGTGGTTCGAACTAGATATAGAACATTGGGATAAAAATGCTACATAATTCAGTCATGTACAATACTTCACGAATTACAATAAGTCCACCAGCTGCTCTCCGTCCTAGGCAAACGAGGCATATGCCACCATGAGAAGAACAGCACCCAAAGCACCCCTTCCTGTCTTTGAACACTTCAAGCAGCTGCTACCAGAGGTTGTAGTCGCAGCAGTAGCACCCGGACCGAAGGTTAGAGTGGTGGGTGGCGCATCCCCAGCAGTAGTAGCTCCCGCCGTTACGGTGACCGGGCCCTTGTCCTGCTTCACCGTTAGTGCCACATACCCAAGACCAGCTTCTCATGCTTACCGTTGACGTCTCGAAAACTCCAGTGGCAGCTGCACAGTTCTGGTACTCCCATATGTCTTTGCTAGCCACACTCGTTCCGATGCAAGACTCGGGCCCATCAATGATACACACCGAGGCTAGAGCAACAATCGACTCTTGGCAGCGACAGCTCGTGAGTTCTGCTCCTTTGGTGTACTCGGAAGAGCACGAGGTGATTGACTTGGTCATTTGGGCACAGCTCTCGGCAATCGTCTGGCAAGTGTCTTCATCCAACGTTCTTGTCGCGGCGATTGCCGTTGGAGTTGTGATGTCGTCTGGGAGATATGGACCACAGGCATCTTGCCAGTTGGCGATCTCATCCTCAACAAAACTGTCGTATGAGTTTCCCAAGACGCATTGCCTGAATTCGCCCTTGCACCTGGAATGATTAGCCAAATCGTCGACTATGCCACCCGCTATACTCACCCAACATAAGCATCGAGAAGCTCCTGGGTGCAGAAGCAGTCAATGGTTTCTTGCTTTGACTTGTTACTGCATTTTCTGGCAATCTCGTCCGCCTTCATGCAATTTGGAAATTCGGTAATATCGCCAACACATTTCGGCGCCTTGAAAACAGCTCCATGGCATACAGTCAAGGAGCTCAGGACAAGAGTGAGGGCAACGGCTGGTCGAGTAAAAAGAAGCATCTTTGTACAGTAGGGATACGTTTGCTCGATTCCAGTCTTGCAGAGCTTACCCACCTTTATCTTCCAGCTCAAGGACAAAGAGGCAAGGTCGAGGCCGTTCGGGGCTTGAAGCCATCGTTCAGCCATGGTCGATAGTCGAGGCTCCCAGGAACTTAGGTGGAGTGGCGAGCCAATCACGACTGGACAGCCTCAGAGCTAATCGTACTTAGCTGACCACTTCCGTCACGCGGGGCTCATGAAAAGCCTCCCAATCTGCCTTGTGAGGGCGGAAGAAGCCTTCAGGTAGGACTCCTTTCCCTCTTTGTTAGCGTAGGGCAAGCCTGCGCTAGGTGAGGCTTGGCTCGGCAGTCGAGCCGAATCCTTGTACAAATATGCCGTCGGTCTGGGAATGTTCTCGGTATGGCTTTGAATCGTTCTTCTACCGGCTTCTTTGATCGCTGTCATGTCTGGCCAAGGCCGAGAATCTTCCCCCCAGCCCTACGGGTGGCTGTCCGTCTGCCTGCGATGGCCATCCCTCCTCGCCTTTTCCATCTTTAATATCGCCCTCATAGCGACCGTCATCGCTCTGACCATCTTCTCTTCACAAAATGATGGCTTTGTCACGGTTCCATCTAGCAATACCGCTAAGGATGGTGAGGTCGGCGACATTCCTGACACTCCCTGGAGCTTGGGTATACTCTGGACATCACTCCCCAGCTTTGTCTTTTCTCTTTTTGGTGCCTACTGGGCCTGGATAGCTGGCTCCCTTGCAGAGCGTCAACCCTACGTCGAACTTCGCAAAGAGGGTGGCGCCGACGCAAGAGTGTCGATTCTCCTGGATTACCGAGTTGTCGCCAGCATCTGGCGCTGGTGGGGAGCCTTTCGAAAGTCTCACTACATGGTCGGAGCTACTACTCTGCTGTCCGTGTTTTTGACATATCTTGTTGCGCCATTCGCTGCACGTTTGTTCGTGTCGCAAGTCGTAACAGTCTCGACGTCGCTCCCTATCGTGTACAATCAGACGTACAATGTCGACGGCATCGATTCTACTGTCGATTGGCGCCCTGTTTTCGATACTGTCTCCGCCACGCGACTCTACGGAGGCAACAAGATTGCCTGGACGGATGACGAGCGTGCCTTTCGCCCGTTTGATGCCGACTCGGACCTTGCCACAGGAACGAGCATGGCAGCAAATACCACTGCGTACTCGGCCTACCTCAACTGTGAGCTTGTAAAGGACTATTCCATCACGTCAAGTGGGAGTTCGGTTCAAATCTCTGGCAATGACAGAGGCTGCAGCTTCAAGCAAAGCTTTCCCACTTCAAGCTCCCAGGAGACATACTTCAAAACCACGGTCGAATTTGGCTGCTCCGCTAAAGCATACTACAGCCGCTTGGTGTTTACTGCGGCCAAGTACTCCTCTTCAGCAAAGACCAACCTTAAAGACATCAAGGTCATCTCCTGTGCAACTGGATACCGCCAAGTCGCCGGGACCCTTCGAGTTCTGCCGTCAACAGATGCCCCAATCATTCAATCGTTCGTCGAGACGGGTGAGCCCAATACCAGCCGACCAAAGCTGTGGAGAGTCTTTGAGCAAGACATTTTCGGAGCTGTGACCTTCAACCCAAAGATGAAGTGGTCAACCACGGACCTGGGGACTTTGATGCTGTACACTGCCCAACGGGCGCAGCCATCGGATCCCCTAGCAACAGATGTACTCATGGATGCAATTCAGAGCGTCTTTACGGCCATCTACGTGAATGCGGTTTCGGTTCATGGCTTCAAGACACTCTCAGAGCCCGAGAAGGCTACGGGGTCAGGCTTTGTTCCCACAACTCGCCTTTTCGTCGTAACCTGGGTCGCAGGAATTATCGTCGCATTCCTCGCCATCACCCTCTGCACCGTCGCCGTGGTACATTTTCTTCTGCGTGACGCTCCATCAATCCTATCAGAGGAACCCCAGGGGTTATTATCCATGGCTGCCATTCTTCAAAAGAGCGACCTTCTTCGCGTAGCTTCTGAGATACGCCAAGAGGTTGGACTTGAGGGCGAGATACGGGAAAGAGCCAAGGGCCAGTCCGACGTGAAGGACAGAAAGTGGAGAGTGGTGAAGCATCCTGAGACTGGGTACTGGGTTGTCAGGGCGGCGCGGAATGTCGAGATGGGAGCTGCAGAGCGTCTTCTGAGCTGAACGTGCATGTAATGAATTGGACCAGCTCATTTATTAAGCTATCAATTAACTCTCGTTGTTCATCCCAAACGGTGATGCTGTGTACAAAGGCCCATCCCTCTTGACTCTTAAGGCCGTGATAGCTTGGGTAACATCCGCCGGTCCCTAAATTACTCATCGCGACCGCCAGGCATAGGCTCAGACTACCATCCTATGAGGCTGAATTATTTCCTATGCAAAGAATCAGTTGGTTCAGATGCGCTTTGTCTCGTAGTTAACGTCTGTCGAAGTAGATATCACAAACATGTCCAGGTAGGCCAGGGGCGGCAACAACTGACGTGTTCGTGCTGTTCTTTGTTTGTCAGCTCTAGTCTCGTAGTACTAAATGACATATAAACACAGACAACCCAGACTCCTCGTGATCTGTTGTGTAAGGGCTGGCGATGTTACTGATTCTCTATCGCCCTTCTCACTCACCGAGCGTAGGCAAGCTGGACTATAAAATCTCAGCACCGAGCCCTAAAATCCATCCTCTCTACAATTCCCACTAAACTGAAACAACAACGCATCCTCCAAGATACATCGCGATGTGTGTAGTCACCAAGTACTACTACTACTGCTCCAAATGCGGTCACTGCCTCACCAGTCGGCTCAAATGGAGCCACTGCCGCCACCCTGGCAAGCCCAACAAAGGCTGCCGGGTTCAAGAGGTCGTGGGTGAGCCTAAGTACCTCAACAAGGACTATTGTCGAAGGTGCACCAAGTACTTCGTCGGCGACCCGCATCTTCTGGATCTCTCGCCTTGAGCGCGACAGGGTCGAACGTGCACCCGGCCAAGAACAATGCGACGCTGAGAGCGATGATATCGTGCCAGAGAATACAAGTTCTCATGGAACTCATTAATAAACTGAATCTCGCGACATAATGTTGTGTTTGTTGCGGAAAAGTTGTCTTTCGACTTGAGAAGGTCAGGCGTGGAGTTTGGAGTTTGGAATCAGGGAAGCGATGAAGCAAAAAGGTTAGGGAGGGGCACCAGCCTACAAGGTTGCCAGTCAAAATCATTTCGCAATGAGTATTCCATTTACTAATATTAAATTTCCCATGAATCACAAATCAAAATCGTGAATGTTGCCCGATTTGAGCAGCATGATGAGCTTGTCTGGACCTCCGAATGTTCTTCACGATTCTCAGTTTTTTTGGCTTACAACTTGCTACTTCCAGGGCTATTCTACCTCTGACTCTTAAAGTCCCTAGTCATCGTTGTTCCTATAGGTGAAGAGACCATGATGGTGAATACCCATGCTCGTTGATTGTCTTTGTTGCCTCGTCAAAGACCCCGTGTACGTGTTCGTGGTGAACACCGAAAAGCAAACCTCAAAGAGTCTAGGATTGTGGATGAGTGAACAACAGGTTTCCCTATTGCTGAAACTGAAGCTAGAAGTATAAACGCTTACTGTCTGCCGCTCCAGCCTGGTATTCTTGCTGGGTGGCCGCTTTCTGAACCTCATACTGTTTTCTTCGCTATTTTGTGTCAAAGCAGTCGACATGGCCCAGACGAAGGAAAAAGATTACGAGCCAACAAACAGAGTGGGCGAAATCAAACAATGGGTAAAAGAGGTTAAGCGGCATGTAACTTTTGCCGATGAGGCCACTAATGTTGGTACAGGGCTGCATCCTCCTCTACCTGATGATGAGAACAACGCAACTCAGACTACCCCATCCTTCGAAGAGAAGTGGAATGCATTAGTCGGGCAACATCGTGCTGCGCGTCATGCTCTCCACGAGATCGAGAATCAGATGTGGGAAATGCAATACAGTCGCCAGCAGATGTTGACGGCAGGGCCATCAGCCCCTCGTTCACAATCTTCACTTCCTAATAGCCCGGATACCGATACGAGAGGAATCCTAAGTGAAGCCCTGTGGCTGTATAATGATATGGCAAAGTTGGAGGTAGCGCATCAGGATCAGGTTGAGCTGGAGGACACTGATTTGGAGGAACAACAGCGAAGAAAGGAGGAAAAGGAAGCACGGAATATTTGGGCGAGATTCGATCGTCACAGCCTGCCCCGACAAAAATAATCTAGGAAGAGTCATGAGCGAAAGCCCGTGACGTGAAGCTAGGAGTAGAAAATGACAAGCGAGACTGAGATGCCTGCTGCGGGCAAAGTTGGTAGGGTTATTGATGACACGATCATTTCTAATGATAGTTCGACAGAGAAGGTGTATGCCGCCTTTACCAAGTCAAGTGGTTCAATGAGATACGGCGAATTCAGAACGGAGGTAAAGCGATTTTTATGGAAGGAACTACGGACAAAAAAGTAGCAAGAAGGAACACTATTGATGTATCACTACCTATTCTACAAGACAAGGAAAAGAGCTGCCACAGTGACAAAAGTAGAAACAAGCAGCAAAACCTTACCACCGACCCTGGCAGCAGAACCCTGCTTCGCCCACGCCTCGCATTTCCCTTCCTTGTTTGTGGAAACAATGGCAAAGCTCTTGATGGGATACGGGACACCCTGACATTCGCCACCCTTCTCGGTCTGACAGGTGCTCTCAAACCAAGGAAAGTCATCGGCGTCAACGTTGTCACCATCGACAATCTGCTGACAATTGGCGAAGGCGTAGACGTATAATGACCATGCGGAGACCTTGCCACTTTCGTCTTCGGTAGTCTTGTTTAGCAGCTCATACCGGATTTGAGAGTAATTCGCCTTGGAGTCAAAGTCGTCGCGATTTTGAAGGAGCCAATTGATACCTGATGACCGGTCCTCGAGAGGTTCCAGGGCTTCTTGGAATCCGGTATCGTTGGATTGCGAAAACATATCCGTTAGGTTGAAGCAGGTAAGCTCTGTTGGGATGCTGGATGTCGTGAAGAAGATGCCTTTTGAGGTATCTTTGGCCTGACAGGACTCTTCCTGGTCGTCTGTGAAAAATGCAACGGTCAAATTGCCAGCACTTCATTCTAAGAGTTAGTTGGAACGCAAGTATGTAACACCCAGTGAATTTGTTTCTTACCCTCCCACATTCTTTGCCGAGGCAAATAACAGCAAGGAAAAAATCAAGGATAGTGTCGAAATCATCGTGGCGGGATGGCGGACCTCTCTCAGCAAGCTTCAGGAGTCAAGTTAGCAGTATGCTACGAGAGAAGAGCGGTGCTTTTTATTTGGATAGCACACGGACAACCAACAGTGCAATGGCAGCAAATGTTTTATAGGGGTTGATGGGCCACTGATCGACTCAATCGGCGCCGGTCTCAGTGCTGTAACGTGCGTCATAATCTGGAGACGTTCAGTGCGAAGCAACCAACAGCCTCCGCCTGAACCACGACATCCCCGGCTCCCCGACAGTCTCTAAACGCGGTAGGCTTAAAATTAAAGTCAGGTCTCTCATGCATTTTGCAACCAACAGGATCATCCTTCCCGGATACAACGTGGTTCCATGGCTAGGAGCTGGATCAACAAGCTCATCCCTGGCCGTAGGATTCCCAGCCCCCAAACCCAACCAACGAGCTTGGAGTAACCACGTCATTGTTCAGGGAGGCAGTGCAAATCCGAGTCACCGCTTGCCACGCGACCTTTTCAAGCCTATGATGTTTCGAAAAAGGTCTTGAGCCTTCAAACTTTAATAAAGATAGAGTACGTGTTGTGGATGATAGTGAGGCCATTAGTAACGTAATGCCTCATACAAGGGTGGTCAAGGAGCGTGCTGCTCTTGTGGTGGCAGAAGTTGACTGGAAGACACTTCATTTGCACAACGTATGTGATTTTCTTACTATCTCAGTTCCAGTCTAAATACCTTTTCAGTCATTATGGCCTAAGGGCTTCGGTGTTGCATCTTACATGAAACCAATCACGACTCAGGCCAAGCTGCTTGGCATTACTATCTAACTGATCGCAAACGTCTCCACTTCGCTTCAAGACCATCGAGTTCCCAAAGGGCGAATTAGCCTCCTAAACCGCGGGCTATCGACTGGCGATGATTGAACATTTTCCTTCAGGACTTTGATGACCCTCGTTGTTGTGAATTCTTCTTCTTTTCTCCAAGCGTCAAAGACGGTGTCGGGCACGTGAGAGAGCGCGCAATGAGGGTTGTCCGACCTGCAACCATGGAGAACCGTAGCCTAGACATCGAAATTTTATTTATGCTCTCATTTAAAGCGTGTATTCCCTCGAACATCTGTTCAACCTCTACGACATCTCGTCACAGTCCCCGCCTTGGGGATCACCGTCCGTTTCGTTGTGGTTCCAGACTTTGGACATTATCACTCATTCTTATTCTTCTCAAGGCGCAGCTGCCACAAGAGCGCCAAGCCCGTAGCAATAGATCCCGTTCCCTCCCAGATAGACGCAACCTGCCAGCCCTGGACCCAAAATATTGAGGCGCTGAGCAGTCTCATGGGCACTGACGCAGCAAAGAACGCGGTGTTGTTCTGATAGGCGGCCAGTGAATAGTATATGCCCATTCCAATGGCCGCCAAGGCATTGCCCCTAACTGAAGGGAGGGCTGCAAGAGGTAGATTGAGAAATTCGAGCGTGTAGCTAGGGTTGATGAGAGTAGAGACGCCTGAGACGAAGGCTGACACCCCGAACGCGGTGATGGTGATTTGGACCGGGGAAACCATGTTGATTCTTGTTGAAACTGTAAGAGAAAGATGATCGATGAGATTTATTGGGTTATTAAAGAGACGCGGTTGGTAACATGAAACCGTTGCCGCGTTTGCCGTGTAACTCGGACAAACGCTAATCCGTCGTGGACTCGCCAGGAGACTGACCAACACCTCAACTCCAAGCCTCAGCTTTGAGTTGAAACCGTACACTCTAACATTCTATTGGATCACTGTTGAAGAGGGTTCACTGTCATCAGCTCACTTTAGAGTGTCTTACTATGCCCATTCGCCATTTGGTCAATAGTCTATAGAGCAGCCGGGATGGTGGAAGAAGATGGAAAATGCCGGCAGCAGCCCAACGAGTTCAACTTGGGTTGCTATCATACCCTTCACAGCAGAGACTATACAAATAACTATACTAAGGATTTAAATCTGTCAAAGATTGCAAAATGAGGCTCTTTGAAGCGTTGCATTCGTTGGACTAGGCACGCTGTGCTAGATGGTTATTTGATGAAAATGTTTAGTTCCCTATCAGCGCGAGATCAAAATTGCTATTAATGTTCGCGGCGCGGGGATTGGAACCTTCCAAACCCTGTTGAAAATATTCACTCAATACTAGTTTGATCCAGCCCAATTTTTCAAAGGGATTTGGAAGCTAATTAGACAGAAACGTTGGCATCTCGTCTCATACTCTCGATAGTTCGCCTATCTTGTATAGGGTAGGCCATGCCTAGGTGTGGGAGTTATCGTCATGATTATCCAAAAGCAGGATTCATCATCCCGATCAACCAATAGAATGCAGCGAGGCGAATGCTACGTCATAAGCCCCATGAGCTATAACTACCGTTCCGAGCACTATCTTTTCAAGCCACATTCAAGGATTATCAATCCATTCCGAGCACCGCCTGTTCTCCGAACCCCCTGCATCATGGAAGCCTTAATTTCGCAGGTGTTGAACAAGTCTGGCGAGGAGACGAAAGATCAAGATGGCGAACAGCCGTCCACCAAGGACAAGTTGACGAAAGAGATCCAAAACCGCGTCGATGAAGCCTCAAACTTGCAGGGAAAGTCAATCCAGCTTCACGAGCAGGCGGATGAAGCCGAAGATCCGAAAGTTGCCGAAGACTTGAGGTTCCAAGCTCGCGAAACGGACAAAAAGGCAGCCAAGCTGATGAAGACGGCCGAGCGACTCGAGGCAGGATGGATTCAGGGAGGCGCCTTTGGCACTGGAATCGGTGCTGGGATTGCGAGCGGCATCGGAGTCACCGTTGGAACTTTGCTTACAGGAGTTGTTGCGATCCCAACGTCGGGCTTGGGCATGTTGATAGGGGCCGGAACTGGCTTGGTGCATGGCCCCTGGGTCAAGTTTACCGAGGCTTTCAGCAAGGAAGAGGCCGAATCGATTGTCCAAGACGCTCAGAAGGAAGCCGACAATATCATCAAATCGGAAAAGACGGAAAAGCCGGAAAAGCCGGATGAGTCGTGACTGTTACTGATGCCGGATGGAATTTGGGATGGAGCGCTGGACAAAGCATTCAGACTGTATCATGGTTTTAGATGAGCGAGACTGCAAAAACATAAGATTGGTGTATATCTCCTTTTGAATGAGAATAGATTGCATGACGAACCTGCACATCTTGAGGCAAGAAGTGAGCGGGCGCGGGGCGAGCGTCATCGAGGGCCACGGCCCAATGTGACAGCTTCTCCATTGGATTCTCATGAAGAGCGTCAACTCTTGTCTGATGGATGCACTAAACGTGCTATTCCTATCAATATCTCCATAGACCGAATGCCCACGACGAACAAATAATCACTGTCTTCAATTCCCGTCCTTCATGAAATATATGTTATCAAAGCACCGCATCTGCTTTTCCCTACCAGCAAGTTTCTGTTGTCCGGAATCGGCTGGGTCGCTTTCTCCATGGTACCTGGCAAGCTTTACAGCTCCTCATAATCCTCATATCGGTAGCCTCCCTCAGGCACATAGTGTAGTGTACCACGCGAGAACTCGGGCCTCTCCGCCATCGAATCACTTTCCACACTGGTAAAGACGATGGGCCACATCTGTCGGAACCGTGTCACGAGTGTCATCTTCTCAATCTCCTCGCCGTTGATGGCATGGATGGTGAAGCTAAGCTTGTGCTCCTTGGAAGAGTCCTTGGGAGTTGAGCAAGAGAACTCCCACGAGGATTTGGCCCACGTTTCGGGGTCGAGCATAATGGAGCCTTCTCCGCGTCCGTCTTTGTCAATGGCAAGAGGCTGCATGAAGATCTCGACCTTGGAAGGATCGCAGACTTGATCGGACTCGGTGAGATCGACGCGGATTCTCTGGTTTGACCATCTATCAGAAATTGTGTGTCCGCAGGGCGGAGATTACTTACGGGCTGGTAATTCCGGTCCTTAAGATCAACGGCCTTCAGAGTCACCCAGACCGCTGGGGCCTCAGAATCCTCGTAGCAATCTTTGTCCAATGTTAGAAAATGCTCAAAGGCAAACAAGAAAGAATTGTGATGCTTACGGAGGGCTCTGCAGATGTCGAATGCGGCAATGGGCGACGTGAGCATGGCCGCGATGAAAGGGAGGGCAAGGTAACGCATCTTGGCAGTTCGTTTGGAAACAGTCGTGCGCAGTGGTTGGGTAGATTGAGTCAAGGGGAAGATATTGAATTGTTGATCTAAGGCTGCACAAGGTGTTTGCTTGGACGGCGTAGGGTATCTAATTATATGGCAGACACCCGAGATATATCGGGCCCCGACCCGAGGGGTCTGGGAATGAATGTTGAACTCGTCTATCTCAAAGGCAGGTTGGTCGGCCTGCACCATGACGCGTCCCCAAAGCAAGCCTATCAGAGGGACGTGAAAGATTCTTTGCAGGGGAACGATTCCTCTCGGCTGTTGCCTATAACGGAAGGCCCACGAAGGATTTCCCAAGTCACCAATGACAGAGCGTCAGGTGGTCTGCTCACTGACGCAACTGGACGCCCAGAGTTACAGCTGACGCCAAGGCAGTTTTAGCCATAAACTGGGGCAACTCTATACGAGTTAAGGTAGACGAGAATATGGGGTCATGCCAGGCAAAGAGGCATGGGAGTTTCGGTGCCTGGGGAAAAGCGGTGCACCTTTTTAGTCATTATTTTTCAGCCTTATCCTTCTCTAAACCATGTTTGAGTTGCTGAATAGCTTGCATCTGCGGAAGAGACAAAGGAGGGCGACGTCACCCTCTGCAAGCCTGACTTTGGTCAGCCAGTTGGATTCCTTGCATCGTGGCTTCGGCAGGATGATGACCCGTTTCAGCCCTGAGGCAGCCGCAGCAAACAAAAGATCACACCACCCAGAACCAACAACTTGACACGTTGCCACTGCCCAGATCTGGAAACATAGAGTGCGATGACGCCTCTGATGTACGTGAGTGCGGAGGAGCCTGGTATGCATAGTGGCTCGGAGAACCATGCCCATTTCAACTGCCGTGACTCACGGTAGTGGGCTTGGAGAACTGAAGGTGTGGCGAAGCAGACGACAAGACATATTGTAATTCATTTGAGACACATCTCGTAAGACCAAAGCTGAATGAAGCGTTTTGAACAAGGAGGCTGTGACCGCCAATTCCCGATTTTTAAGGATGCTTTTAATCTGATCTTGATGCTTAGGATGCGATGATTGTCCCGGGCTCGCCAGTCTTTAACAAGTGTCCATTGGCTCAAGTGTGGATCAATAAGATGGACAACCCCAAGACCCAGGCCCAGCAGATTACGACACCTATCTCAAAACGGCAGAGATGATAGGTAAGATGCATGGCACTCAAGGTGTGGTCAAGGCAGCCCATGCGGACCCAGGCTGTGTGGGTGTGAGCTTAATAAGGTGGGACGACGAATCCAGGCACTTGATGTCCTTTGCCGAGGCGCCCATCAGACAATGTGTCGCTGAACTTGGTTGGGGTTTGTATTGACGTCCCAGATTCTGTCTAAAAATGAGCCTTTGAACTCATATCAGACTTTGGTTACAGACCACGTGAATCTCCGGGGTCTCGGGCGCGATGTTTCTGTCTATTCATCAAGATGGACGTCCATGGATGCGTTGCTCGAGACCAACAATTCGTTGGCGAGATATTCTACTAGGGGTGCTGACTTGCTGGAAACCTATAGTCAGTCAGCCCAAGTATAGAAGGCTTCTATGGGTGTTTTGGGAGCGCACGTGGGAGAGAGGTGGATTGATGTGTCGTGTGAGATCACCTCTTCTAAGATCTGATCTCTGACAAGAAACCACCCTCAGCGTTTCCCAAAGATGGTTATTTGCATTAGAAACTTGGTATCAGTTTCCTACCTTGTCGATCAAAACTTTCGTTCAAGGTTCCCTGGGATGAATAAGACCATGCTTGGTCAAATTGAGAGGACAGCTCCGCTAAGGGAATAATCCTGAGCTGAAGGGGCGTGCTTGGCCTCGCCGTAGTAAGGCACGAGAGGCAAAAATAGATCGTATGGAAAGTGGAATAGCCTTGAATAATATTGATCCAGCGGAATAGCTGGCCTCATATGGAAAGAGGTGTGTGGCATTGTATTCTTCTGTAAAACGGCTGGTCAAATGGAACGTACGTACCCGTGAGCCCCATCTCGGCAACCTCATCACGTACCTAATTTGTTCGTATTAGAAAGAAGGGAATGAGGCTAAAAGAATATTATGTAGCAGCCTATCGCTATCCTACAGGCTCATAAGTTCTCTGCCACCTTGCCTAAGAGCTAGATGTTGATATCCCCCGGCTGGAATCCGTCTTCCTCCCCAACCCCCCGGAGCTTCGGCACCGGACTCAAGCACATGATTAACTTCTGCTGTAGCATTAATTTATGCTAAATGGCCATATACCATAGATTGATGATGTAATAAATGGGTGTGATAGTTTGACGAATCCTCACTACTCTAATGATCATCCTTGTTGATATCCATGATGTCTCTGCAAGGAGCTGTCGGGCACAGCCTCTGATGTTCAGATTAGTAGAAAATAAATGAACTAGTGGCAACTATCCCCAATCCCCCAAACCTATGGTAGTATCCTAGCCTAAAGTGGAAGAACTCTTGGCATGTTTTGGGGCAACGTCTGATTTTCTTGGCGATCTCACCTACCCTTGCATCTATAGTAGATGGACAATCTTTCGAGCCCACACTAGAGTGAAGGTATGACATGAATGTAGCTTTTCGTGCAAGCGAGTGAAATTGTTGAACTAGATGCTCCTCGACAACGGCAGGACCACACTGAGCACAAGACAGTCGCGCAATTTCGGAACTATAGGACTACATTTATGCCCACATCCAGCATTCTTGTTCATCATAACCACCAAACAAAGGAGATGAAATCTTGTTAGAGCCCGTCTTGTAATATGTAGGGATCTTCTGATCGGGGCAACCGGCAACCGAAAGTACCTAGTCAATGTTCCATTCAAGGCGAGCGCTCAACTATACAACGGTCTTAGACAGCAGATGAACAAGTTCACTAGCACATCAAGTATTCATCACTTCGCAGGATAAGAAAAAGCTCGATGACTGCCAGATGGAGACTCGATGAGATGCAATTTGTCCCACTGTCTCGTATTTCCGATTACAATGCTCAACCAAGTGGGCTGACTTAAGGTCCACCTCTCCGGTATTTACGGTCGCACATCCCGCGCGATGTGGGCTTGTCTTTTCTGAGAGAGGAATAAGACGTCTCTAACTGGCGTGTAATTCCGTGGCCTGGCACTATTAGTCGACAATTATAAATCCGTTGTCTTTAAAACATCGATTTGGGGTCATACCCATCCTCAGTTCATGGTGATGCTAACAAGCCCATAAAACAACCTGTTAAAGAATTGCCTGCATCATATGATCGAATATCGCGTATAGCGCATTCTCTCACCCAACGGGCCCTCCAACCCTCCATTCTAGATCCATTCACCCACGCTGTTGGGACTAGAAGTTCCACCCCACGTCGCCACATGCCAGTCCTGCGTTGTTTGCGTGGCCCTGACCCTGACCCTGACGAACTGGTACGTAGTAGCAAGCGAACCTGTTCGAGCCCTGGCAGCCAACCAACATGTGGAATCAGGTCACTATTGAGTGCCGTCCGACCCGTGATGGTGGATCTGGCTGCTCAAGGTGGAGTTGGGCTAAACCAATCGGACAAAATCGCCGCCAAACCTGCGATACCTCATACTGTACGCTGGGACTAATCAGATCGAGCGACGACAACCATCACGCCCTAGCACGGTTAATCCCTTCTCGGTTCCGCTGTATCCCACGCTTGAGCCACAGAAAGTTCTCACCAACACGCGAGCCATTGCGTAACGAACCAACCAACACGTCTGCTCAGGCCGTTTCCGCTCTGCTTACCCATGGCCGATCCTAAAGTCTTGGTCATATCAATCGTATCAGATTAGATTAGATGGGGCCAAGTCACGCTGACCTTCAGGCCCGCGGCATTTCCGAACTTCTCGCACTCTGTGGATCTACTGTTGGTTCCAACTCTGGTGGTTCTGACCTTGGGATCCCTGTCACCCGGCCGGGAGACGGAACCCAGACATCCCGCACCCCGATGCCGATTCTGCCGGTCAAGTATGGAGACTTGAGCATGGTTAAAAGGAGGCAACATGATAAAAATCTTATCAGATGCGTGGTTTTCTAGCTGGGTTTCCCTGGTCTGATCGTGCGTCAAGTCTTTTAAAGACAAGCAGTGACCCCTTGAACAGTTCGCGCCCATTTCTTTCCTTATTCTTGAAGGCTAATTCCTCTACATTCCTCGCTCCTTTGCACCAACCCTAGTGATCAGCACTTAATCATGGGATTGTGGAACAGGCTTCGGCCTAACAGCGCAGAGGTTACCAGCCCGTCAACTGGAGAATCGCCCACCAACCTTACGCCTGTCACCAGCCATGGAAAGGGTCCCGCTGGTCTGTCCCCCGAAGATGGAAACCCAACCACCACCGAGGATGCTGTGCCGATGGAGGATGTGACAGAAGGTGTCAGGGATATGCAAGCCATCACACTGGTGTGGACAAAGAAGTCACTGATTTGCGCGCTTGTCTCTGTCTGGTTTGTCTACTTGTTGAATGCCTTTCAGAGTTCAACTGCTGGCAGCCTCCTGCCCTATGTCACTAGCGATTTCGGGGCGCATTCACTACTCACTGTCATTGATGTCGTCGCGAGCTCGATGACGGCTGCAGTCTTCATTCCTCTGGCCAAATTCCTCGATATTGCTGGTCGAGCTGAGGGCTATCTTCTTATGGTGGCCTTTGCAGACCTGGGCTTGATCATCATGGCCACCAGCAAGAATCTTTCCACCTACTGTGCTGCCAACGTAAGTAGCGAGTCTTGACAGGCAAGACAACCTGCACAGCATGCTCACACGGGAACAGGTCTTTTACCAGGTCGGCTTCACTGGTCTCATCTACAGTATCGACGTTATCACAGCCGACTCCACCAACCTCCAGAATCGAGCCTTGGCATATGCCTTCACGTCATCCCCTTACATGATCTCAGCCTTTGCTGGATCATATGCCTCTGAGAAGATGCTCGAAACCATCAACTGGACCTGGGGTTTCGGCATCTTTGCATTCCTTACACCTGTTGTATGTGCTCCTCTGTTCTGCATCTTGAAGTACAACTTGCACAAGGCCAGGAAGGATATTCTTCCCAAGAAGCCCAGTGGGCGTACTTTTATGCAGAGCGTCTGGCACTATGTTATTGAATTCGATGGTTTGTCTCATCCCGCTCTCTTGTGTGACTGTTCAAGGCTCACCGATTACTTTGCTCAGCTCTTGGCATCTTTCTGTTTGCCGCTGGTTTGGTCATCTTCCTCCTGCCGTTCAACATCGCCGCTATGGCCCCCAACGGATGGGCTTCGGGATACATCATCGCCATGATCATTGTTGGATTCATTCTCCTCGTCATGTTCGGCTTGAATGAGCTCTACCTCGCGCCAATTCCCTTCCTGAAGTTCGATTTCTTGACTGACCGAACCCTGATTGGTGCCTGTCTTCTGGACCTTACGTATCAGCTCTCTTACTACTGCTGGAACAACTATTTCACGTCCTTTCTGCAAGTTGTCAACTATCTTTCCGTCGCAGAAGCCGGATATATCGCCAACACTTTCAACGTCGTTTCCGGTTTCCTCCTCTTCCTTGTTGGTTGGGGCATTCGCAAGACAGGATACTTCAAGTGGCTTCTCTGGATTGGTGTTCCCCTCTATATCTTGGCCCAAGGTCTGATGATTTACTTCCGAAGCCCTACTGGATACGTCGGATATATTGTCATGACGCAGATCTTCATCTCCATGGGTGGTAGTGTCTTCACCATCTGCATGCAGCTCGCCGTTCTCGCGGCTGTCGATCACCAACATGTGGCCGCAGCCTTGGCTATGCTGAGTGTCACTGGAACCGTCGGTGGCTCCATTGGATCCACCATTTCTGGTGCCATCTGGACCAACACCTTCCGGAAGGCTTTGATCATGCATTTGCCTTCGAGTGCGCTGGAGAGCCTAGACGATATCTACGAAAACCTGGAGACGCAGCTAAGCTTCCCCAGGGGAAGCGTTGAGCGTATTGGAATCCAGAAGGCCTACGGTTATGCCCAAACCCGAATGTTGGCAGCTGGAACCGCTCTTATGGCGGCATCTTTCGTCTGGGTCGCTCTCATTAGAAACCTCAAGGTCTCGGAGATGAAGCAGACAAAGGGTAACGTCTTCTAGACGATGTTTCGTCTATCTTTCTTTTAAGGAGCCAGCATGCCCTGTTATTTACAACTAGTGCATAATATCCAAACCAAGTTGAAGTCATGATTCTCGTATTGTCGTGATACTCTCCTTGTCCCTTCTAGCAAGACTATTGGCGGTTTGTAAAACCAACATCAGTGAGCGTGCACGAATCTTAGTGATTAGTAGCGAGGCAAGTTCAGAAAAGCCATTTCACTACAACGACGAGTTTGTACACAACAAGCGCAAGTCAAGGTACTTACTACCTTCTAATGCTAATTGTGAAGAACGAAAGACTTGTACTTATCAATTTGCAGTATTGCAGCGATGTATAGATGTGTTGAGTTCTACAGGACTAGTGACGAGGCGATATCTTTCGGGATCCCAGGCAAAAAGACAGCCCCTGGCCGTAGGCAAGGAAAGCAAAAACATACAACAGCGGGGATTCGCTGGTCGTCACCGACCCAACTACTAATCCGCCCCTCACCGGCTTATCTATGGGAGAGCGGACGGGATCCCGAGTTCTCCAGTGGGTATGGTCGTATGTGAGAGACATCGACGAGGAGGTGGTCTATGGCTGCTTCATGAGCATCAGGGAAGAGATTTGACAAGCATGCTGCCCTGGGCTTAACTAGCGAGATCTGCTTCTTAAAAATTTCTCTGCTCACTGCTATAGTTCTTTTAAGTGGCCCCGCCCCTTTGTGTTGGACTGTAAGATTGAAACACAGGGTGGTCACCAGACCTTGATGTAGTCGAACCACAGATCGACGTGAAAGAACACGGGCCCTTTAGGATCAAAAGCTAACAGAGGGCAAACAATACGTGCTACGAGAGCATAGGTATTAGGAGCACGCCTGTTCGGGTCTATGCAAGGGTTCCACAGTCCAAGACCCGCACTAGAACCCCGGTTTGTTTCGTTGACGAACCTCGTCCTTTGTTGCCTTGAACTCAGTCGCAGGTCTTTGGACTTTATTGAGTCAGGTTTTAAAGGAGTCTTTCTACATGATTGAGATGAATTGCGTCTATGGGGAGCGATGGCAGGTCATTACATCAAACTGGCCTCAAGGTTGAAGCTCTTGAGGCGAACATCTTAATCATTTCAGCCTCTTCCCTTCTGGACGTGGATGGTTGGATCTCAAGAACAACCGAGTTATTAATATAATGAAGCTAAAGGTGCCTTATCAAATATCTCTCTTTTGTGTTGGACCACTACAGCCATCGAGCTCAATCTCCACGTCTCCTCTCAATGCTACTTCATAATCAGGAAGTTGACGGTTAATGTTCGGGTATGACCTAAAGAGCACGGAGCTCACTTCGACACTGGAGGTGACCCATGCTAGCAGATAGGCAAATGTTAGCTAATGTTGATGATCTTCTCTGTCCGCCAGCTCAACGGATGATTCACTTGACTCCGACCCGTCCCTTGCAGTTGAAACTCCGCCAAGTCCGCTTTATTAGGTCGATCTTGTCCCCGTTGTCGTTCTATCTTAAAGCATGCTGCTCTGCCTATTTACTGGTGGACTTGATCCCCTCTCAACATCTGCTGATGCGTCTCCTCAGTCTTGGGGCAACTGGAAGAACGGGAGTTTTTGGTTACAAGTACGCTCTAGAGCAAGGTACGTAACATGATCCGGTCATGTGTATTGGAGACTGGGCCAAAATACATGGGCATTTCAACATCTTCTAATCCTAGAGCAGGTCACCTCGTCACGGCTACTGTGAGAAATTCTCAGTTCCTTGTGCCGCATGAGAACCTCCGAGTGATTGAAGGCTCCGTCGTGTCCTCACGGGACGTAGAAAATGCTGTTCAGTCCGGTCCATCACCGATCGACGCTGTGGTTTCCTTTCTCAACCCCCATGTCACGTCTGGTCTATGACCCAGGTTCGTTGGCCCACCATGGCTCATGGCAGATGCTGTAGCCAACGTATCGCGTGCACTCCTCCAATCGAGTCTTCAGCATAGTACAGGAAAGGCTCGGATAGTAGTTATGAGTGCTGTTGGCGTTGCTGAGAGTCGACAAGCCGCACCTTGGCTTGCGACTTTCATGGTGGACCACCACACCAATACAAACAAGATCTACCGAGACCATGAAGCCGTCAGGGCCGAGATAGAGGGAAACTGTGGGATGATATTACCTGGACATTGGCCTATGCGGTTGGACTCGGGACTGCCGGATTCAAGCAAGTGAAGACTTTTCGTCCCACGGAGGCTGGAGCGAGTTGGTACATCACAAGAGAGAGTGTCGCCAGATGGATGGTGGACGTGAAAGTAGGGAAGATGGGAGAGAGATTCAGTAACCAGGCGGTTATCGTGTCGAAATGAGGTTGCTAAGAAGCTCCCTTCCTCAAGACGGTGTTCTATAATGGCCCTCAGCCTTATCGCCTCTCCATCTTCTCAGGCTGCTTGGCGCATGAACAACGTAGGGCGGCCGACCGCATGGTAGCCGAGGTGTTTTCCCCCATAGTCCTCTAACACACATCTCATCGTAGTACCAGCCTAGAGATACGATCCGGCAATAGAACCACCCAACATCGCCTTCCGTGTTTCCCTCAATCGGGGTCCAATCGTCTGGCACATATTTGCCCTCATGCCCGATCCTGTCTGGGTGCCAGGCTGGAAGCCAATCCTTGTACAAGACCCCGATGATTGGAAATGTCGTCTCGGCCGACTTGAGAGACCTTCTGTCGGCAACCAAGCAATAGTGAAAGCGCGCAACCTGATACTTCCAGCCATCTTCGGAAGGGGGCACGCCTCGATCAGATGCCCACTTTGAGAATTGCTCTCGGACAACTTGTGTTGTAACATTGCTGAGCAATTTCTTGTCCTCGACAACTGGCCAATGGGTCTGACCCATAGGAAACCGTTTGTCGTCGGATTCTTGGAACTTGAGCACCATGTTATGGATGAGTTCGCGCAATTTGAAGAACTCGCGATCTGAGTGGCCCCCGTACGCAGTTCTATAAGTGACAAGGCCCCATGGGCGGTATCCAAGCTCCTCTCTGACTTCAGGGATTCCTTCCTCTGGTGAAGGATAGCAGAGGTGGCTGCTTCTCATGTTGGGCCACTCAACAGAGGCTCTCCTCAATCGGTCGCGCACCACGTCAATAGGCCCTTCCCACCAAGCAGGATGATCGAGAGGAATCGGGAGCGGGTCAAGGGGTCCAGGTGGGAAAATGTCGCCAGTGTCATGTTTTCCAGTTGAAAACTGCCGTGATGTCTTCACAGGCCTGTCTTTTGGCTGTAAGGGCCAGGGCAGGCTCCTCGACGCGAGGGATGCAGATTGCGCGTGTCGCGTCCATTGTTGAGTTGGTCTATATAGATACTGGTAGGCCTGCATTGCGCCTGTATGGTAAATTACCGTGAGTTCGTAGGAGCTAGAGAAAGGCTTGTGGGAGTGGTAGAGATCATGCAGTTAGACGGTGATCGGTGGATGTTGGATTGAAGGATGCATTCATTTACCAACAGCTGAAGAGACGCGTTGCGTGCCTGAGGCAACATGTTGGGACCGCGTCCTTGTTAACAACAAGCCGCCGTGATCGAATACCAGGCCTCGCTTATTGTTTTCCTTTTCATTTTACCATAAAGATGGCAGGTATTAAGACCCGGAACCGGACTGAGTTAGACTAGCTATTGCTGGAGTGTGGGTGTTGTTGGCCCCCTCGGACGCCTCGAGATCACGAAGACCAAAGACGCCACTCAACACAGACCACAACCCAGGCCTCGCGCCAGATTCCCACGTGATGAAACTGTGTGAGCTTCTTTGTTCTCATTTCATAACTTGAACAATTTTGCGTGGTCTCATTTCCCCTCTTTTCTTTTCTTCTTCTCCTCTCCGATCTTGTCCTTCTCTTATCGGGCGAAACTCATCAACTCTGTAGTTTCCTTAAACCCGCAAGCATTAGAGCCAGTTTTGCATACCTGCAGCCTGTCTACTCACCCGAGGTGCCTAATTGGATCCTTACTTCCGTCTTTATCCATATTATCTCACTCTTTGACATTCTTCACAACTCTCGCTCCTGGTGTTGGGAATCTTGGGGATCCTCAGACTTGCTTCCATCTCGCCTTCAACTTGCAACCATGGCCAGGTATTCTCCCGAAAGACCAAGCTCCAGTCGTTCTAAGGTCAAGACATCTCGCGACTACTACCTAGATGCAATGCGCATACCATTGGCACCTATACCTAGACCTTCAACCAGGCCCCCTCGGCGTCGTCCTCTGCGAAACAAAGCTAAAGCTAAACACTTTGCCCCTCGCTATGTGAAGCTCTCCTCATTGAGCTCATGTTCTCAACGCACAGACAAAATCAACCAGTCAATTGGTTCCCATTCTCAGAGAGCCAATGCCACCATCGCTGCCGGACAAGGCCACCATGTTCCACACGACGCCTACGTAATTCCCCTCCCTCGACTCTCTCATCCACAAGATGCAACTACGCCTCAGCCGGAAGCCCCATCTAAGAGACCACATCCCATCAGCTCACACAGCGATGATCACCATGAGTCTAGGCCCCCACAGAAGCGTCATTGTGGTCGTGGCGATGACACTCTTGGGCTCTTCAAGTCGGCCTCACCCAAGGTCCTGTCCATCCCTTTACCCTCTGGCGGGTCTCCCCTTCGCATTCCCATCGGTCCTGAACTCCCAGGAGATGCTATAGACAGCGCTCAGGAACGTTTATGCCACTCATCCCTACCCATTATGTCCCGGTCTCTTGCTAAAAACCTCCTTGAGAAACACGAGCCTGACATGCCCGTTGGGTCTAGGGGCCACACCAAGTCTCTCTTTAAGAGTTCTGGTAATGAAATTGCACCGCGCGAGAGATTGGATGGGCAAAAATGGCAAGAATGCGAAACAATTCCACGCAGGATCATAAATATGAAACACGGTCTCTTTGATGGGGTTCTCAGACACCAACCCCTCTCGGAACCAAGCAAGACATCTTCCAACAAAGAAAATTTGGTTCAGAATCCCAAAACAGCCACAGCTCGGATCTTGAGCCTTTGGTTCTTCCTTTTCGCCTGTCTTCTCGGTGCCTTCATTGGCGGCATGGTCCTCCACAGTCATCTAGCCCCAGAGTTTCCCGCAGTTATGTGGGAGCTAAATGATCACGAACCTTTGCATTGCTCTGGCGACAAGATCAAGATCTGTTCCTGGTAAGAGGAGTAAGCGAGCAAGGACCTAAGCCCGGTATGCTCCGAGTTTCAAAGACTGCCTCTTTGTTGTGGGGGTGTTCTCATTGACTTTACGCGATGCCCGGCCGAGTTGCAGTCTTAGGACTTTATTCCTTCTTTTTAGGGCAGAGGGACCTAGGCAATGGATTAAGAAGCTGGGACTGGACATCAAGTCCAGGAGGCCTGGATCATTTGATTGACGAGTTTGGATCTGCTGTAGTCTCGTGTAACTATTTTGTTGGTCGTTCCATGATGTTTATTGTTCATCATTGCAATTCAGGGTTGTTCGCCCAAAATTGTGTGTTCAAACTATGCAACAAGTGCCGCTCAGGGTATTGTTCCGACTTTGTCCTAGAACCCCTTTGACTGTTGAAAAGTGAACCACGCTATTCTCACACTTTCCCTCTTGCTTCCAAGTATAAGATCATACTTCTGTCTCTGTGGTCAACTGCCTCTTTACCTTCATTAAACAGTTGTCATTCCATCCCAATCACTGTTCATCTCGCATCGACGTGTGAGACTTGACTGCTAGATTCAGGAACGCCAATCCCCGAACATATTGGACATCATGGTTAGCCAGCCAATCCCCGATGGCAGTGGCAAGCCTGTCACGCTTGATCAGCAACTTTATCTCGAGGAAAATGCTATCCAAGACAATGATGGTATGGCCGGCATGACAGCTGACCTCGCAGGTAACGCAGATACGGAGACGCAATGTCAGGCTCCTGAAGCTAACCCGCAGTCGCCCGAGATGGCGACCATTGTCTCTGCTATCACAACTGCATATTCCAACGGGCAGCTCACTAGAAAGGACGTACAGGACATGCTTACCGGCCAACTTGATGCACAATGGCAGACGATTCGCCAGTATGATCAAGATTGGCGTGAGAGATCTCAAGGCAGGAACGCAGCCCGGATGTCCACGTCTGAATGGGTCACAAGTTCCGAATGGACAACACCTTTCAAGAAGTCTGACAGCACCGAAATAGACTGCCTACGAGGTGTAGTCGGTGAGAGAAACTATCTCAGGTTCAGAAGAGACGAGCAAAATCTCGCTCTCTCCCAGTGGCTGGTTGATACAAACGGATGCGCATCGACCTGTCCGGTCAGGGCTGAAGAGACGGTCCTCAAGAGGTACAAATTGTTCCGAGACTTGCTAGGCAAGATGATGTATGGTCTGGTTTGCATTGGGCAATGAAAGGCGAAAAACATATTTTGAGACATTGTGAGGTAGAACATGACGAGAAGAAGAAGAATTTAAACATCATTTGCTACCTCGATGAGCATTACTAGATATTATTGTCAAGCCATTGCAGTGGTATTGGACTAATCTATACTTAACAAGAATTAGAACTCTAGGGGAGAGTCAGGCCAGATATTAGACCTTGGTCGCTCTGCTTACCTGGGTGCTTATGCGTTGCGTGTGTTGTGGTTGGGATCCTAGGTGCTAGGTACCTGGCCAGGTTCAAGTTGTTTTGGAAGCAGGTACCTAGGTATTAGATGACCAAGGCTCCTTCCTATTGTTGTGGTTTGGCTCCGCGTTAAGGAGTGAATGGCTCGCACTGTACCGCAAAGTCTTTGTTGTAGGGGAAGGTGCGTGACAAAATTCTGGACAGCTTCCTGCCGTGCCGGAGCACTAGCCGGAAACCAGCCTCACTCCGGCCGAGCAGATGCACTGTATGCTTCTCTAGGTAGTAACTCTTCCCCCCCAATTTACTGCTAGATCTCATTATGCATGTATTTGTAGTCAAGATTGGTGACATGAGCACGAGTAGCAAATGCTCGTCTAGCTACAGGCCTTCTTGAGATCCCTCTCTACCACGACAGCCTCCTCAACTTTGTCCTCAAGCTGGCAAAGAGATCGAGTCTTTCCCTTGAAGAGAAAGCTCGTCACCGCCCCAAGAATATCATCTGTAATGCTGGTGATCCTCTTGCCATCAATGGCTCCGATTGACCTCTCCAGACCAGGTGCAGTAAAGTCCAGCAGCGATAAGACTAGCGGCAGGTCTACAAACGACATGTGCCCGGTCCCATTGACGGTGAGGAACATCTTTGCAGCATCAACTTTGCCCATGATTCCTTTAAAGTATGATGCTGCTTCCTCTGTGCTATCGGCACCAACCACAAAGAGTGGTGTATCGAGGCCGGCTTCGCTGACAGACCCGTACAGTTTTCCATCCAGGTCAAGACCACCAAGAACACGGTCGTCATTCAAAGCCACTTGAGCCGAGGTTGCACCTCCGAGAGAGTGGCCGTAGACGAATATTTTGCTCGTGTCAAACCCATCAAGAATGCCCCCCAGGCTTGATGGCTCCAAAATCTCGTCAATGAGGAAAGATATATCTTCACTCCGAACCTGTCCATCGCAAAATTGTTAGTCAGAGGCGATCACAAAAGGAAGTGGACTGCCTGCCTTCACACCCTTCTCCGCCACTTCGTCGTTTATGTCGTTTGGACTTGCTCCATACACGACTGTGCCATCGGGAAACTCGACAACAGTACCGTCATAAGGATGATCGACTGTGATGACCACGTTCCCTTGGCTGGCCAGTGACTTTGCTTGGGCGCTAGAAAGCAGCCTGATACTGCTGAAACCAGGAGAGAATATGACAATAGGAAGAGGTGCCCGCTCCTTCGTGGATGCCTTGCAGAATTCCAGCTCTAGCCCCTCAAAGGTCGTGTTGGGAAGTCCCAGTGTTTTGGCTGCCCCCACACGAGTTTTTGGTGGCATGTAGTCGACCTTTTCGGTTTGGCATTTCTTCTGGTTCTTTTGAGTAGGTATAAATAGTGAGGTCAAAATTCGTCGTTTGTGTTGACTGTCTTCAGGAGCATACGGATCCCATCGAGACTCGTCGGTGAGTTCCACGACCTTGTGTGAGACAGACCAGGGGCCAGAGGGCCCTGAGACCACGATAGCTTGCGCTATGTTAAAGAAAAGAAACAAAAAGGCCAACATGGTCAAGCGAGAGTGTCAGCTGCTCCAAGACTGTCCTTGTAGCTCACTAGAGCACTCAGGGCAGAGGGACCTCATCTATATACATTCCTGCGATTCACTGACTCGGTACCTACGGCCTTGGCGATACTTTTTACCAAGTAGTCACCTGTCTTTTTTAGGAGTGGAAACACGTACCAGTGCTTGTGCTTACGTTGGATCTTTATACGGGGCTCGCGTAATCTCGCATAACATCGTATTCCCTACCCGGAGCGCGCGCGTTTCTTTTTCAGTCAAGCATTCGCATCCTTCGCCTTTAGGCACACAACAGAAACCCAAGTCGCTCATGAGGCTCAAACAGGGTTTTGGACCTGGATTTGAGCATCTCATAATTCTGTTACAGTTCAACTTGACCCTTCTTTCACCTTGACGGTCAGTCACCAAACATGATTTCCATAGGAAAGACAATAAATACTTGGATAATAACCTCGACCATGAACGAGGCTGGGCTGACGCCTTGTTGCAGGGTTACACTCAAAGCAGACAAGGGATCGTCGTTATACGAGAGCTTTCAGCCCAGATGAATCATTCGCCCCGCTTCAAGGTGGGTTTGGTCTAAGCTGGTGCTCACACCACTGTCGGAGATATGAATTAATGCCCGATGAAGCCTTAGAACCATAAGCTAGAGACCCGATTCTTACAAAAAGATTCCCTTAACAAAAAGAAACCACCTTTATACCAAAATCATAGGTGATTTCCGTCAGGAGAGCCATAAGTAAGAGAGCTAGAAGCTACCAGGCGGAGCCCAAGACGAAGCAGTCTGCATGTCTCAGTCGATTATAACGATGAAGGTCTGTTGGCATAGCTCTCATCAACAACAGATGTCTTAGTAGCTCTCATGCTGGGATGCTTCTGAGCGTGGACCAATGCTAAGTCCCAAATCCCCTTCACATATCGGTTAGTAGAGCCTGGGGTTACTGGCTGTGCAGACTTGATTGCCAACGGTGGAGATGATTGTAATTGGCTGAAGGATGAAGTGTCTTACTCTATAGGTATGTTCATGTCTCTTGTAGAAACTCAACTACAAATAGTTTCACGTCCCGACTGTCATGGCTGACGGTCATAGACTTGTTAACACCTCCAACTCTCGTTGAGAATGCTCATTGGGTACCTAAATGGTATGGTCATCCCCCATTGCATTTCTAAAGATACAAAGCACTCGGGGACCCTTTACATCTTGCACGAACTCCGGCCAGCATACTAGCTATGGCACATACCTAATTAAGCAGATTCACCACGGCCTCGACCCATGCCTCTCACCTAGTAGCCCCAAACCCTTTATAGGAGAGCCAGTAACTTCTGACATAACAACAGAGGCAAAGTGTCATAGTCATGGGACCTGTACAAGTGCTGTTGCAGAACTAAGAAGAGCTAGATAGTCGATAGGCCTCGTCTACTCTCAACTAGGTAGGTAGTAGAAATGACGCACTTTTATAGCACCTCTACCATATCCCTATCATTAAAAGTGATTTGACCTATTTGACAACTTAGACCGCTCAGTGCCTGATCATGTTATCCACCCCGGAACCACTCCCCGCAAAATGTTTCCCTTTGGTGGGAATTTCACGTTACATCCATCCCCGCGTTTTTCTCTCCCCAATGCCATGTTCCTTGAACCGCGCCAATCAGTTAGTGATAGACGGAGGTTTGCTATTGCCAAGCAACATTCCATGAACCGCACCAATCCTCGACCTCGTCGATCAGCGGGGTGAGCTAAATCGACCAAGCTTTGGGCCCAAGTAGTGGTATATAAAGAGTATGAGTGAGGAAATAGCATTGACGACTGTTTCTTAAGATTAGCTTCCATATTTCAGAACACACCATGCACGCCTTTTCAACAATCTCGGCTCTTGTTGGCCTGTGGTCATGCCTTGCCTCTGGTTTTACAAATCCCATCAAGACCGGCAGTGATCCCCATATTGCCTACCATGATGGAATGTAAGACTCTATATCATTGAATCCATGACGTTTCGACTGTTTGCTAAGCCCTTAAGGTACTATTTGACGTCTACAACTTGGACTGATGTTCGCATTACGACAGCCTCCACTATCGAGGGCCTAAAGACGGCAGAATCCCACATCATATGGTCCGATAGGTCAAACCCGGCTAGAGCATGCAACTTTTGGGCTCCGGAGATGCACAAGGTTGGCGATCGTTGGTACGTCTACTTTTCGGCAAGCTTGTGCAATTCCGACTGGGGCATCGTGTTGCCGTCCTTGAGGGTATACGCGCTAGAAGGAGGCAGCGAGAACCCTCTCTCTGCCGATTATAAAATCTCGGACCCTGTTTTACCTCCTAATTATAACGCTGGTATGCTTGATGCGGTATGTAACGAACTCCTTCATACCCATAGACACTCTCTAATCAAGGACCGCCAGACCCTTTTCGATATTGAAGGCACTACGTATTTTCTGGCAAGTTCTTAAACCCAAATACGTGTGGTGTTTTATACTCATGCATCATACCAGTTCTCGGCAGTTGATGGCCCCGAAAGCCCTGACGGAGCATCCCTCTGGATTGCTGAACTCCTTTCACCAACTACTTGTGGAAATGCGACTATGATAGCAGCGCCCGAGTTCGACTGGGAGCAAGAGGATTCTGCCGTTCTTGAGGGACCGTATGGCATTATATCTCCCGCCGGCACCATCTATGTGGCCTACTCGGCCGACTCTTGCAACACACCTGCCTATAAGCTCGGCGTCATGAAGTTCACCGCCGGAGCTGACCCGCTGGATCCTGAATCATGGACCAAGTCTCCTGAACCAATCTTTCAGACCATGAATGGTCTCTATGGACCAGCTCATAATGCATTCTTCAAGAGTCCCGACGGCACGGAGGACTGGCAGGTCTTCCACGCCAATCTGAATGCCAATGATGGCTGCGGCAGTACCCGCAAGACCTTTATCCAGCCTGTCAACTGGAAGGATGACCAGATTGACCTGGGGGAGCCCCTTCCTGTTGGTGTTGAGATTAAGGCACCTTCAGGAGAGTAAGGAGAGTATGGTGTCGCCGATGCAAGACTGACGATAACGACGAAATATGCTTAGGCACCCTAAACCGCATTAGACAAACGTGCCCTCTGCTGCATCTATCTCTTAGCCTCCACTTATACGTTCATAATGTTCAGTGACTGTGACTCTCTTTCGCCTTATCAGTCGCCACGTGAATTAGAGGACGTTGCTGAATCCGGGCTATGTATTCTAAATCACTTGAAGTAGGCCTTTCATGACGTTGACACTCCCAGGGAGCAGTCCTTCTGGCACGCCCTCATCTGTTTCCAACATATAGTATGGTCCGGAGCCCTCGTAGTCAGCCCTAGCCTGCCAGCCATGAGTCTTTGCTTCAGTAATCTCCCACTTTATATCAGCTCCCTCTGTCGCTGCGTTCTCGCAAAAGATAACAACGTCGTCAACAAATAGATCATACGATCCCACATTTACCCAAGTGCGAGTTGGTAGTACATCGCCCCAGCTCCAACTTCTTGGTTGAGGTGCGCTAAAGTTCGCCAGCTCACCGCCTTTGCTTCCCATGGCCAACGCCGCCGCACCATCCAGTCGGGGCTTATCGGTAACATCCAGGTCCTTGTTGCGTTCAAAGGAAGCGCCTGTGTTGGTGAGGTTGATCCAGGGACATAAAAGAATGGATGCAGCTGGTCGAGGTAGACCTTGGCGGGTGATGCCAAGGAGACAAGCGACAGCGAGATGGGCACCAGCCGATTCACCGCCCACGATGATATCTTCAGGACTGATGTTTTGTGTCTCGACAAGATACCGGTATGCTGCTACAGCTTCGTTTTGCTGCTGGGGGAACACAGCGTCGGGTGCAAGTGTGTAGTGAAGAGACAAAATGTCAAGACGAACATGCTTGTCGGCCATCAACTCAGTCAGTCGGAACAAGGTGGAAAACATCCAAAACGGAGTGCCGTGGATATAGGCGCCTCCATGTATCCACAGAAGCGTCTTGTTCTTCCGCCCTGTCTCGCCAGGTGCATCCCCTTGGCCCCGACGAAGCCAATACGCCGAAAAGTCGGGAGTCGAGACCGGGGTGCCGATTTCGTCAGTCACACCACGAAATCGTGGTGACCCAAAGTCGACATCAATCGCGGACGGGTCAAGCATCGGCATGATTGGAGAGTCGAGACGGGGGTGTTGAAGGGGGTTTGTTGTTGTCGAGAGCTCAGTTGTTGCTCTGTTTCTCAAACCTAATGTCATGCCAACTTGACTGCTCATTAACGAGGGGGTTCTTCGGCCTCGGTAAAGAAGCAGCCGAGCCATGATCCACATCTCACGGGTGCCTTGTCTGTCGCCGTTATTCAAGGCTTCTAATTAGTTATCACGAACATTTAGGCTAAATTCTCGTTTTAACAGACAAGATCGGCCCGCTTGCTGTCCAACTTGCAGTCATTCTCGTGAGATGCTCCTTGTCAATATCAGTGAGCCAGACACTTAATATCCTGAAGGGGGTTCACGGGCGAATTGGGAAGCAAATTTCCATCTGTGCTGTCGACAAGAGAGTGGATGATGCATGTGGCCGCCCTTAGTTGGAATGGCAAAGAAGACCTAACCCTTTGCAAAACTTGGGACTGGATTCGTATAGATGTATCTGAACAATGCTATACTTCTATTAAATTATTAACTCTTCATTTATTCAATACTTCCATTCTAACTCATAATTAACGTTAGGGAACGATATGCCAAGGTATACTTGCAGCGGCTTCCTAACGCACGTGTACCGAGACGTAGAAGGAAGGGAGGCACATGATCTCAGACCTCATCCCATCAAACACCATTTCTTCCATCTTATCGCTTTTCCTCACGCTCACATCACTGCATTGGAAGAATTTTTGGCTTGGCATTTTGCTACCGCAAAATACATCATCAAAGTCTCCATCATCACATTCATGGCTATTCCGAACTTGGCCCCGTCAGACCCTCCTGTCCTGTCACGTCCGAACGGCAGCCGCCAACCCCCATCAAACATCACCGGTGACCTCGAGTGTCGCAAATGTGGTCACTAGAAGCCACGCGGTCAGTTCGTTTCTTTCCCCCCGGACAAGAGGATTGTTACATCATGTCTGCGTTGTCGGAATCAAGACAGCCCTATGGTACGCCCTAACATGCTGGCCTATCCGATTGTCATGGCTAACCAGGTACAGCATCGTCGAGCCCGAGCGCGTTTGAAGATCCGCCTGCAAGTCACGGCCCCAAGATCAACTTCCCCTTAAGTTTCTCAACCATCCCCTCCACAGCTGCCCTGCAACACCATGGATACCCAGACAGCTTCCAACACATCCGGTGTTCAGCCAGCTTCCACGCCCCCGGATGCGTTGACTATGGCCGCGGTCCCAAATGTGCCTCCAATACACGGCTCAGCAGTCGCCCAAGAACCCGTTTCTTACTTCGAGTCTCTCGATTTGGACCTGCTAGCTGCGACCTCACCATTACCAGATATGGAGTTTAACCCCAGTGACTTTGACCTCCTCAGCAACTCGCTGAGTCCTGCCTCAAGTCCCGCCAATGGCCAGAATGCCATCCCGACTAATTCCGACACCCCCAGAGATCCCAATAGCTCGTGTATCAAGTGTTTTAGGCCAAGGCCTCCAGGGAGCATAACACAAGAAGACGCTCTGTGCAGGGCATGCTACGCCAAGTTGCGGAGGACCCAGTTGCGAGCAGCTGGGCAATCAAGTAGCCAAGTCTCAAAGGGCTAAATGGAGTGTTGCTGGTCAGTGAGTCCAGGTTGCCTTCTCGCTCAAGGGCATTCTCGAATCCTAGTGACCAGCACTTTTCGGCGCCAGTAGCCTGAGCTTTGGTTGATAGAACGAAATCGAGATTGTCCATATCATAGTCACTCGCAGAAAAACATGACATACTAAATTAAGCCTCTCTAAGTAGTTTCTCCCAATGGCCAGCCGGCGCTCCATATTTCCTCTTTCTGTTATCAATCATTCTCCGTTGCCCAGCGTCAGCCGACGGGCCCAGCACCGACCAACCGTCAGCTCGGATCTTGAATAGACAGTAACAAGTAAGATCCGAGGCTCCTGAGCCCATTATTGATTCGCTACTACGGATGGTCAGCTTCGAAAATGCCCCACCGCCGGTATTGGATTGCTTCAGCTTCAGGAGCCGCACGTTGTACGAGGCCTACGACGGTAAATGCTCGAGTGTAACTTGCTGCTACATCCCCTTGGTCTTAGATTCCATTACCATCCTATTTAAAGTCCAATCTATCGTTCCAATCCAGATTGTTTAGAATCACGAGCCACGACTATCGATGGCCAAGATGGATTGGCACGTCTCCCGTCATGTTATACGGGCCCTTCACGACATTTGGTTATTCGCATTCACGGCAATCATCATCACGACCTTTGCAATTGCTTGGCTTGCGCGAGAAGGATCAATTGTGTTACCTCCATGGACCAAAGACCTCAACTTTCTATCCAACGAAGACCAGACTAAATACTCGGTTGTGCTAGTCACCTGCATTTGTGTCGTCTTTGCACTACTACTTGTCACTGTCTTCAATTTGATAGAGTCAGGTAGTAGCCGTGGGTATGGATAAGCGTACCAAAATAATTCGTGAACCCGGGGCCTGCCAGGTTACATTTCAAGCCAGTTCAGATACTTATCGTGATGCAGTCTAACACCACTTCCGGAATCAGGCCCAGAAGATGCCTAATAACATGTCCAGTCCGAGAATACAGTAACGTGTAGTGGACGTCAAAAATACTGCACTCCAGGATCATCGACAAACTCGTGGGGTGCACACCTCAAGAAACCCTACAAAGAGTTGGCCGAACACCACCCTGATGAGCTGCCAGCCTCAATGTGGGAGAAACTCTCACATCATTTGTAGGTGACTAGAAACATGCTCTTTCTCCATGTATTTGCCAAGCTCGTCCGATCCCATCGATTGCCTACCTCTGTCAAACGGTCTTTGGTTGATGATAGCGACAGCTATACCTCCTCGGTTAGGTCGCTTTAATCTATCCGGTGCCGGAAGTAGAAGAAATAGGGTAAATAGGTAATCTATCAATGCTAAAATTGAGACTGAGGGGCCATCTCGTCTTCTGAATGTCTCTTGGGCACGTTGATGAGCATGAATGTTATGCCAGGGCGCTGTCAAATGGGGTGATAAAAAAGAAAAGCGTGCTCCTTGTTTCCTATGCAGACTGCGACTTCCTGTGATAATGCTTCATAAAGTTTCTATATCTCTTTCCTATCAAGCTTGCCAATCAATGCACCACCATCGAGAATGCTACCAAACATGGCTGCCTCAAACAGGTAGTTTACCTGCCAACCGTGATGGTTTGCATGAGCAATCACCCAGACCATCTCCAACACGGACCCTTGGGAGAACAGCTTGGCCATGCAAAGCCTTGAGCCCTCGGCAAACTTCTTCTCTTGCTCTTCGTCAACCTTGCCTCCCCTAACATAATCGAGTGGGCCTGTGACAAGGAACCACCAGAGGTCTCGAAGTAGAGGCTCTTGTTGGTTGGTGTCAAAGAATTGGTTCACATGATTACATGTCTCTTCGCCGTTGCATGCAAACTTAGGGTCTAGAGGTCTGCTGAAGCCTGTTGTGTGGTATTCCTTGTCAAAGACCTCGTCGAAATCCGCCTCAAACTGGGGTCGAGCAGGTGCCTTGCGGGCTTTGGGCCAACCAAGAATCGCTCGCCGGAAAAAGAAATGCCGATCGTTTTGGATGTGCCATGTGTACAGCGCAGCGCACATCCTAGCCACAGGTTCATGCCACCTCTGAGTCAACATCCTAGCTCCAGTAGCAGCGTAGGCATCATAGACTCTTCGCAGAACGTCTTCACTCACGATGCCTGTGTCTGTCACGTCTGCGACATTCAGGAAGGAGTTCATGACCTCCGAGTTGACAAGGTCGCATCCCACGTCGACGACATCGGTACCTGGCGAGCTAAAGACCAGGTCCGCCATAACGGCACCGGCATCGAAACCCCGCGCTATGGCCTCGGCGGCCATTCCGAGGAGGCTACTCTCGGAAAGGGAGATGATCTGTGCCGAGCGACGGTCGAGACGGGCTGACTGGGTTGTCAAATGCGCCTTGTGCTTCGTCTCGAGTGCAATTTTTCCTTGGATGTATCTCATGCCCACGCGGACGGCGTCTCGTCTCTCACGGCCGCCCATAGTGCCCAAGGCATGTGGGTCTGTAAGACCCTTCTGATACATCTGTTCAAGAGAGGGAAAGACGTAGTTGTAGCCGTGTTCGTAGTAAAAAGCCATGTCAGTCACGTAGTTGGAGAACATGGTTGACGGATCAGCAGCACCCATGAGCAGGCTAGCGATGCCACAGCCAAACAGGGCATTGTTCGTCTTCATGGCTTCAGGCCAGTTCTCTGCCCCAAACAGCTTCAAGGTTTCTTCCGACGCCTTGCTAAGGCCAGTCCCCTTTGGTGGCAGGATGTTTCCGGCCCCATGTTGATCTTCTTTCCAGCGCTGAAGATCGGGAGACAACTGAAGGTGGACCGCCGAGGGCCCTGGTCCTGAAGTGGACAATGATCCTTCTTTGTCCAGGGTTGAGTCTTCTGAAGTTTGTTCGACGTCGGCAAAGACTCGGGCAACCAAGTCGACAGCCTGACGCGACAGGGCTTCCAGGTCAGCCACCTTGCCGTCACCGACAAGACATCTCGTTTCCGAGTAACCGGCGTGAACGGGGTGTCCTGGCTTACGGCCTAGCAGCCTCCCGAGACGGCTTCGGATGCCCTTGCCCCAGAAATACAGGGGAATGCCTGCCGGTTCTTCTGGAAAAGACTGTTTCTTGGGGGATTTGACTTTGATGTTTAGCCCTTTGAGGGAAAACTGGCCCCAGTAACCTTGCCGAGGCCGGGATGGACAGCAGGGGACGGTCATTTCGATCGACGGCGTGAAAGTTTATAGGTAGTGAATTGCTACGACGGGAGTCCGAGCGTTGGATCCTCCTTGCTTTTTATATCATCAGGATCATAACATTATGCTCTTTCAAATGCGCTGTTAAACAGAGCATTTGTTGGCAGCTCCGCAGTTGCCGACGCAGGTCAGTACGCGGTCACTCTGCAAGATCATGGTCTCCATGCACCAACAACGCCGAACTTGATACCACTTTTGATGCTGTGTCGACAGACCAGTTCTTTGGTATTGCCTATCACTTCTGTCTTGGGCCTGAGTTTGCTTGCCGAGCCTCGTCGCACTCCACGCTGGTCCGGGGGCGTGGCCAATCACACTCTACCTGTCAACGCTTCCTCGGCCGGGTAACCTGAATCGCGTCCTCCTGATGGTTCTATCTCGGCCAAGAACATGCCGTCTTGTCCCAGTGACAGACCCACGACGTCCGAGGCTAGTCTGGGATGTGGCTCCTAGGCCAGGCCCCCTTGATAGTGTTGCGACGTCGTCAGTTTGCGCGATATCATGAACCAGCCTTGCCACTGGAAGGGTAAACGAGAAATCCTTGAGCTGTAAGCGAAAACTAGTACCCGGGGGATTGGCTCAGTGCGGTACAGTAGAAAGAAAGTGGCTGCTGTCGTCCAGATCTAGACCTAGATCCAGGCCACTAATAGACTCGCAGCCTCTCGGAGCTGGACAAAGACGGATCAACTCTATCGGCGAAACAAGAGTCAGGATAAGGTCATATCAGGGTTCAGCACACCGCGACTTAGGATCAAAACCAGGTCACGGAATACAGACTTGGAATGGAAACGATCACCATAGACTAACCTGGCGATAAGCGAGAAATGGCCTAACTCACTTTCGGTAGAGCAGAAACGAACACGTCACGAGGTCCACAGCCCAAGCGAGACGAGCCAGGAATGCACTCAGGCAGGCACTTAAAGTGGCCTGGTATCGCCACTTGGCCTACTTGAGCCTGCTGGTCCGGATGCGTTTATACCTCGTCTGAGCGGTGAGAGGCCATCGAGATTGGGCTTGTCTGCACCCTTACACAGGCCATATCTTATATAATGATCCCAAACGCTTAGCCAAGCACTCCCTGGTCAAATCAAATCACTGTTAAATGACAAAGTGCTGACACTTGAGCTCGGGCAAATGTTGGGCGAGCTTGGCGCCTCTCCCGAGACACGCAGGTGCCATCCCCAACTACCGACAGGCATGTTCGCCGATATGGGTCCTCAGCGCCGGGTCTCGCACTCAGTCAGGCAGTCATAAGCGAAGCTAAAGAACTCAGCACCGTACGGGGCGTTCCCAATCATGCAATCTCTGTCGCAGATCCTCCCTTGTCAAGTCTGACCCTGGCATAGCTTGGGAGTCGGGACATGGGGCATGATCCTCTCTGCATGCCCCGTCGCATCCCAGATCAGAAGAAGGAGCGGAATACAAGTGCCGCTCCAATCTTCACAGCAGCAGACAAAAACATCCAACTGCCGCCCTTCGCCATCCAACACTTTGAACTTTTGAAGTTCATGCACAAGCAAAGCTAGACCTGCATTAACACTATGCAGCATAAGCCAAGATGCCGTCACTTGAAGGTCTATCTTTAGTTCCCTATCGCTCGCTCGATCCATCCGGAACCGAGGTCCGGCTACTTGAGCTGCATCCGGCTTCAACTGGCAACATCAATGAGCGCCTTGTATGTCGGCTGGTACATGAACGACTTAGCGACTCCTCCGACTTTATTGGCCTTTCCTCGCTCTTCGGTGACATCAATGTCACCGAGGCCATCCACGTGAATGGGACTAGGGTCGTCTTGCCC